CAGGCCACATCCGCACCCTCCCCCTCGCCCATCCGCGCCCTCCCCCTCCACTTTTGCATACAAAAAACGTCTGTGCACAGGACAAGCCACAGGTTAAAATCCACTTAGCCCCACTACCACAGGCTTAGCTGCACTTAAGCCACGCAAAAAGATACATCGTAGCAAAACACCATAAATCCACGATATCTTATTCAAATAAAATGGGAAAAATGCGCAAATGCGTTAGGATTAGTTATTAGGGTTAGTTAGCCTATTTAGCGTTAGGGTTAAGGGTCCGGGAGCTCGAGGGGCGGTGTGAGCCCTTCGTAATCTGGAATATGGTATTTTGGTTATGTGTGTAGGTACCTCGCGAAGGGGGAGGGTGCGGATGGGCGAGGGGGAGGGTGCGGATGTGGGCTGGAATAGAGGGCGACAAACTGATCGTGACGTACCGCTTTCCTCATATTTATGGAGGTGGACAGAGGGCATTCCAAGGTTATTGCGCAGTTTTCCACGCACCATGGGTTGACGACAACGTTTCATGTTGACGAGCTATAGAAAATATGGGGACCCAGTGGATTGGTACTCGGATAGAACCCCGACACGTCAAGCTAAAATACTCACAGTGACAGGACCAGGCTCCTTGTGATGAGATCTGCTTACCATATGCCAACCTCCCTCCTATCCATCGATGCGGCGGGTGCGGCCGCTGCATATTCTGCGTTGCAGTATTGCTCTCACGCCTCCATCATAGGTATACATTACTTAACAGTAGTGTTTATTCTCCAAGTTTTCCACGGGTTCGTACTATTCACTTGCTCATACGGAAGACGGCTGAGCTGTCGCAAGCAAGCAGCCGTTCAGCATTAGCCAGCTTGATGGTACTCCTGTTATCCTGCTGTCACAATTGCCGTGCAAGGGGGTTGTAGATTGCCAAGCATCACACTATTTCGTGCCTGGCTGTCAGCCATGTCAACACCTAGGGGGCGGCCCTGAAGCAACTTTGCTTACTTTGGCAACGTACTTATCACGAAGCAACCAGGTCTCGAACGCCATACATGTGAGAAGAGCGTTCAAGGTTTAAAAAGGGCAACTTGCATGCAGTTTCCGTGCACCCGGGTAACTGTCCCGAGAAGTTTCCGACCTTTGGATCGGCAGGGCTCTAGAGGCAAAGTAGACAATCCCCCGAGATCATCTTATCTGTGTCCTGGGGAAAAAAAATGAAGGTCTAATCTATACGTGGATGATGCATTCATGTCGTGGTGGTCCGTGAAGGAAGCTAAGAAGTTAAAGATGAGTGCGCTTAAAACGGCCGCCATCACGTCGTCTCGCAAACTTCCGTAGGATCTAGTGAGAGCATTGACATGACGGAACATCAGCCAGCCCAACATATATCAGCCGCTTGCTGGTCATTAGCATGAGCTAATTGATCAATTGTTTCAATGGATGTAAACATGATATAGCGCGGCTGCTATATCTCCAAGCGTCTGTGCTCTACCACAAGCGCCATGGTAGGCCATCCTATCGACCCTCTTTAGTCACGGGCCAATGCGCTCGTATAGCGTCGCTGAAGAAACGCCTTTGGATGAGAGTGCTGCTTACTTCCAGTATACACTACAGTACTAGTATCACTATTCATTAGCAAGAAACTGTCAAACTGCAGTCTTCGGGACAAGGAATATTGCATTCAAGCAGGTTCAGGTGAGATTTGGCCTGCATATCGTCGGCTGTCGATATGCGGCCGGACATTAGATACATAATGTAGTGCAAACTCTCCAGCCTCTGCTCGTGGCTATAGTGAGCATGGAATAGAGACGAGCGTCTTACCCTTCCAAGCCCTTTATTACTGAAAGAGCCGCTTCCAGAACCTCGGCAGCAAAGCGGCAGCTTACCCTAGCTGGGGCTGTCTCATCGAGTGTGCCATTTAACCACGAGGAGTGTAGATCGCCAGCCCAGAAGCTGGTAAATACGCTGGGCCCTGTCTGGCTTTTTGGCGTGCGCAGTGGAGTCTTTCAACATCGGCATGTCTAGCCCCTCGTGGGCTTTATGTAGCACTCGCCATGGGGTCAAATAGCCACCCGAGTCTCACAAACGCCAGAAAGAGACGCGTGCAGTCACATCAGATCCGGGGCAGTCAAAGTCCAATGTCCATCTACAATGGATTAGGATGGCCCCCTAGTGCAGGAACCACGAGGGCGTGTCAGGGGTCCCACAAAGTCGTTGCGAGCGTCCGACCAAATACCGGGGATCCGATGACAGGGAAATGGTCTTGATACCCAGCAGGGCCTCCCTGAAGACAATTCATATATTCACCATGCTTCCGCTTCGTCTGGAGTCCGAGTCGGCTTGGATCCGGTCTGCCATTTCTCCAAGACCATCCCATCTTTCTGCCGGCAGAATACCAGTTCGCCTGATTTCATAGAGATGGCCGAGATCGAGAACCGGGGCCCTCAGCTCCTCGGTGTCGATGTCTTCTTCATCATCCTTGCTTTGATCACCACATTGCTGAGAATTTATGTACGAATCTTCATGGTCAAGTCGTGGGGCAAGGAAGACTGGTTCATGCTTGCTGCCACGGTAAGTGATTTTGTCCCTTTGCAAGCATGTATTATTGTACTAAGCAATCATAAAACAGACGGCCTTTGTTCTCTTTTGTTCTTTTTCGATATCTGGTGTCCATTATGGAACTGGTCGACACTTTGCAGACTTGACGGAAGATAATGCCATGTCGGCCATGAAGGTTAGTTCTAGTCTTTCCCCTCTAATCTTCGGACTGTCTAGAACCTTTGCTGAGTGGTCATGTACAGTGTTGGTTCTTCTGCTACCTCTTCTACGCCACCTCCATGATTTGCTCGAAATTGTCCATCGGCTTCTTCCTTCTTCGCATTACCGTGAAGAAGATTCATATCTGGATTGTCTATGGTGCCATGTTCTTCTCCGTCCTTTCCGGTATTGCCTTCTTCCTCGTCACATTATTACAATGTACACCGGTATCATTCTTTTGGTAAGCCTTCCTCAGCCTCTATGGTCATTTCTTCTGCGGCCAAACTATATCGTCCCACGTCTGCTACCAGGAATGTCTAGACTAACATATGAACTCACAGGGAACGAGTCGGTGAATTCTACGGTGATCCAATGGAGGGCACCTGCGTCAGCGCCGAAGTGATTATTGGTCTCGCCGCCCTTTACAGCACTTTCAGTGTCTTATCCGACTTTACATTTGCCATTCTGCCAGCTTTTCTTTTGTGGGATCTCAAAATCGACAGGAGAACAAAGTTCACCATCATTCCCATCCTGGCCATGGGTTGCGTGGCCTCCTCGGCGGTGGTCGCCCGATTTCCTTACCTACCAAACTTTCGAAACTTTGACTTTCTCTTTGCCACCGTCGACATTGCCATCTGGTCGGCCGTGGAGCAAGGGCTCGCCATCGCCGCCGGCTGTCTGGCGACCCTGCGGCCCTTGCTCAAGGAGGTTAGCTATCGGCTCGGCTGGAGCAAGCCGTCGAATGGCTCCAGCGGCCACATGAGCGGCATGATGTCGGGCACGTTTCCCAACACGGGCGGACGCAGCCGCGGCATGAGTCGCAATTTGGACATGTACGACTTGTCCGAGTTCACACAGATTGACGATGAGGAGTCGAAAATAGGCAGTAAACCTGCCAAGGAGGGGCGCTTTAGCATTCCGAGTCTGCGGTCTCCGAAACTGCCTCCATCGACGACCGAGCGGAAAAGTGTTAGTACAAAGGTCAAGGCGGTCTCTGAAGGGATCGATAGCGAGGAGGAGCTCAGCGATCAACAAAGCCAAAAAGTTGTCGTCTCCAAGGAATTTTCTTAGTCATCAGTCGGGAAAAAAAAAAGCAAAAGGAGAAGTGCGGTGTAAGATAAGCTCTTAATATTGTACCAGATACCCTGGCGCCCTTATCAGAATATGGGTAGCATAATTTGTAGATTATGATTGTTATGAAGCAACCAATTCAGGAACTCATTGAATATTACAATTAAAATTGCTCTACGTATGGTGCAGGTACATTAAATCCCTAAAAATATAATAGCCCAGCCCTCCTCATTGACTGTTCAGGCTTTCATTGGGCAGCCTTACGTATCCCGTGACCACACCTGCTTCTCTTGTGAGGGGTCTATTTCAGCTGAAAATCGCATCAAGCATAAATGCAATATTTGCAATCAACAGAAGAGCTTTTATGGCATTCAAAGAATGTCTTGAAAGCTCCACTCAATATCGACTGATATCACTCATCTTGCTATCGACATGGCAGAAATTGTCGCAATGGTTGGCAACATAGTAGGAACGGGCTTGCAGCAGTTGATTCCATCGAATACCTTTCTTCTGGATCCCGGATTGTCAGAGAAGCGAAGTCGTCTTCAAGATGAAGCACGCATTTTCTTACGAGTGCTTGATTTTAACGTGGACGAAGATTCCAGCACCCAGACTGTTGGCGATATTCAAGCGTCAGACGATGCTGCCAATCAGAGTCCTGAGCTATCAGAAAGGGTCACGAATATGATCAATAACTTGCCGACCCAAGCACGAGGCGCAGTGCGACTCTATGTTGAGCAGGACTGTGACATGAATGATACATATCTCGAACATCTCTGTCAACTGTTGCCGGATTTCTCACTCTCGAAATATTGCTCGCCGTCGCATCGCGGGTTTAAAGCGGCGGCCTCACAATGGCATCACACGGGGCCAGTTCATTGGTGTTCAGCATGGTCATTCGGTTTTGGTACAGCTCCCAGATATGAAAATGCCAATGAACACGGCCTCATGAAACTGCTTGGATTTCGCAATGTTCGAAATACAGTCACACCGGCTCAAGTATTTGGGCAGATAGGCAGTGCGCAGCGCCTGAACAGAGACATCATGAGAAAAGCTCGACAGACTTGTTTGTGGAATGATCACCAAGGAGAACTTGTAAGTAAGTCGATCATCTCTGTTTTTGAGTCCCAAGTAACTTTATTCGGAACTCTGTGTATGCGGGTATCGTCTCGGCACAGTTGCATCTGGACTTCAAATGAACTGGAAACGGGAAGGCTGACGTCCTGCGTAGTGCTGATATCATGCAAGAATTATGGACATGGATCGACCAATGACTCTACAAATGCTCATAATCTTGTCACTATTCTATCTAATTTATGGGCTTATTTCGCACCTTTGACCCATGGAGCCAGTCAAAATTTGATAATGAAGCTCCTGATGCTTTGGTATCACTATGCACATTTGCTGGAGTTGATCTCATTTATTCAAGGAGCGCGCCATTATTATTTCGCCAGCCGCCAGAGCCTTTTCGACTCTCGCATCTCTTCATTAGAGATGAATCTGATGCAAGACATGACCTATGATGTAGGTTTCTACCAGGATCTCGGAATTAGTGTCAAGAACTTGACGGTGCTCATCGAGTCACTTTCATCCAGTATGGAAGCTACAATCAACCTGCGAGCAAGAGAAGAAGACGGTGACGACGGTGCTGTGAATTATTTCAACGAGCTCATGGCCGACATCCGGGGCGTATGCGCAGATGCATTGAGCAAAACAACTGACATGTCGTCCAGTATGGAACACCAACTAAAGTTCTTGGAATTACGACGAGAGATCAAGCAGTCAAACAGTCTCTGGATCTTGTCGGTGCTTGCGAGCATCTTCCTGCCCCTGAGTCTTGCAAGTGGTGTTTTGAGCATGGGAACACGGTTCAAGGAGCTGGGACCTCTCCTCTACGACTTCTGCGGCGTTGTAGTTCTGCTCATGACACTGGTCTTTGTCATCATAGCAGCCATATGGCTGCTGATGAAAATTACTGATGTTATTGCAAGATTCAGAAGGCCTTCCCATCGCATTGTGGAACGCGTTTGGACAAGTTTTCTGATTTGCATGGCTCTACTAGGATGGGGAATGGTATTGGGCTCCTTTCTGGTGGGTATGCTTGATGATATACAGCTCGGAGGGCGAATCCTTGGTTTTGGTATGTTGTGTCTGCTTGGGCTGACGGTCGTGGGAGGCACTGGTATGAGGAGTGGTGTCCAAGTCATTGATTCCATCCACGAGGGTGAAGACAAAAGCTTCGAGCAGCCGCCTACCTAGGTAATCAGGCAGTGTTTCACATTGGTAGGTAGATACGGGCTTACGAATGAGGCACAGCTACCTACAAGCATGAACAACAAAAGATCATTTTCATCAACAAATACGCGCATGTTTCTACCAGTGATGACTAGTCTGGGATATCATAATGATTTGAGACTTATAGTCCCCAATATCATCATTCATTTCTCTCCAGGTGTCTTGGTCTCAACACGTCCACTTCGCATCACCTGAACAGTTTCGATATTGCTTTTCAACTCGTAGTGCTGTCATGTCGTCGTAGACGCGTACGTTGAATATATCATCATTGATTCAGGTGGCACTACCTTTTATTGAGATCAGAACCAATTTGACAACAAGTCAAGTTACTGACAGTAGGGAAAAGAACCTTTTTTTCTTCTTTTCCCATTACCCTCGGGAATGATTGAGATAACCTATATACATAAACTCTGAGAGTTTACACGTGGTGAGCGAATTTTGAATTGAAAGTTTTATAAAAACTCGCATTGTTGTTGGGGGTCTTTTCCAAGGGCTGAGACTTGCGAATTGCGTTGCGATTTAAAAGGTTTAAAAGAATCAACTTTCACATGCTTTCCAACTTCCATGTCCAGACTTGGTGCTATGGTTCTGTCAACATAATATGCAGGTCGATGCAAGGTGAACAAATTGTTTTCAAAGGCTTGATTCATACAATGCTTGGATACGCCAGAGCTGGATATCCCATAGGATTCGAGTTTCGAGCTGGGATGGAAGAAGGCCATTCTCGCTTGTTTACCATTTCCAATGTGGTGTCTTGGAAGAATTTGCGATTCAGACAATGGGCGCTAGGGCTGCAAGAGACAGAAAACCCGGTCTGCATGAACTAGTGCTGCTTTGTACAACAACGGTGATCTGCGATGCGACGCTGAAGGAGTGAGACGGTGAGCAGTGAGAATTTGAGGTTCCAACTTGTCGTCCATCCACATCATGAGGGATGGTGTTCTGCCGCTGACCAAGACAACGATTATCAGGCTTCCGCGTCTCGCCAGGGAATGAGGATTCTAGGATTCCCATACAATCAAGCTTTGGAGATCTATCTCAGTGGTTGTTTGGTCTAGACCACCAGTCTCCCGAGAGACGCCAACCAGGATTACGGAGACTAAGCACGGTCGCTAGGTTCCTGAGGCTCTTTGTGAGATTTGACGCCAGGCTGTCGAGCATCGCGTCTTTCACCGCCGATCGGAAACTTGGCAGACCGTAATGCGGATTTGTTGAGAGCGCGAATTGGCATGCGTGATGTCATTGCCCGTTACTAGCGCTGCTAAGGGCCGGGAGCTTCTGACATGGCAGTCTCCAGTACTTGGTTCCCCATATGATTCTCCGCACCCTTCCCCGTCTCTGTACTTTGGAGAAACCGAAGGCCTGGACAAATAGGAGCGGCGCTGACACAGGGGGGCCCATGGGGCTTATCCGGGCTGGGCCTAATGCCCCCGAGTTGCCCCTCCATCCCGGGGCAGCTCGTCCTGTAACATCGTCAACTCGCGTGGGTTTGTCTGCAAAGCCAGTCAGACAAATGGTTTATTTTGGTTCTGGTTTTCTCTGGAACAAACTGCCCGCCACGCTGCCCTGCCCGGCCCTGCCCGCATACATTAGCAACGCGACCAGACCTGCAAGCCAACGCAGACCAACCAGCCAGTTGGCAATGCGGTAGATAGGAAATAAACTAAGCTTGAGGTTTGCGCCCCTCTCCTCCTTGAGTCGTTGTCGGCTTGCCAGAACGAGATAGTCACCATACCTAGCTCTCCTCGCGTACCTGAATCTTTCTGCCACACCACCACACCTGTGCTGTCACAAAATTCAATTTTTTAAGTTTCCCTGCAAGCTCTGCTTCTGCTTCTGCTTCTCCTTCTGCTGCGACTGCATACTCTTGGAAAGCCTCTTTCTTCCCGTGAGCTCCCGTGAGAATCGGGTTCGACGTTGTCCAATCTGATATTGTTTCCCGTCGTCCCTAGCAGCAAGCTTTCTCTCGTGTCGCTCTTCTCCCCCAAGCCCTCGCAATGGTCGTCTTTGATGGGCACGAGTACCTCACCGAGGAGGAGAAGCGCTTGAAGGAGGACCGTGATCGTGTCAAGTACTGGAAGAAATGGGGTCCTTATGTCGCTGAGCGGCAATGGGCTACAGGCAAGCCACCTTGCATCCCAATTGAGCACGTCTCGGTCTTTGCGGCTTTTACTGACATGAACTGGTCCAGTGCGCGAGGATTACAGCCCGGACGGCGACGCATGGAGTCGTAAGTTTAGCATGTTCAGTGTCGAAAATCTTTGATCGCATGCTGATTATCCTGCGATACAACAGATTTCACTCACGATGATGCCCGGTCTCGAGCTTTTCGGTGGGGCGAGGATGGTATTGCTGGAGTCTCCGATACCCATGGCCTCCAGAACATTGCCTTTGCATTCTGGAACGAACAAGAGTACGTGAGGCGCCCGTCATGTTTTACCGTATAGTCGCTTACAAAAATCCAGCCCCTTCCTCAAGGAGCGACTTTTTGGATTGTCCAACCCCCAAGGTAACCATGGTGAGAGTATCAAGGAAGCTCACTTCCACTTGGACAACACTCCTGTAAGTGCTGTGAATGATCAAAACTGCTCATGTGATCCATGCTAACAGTCTTTACATAGACGGTATGAACCTCGTCCACCTTCGAACCGATGCATTGTACTGACACAACAAGCACTCCTACATGAAATACCTTTACAAATATCCCCAGAAAGCCTTCCCCTACGAGGACCTGCTGAAAGAGAACGCAAAGCGCGGCAAGGCCGACAAGGAATACCAGATCATTGATACCGGCATCTTTGAGGAAGACAGGTATTGGGACATTATAATTGAGACTGCCAAGGAGGACGATGACCCCGAGGAGCTCCTGTTCCGGGTGACAGCTTGGAACAGAGGCCCTGATCCTGCTCCTCTCCATATTGTCCCGCATGTCTGGTTTCGCAACACTTGGGCATGGGGTAGAGAGGCGGAGGATCTCAAGCCATCCATTTCAGCCCACTCTGAGAACATGGCCAAGTCGATGCATCACAAGCTTGGTGACCGCTATGTCCTCCTCTCGCCTTCGCCTGGTGTCGGACCTAGTGGAGAAGATGTCCAGCCTGAGCTCATGTATACTGACAATGACACCAACGTTGACCTCTTGTACGGACAAGAGAACAAGGTCCCCTATGTCAAGGACGCTTTCCATCAATACATTGTCGAGGGAAAGACGAAGGCCGTCAACCCCGCCAAGACTGGTACAAAGTGCGCTGCTTGGTTCGCTTTCAACGAGTCCGGCGGTGTTGCGCCTGGAGAGTGTGCTGGTAAGCAAGCCTTTGGCATCCACTTGTTAAATCATCTTTACCTGGACTAACACTCACCTATAGTCGTTCGTTTCCGCTTCGGCAAGAAGGCCGAGAACTACCTCGATGAAGAAGAGTTCGACGACGTCATGGAGAAGCGCCGCGAGGAAGCTGATGACTTCTACTACCGACTCAGTCCCCTGCCGATGAGCGATGACCTCCGCAGCATCCAGCGTCAAGCTTTCTCTGGAATGATGTGGTGCAAACAATACTATCAATTCATCTGGGACCAGTGGGCCAACGGTGACCCTGCGCAGCCACCGCCGCCCGAGTCCAGGAAGTCGATCAGAAACACGCAATGGAGACATTTGCATATTGATGACATCCTGTCCATGCCGGATTCCTGGGAGTATCCCTTTTTCGCGGCTTGGGATAGTGCGTTCCATTGTATTCCGCTTGCCATGATTGACCCCGACTTTGCCAAGAAGCAAATCGACCTCTTCACGCGAGAATGGTACTGCCATCCCAATGGTCAACTCCCAGCGTAAGTAAAAAAAAAAAAAGCCCCTGCATAGGCAATGTAGACTAATATCGCATCAGGTACGAGTGGAATTTTGGCGACGTCAACCCCCCTGTGCACGCCTGGGCAACCTTCCGTGTGTTCAAGATCGAGCGCAAATTGTACGGACGCCAGGACTTGGACTTCCTCGAGCGCGTCTTCCAGAAACTCTTGTTGAACTTCACTTGGTGGGTCAACCGAAAGGATGTGGATGGCAAGAATGTCTTCGAGGGTGGATTCCTGGGACTGGACAACATTGGTCTATTCAACAGATCTGAGCCGCTGCCCACTGGTGGTACTCTAGAGCAGGCCGACAGCACTGGATGGATGGCCTTCTATTGCCTGTGCATGTTGAACATCGCTCTTGAGCTGGCCAAGCACAGGCGAATCTACGAGGATATTGCCTCAAAGTTCTTTGAGCACTTCATTTTCATCAGTGACGCCATGACCTTCAAATCTGGCCAGTCTGAGGAGAAGTCGCTGTGGAACGAAGAAGACGGCTTCTACTACGACGCAATCTCTTGGGGCGGACCCTGGATTCAGCAGCTGCCCGTGAGATCGCTGGTGGGTCTGATCCCGCTGTATGCTACCTTGACCTTGGAGCCCGAGCTGGTCAACAAGCTGCCTTCATTCAAGAAACGTGTCGATTGGTTCATGGAGCACCGATGTGACTTGGCAGAACGCAACATGGCCAGCATCAGGAAGAGAGGAAAGGGAAACAGAATTCTCCTCTCAATGGTCGGCAAGGACCGCCTTGAGAAGATCCTGAAGAGAATGTTGGACGAGGACGAGTTCCTCAGTGAACATGGTATTCGTTCGCTGTCCAAGTATCACAAGGAGAACCCATACTCGATGAATGTCAATGGGCAAGAGTTCAAGGTTGGATACGTGCCTGGTGATTCTGACAGCGGTCTCTTTGGAGGCAATAGCAACTGGAGAGGTCCGATTTGGTTGTGTGTCAACTTCCTCTTGGTGGAGTCTCTGCAGAGGTTCTACTTGTTCTACGGACCGCAGTTCCAGGTGGAGTGCCCGACTGGCTCCGGTGATTACATGCATTTGGGCCATGTGTCGGAGGAGATCCAGCACCGCCTGCAGCATCTATTTGCTCGCGGCGACGATGGGCGACGCAGCATCAACGATGGAAACGATGTTCTTGATTTTGACCCGCACTGGAAGGACCACATGTGGTTCCACGAATTCTTTGATGGCGACACGGGTCGTGGTCTGGGAGCAACGCATCAGTGTGGTTGGACGGGTCTGATCGCCCGCATGATTCATGACACAGGGTAGGTCAAACAGCAAACATAACTTGTAACGATACTGACTACTTTATAGCATCAGCTGTCGTCTGCCACAGACTCCTAGGACTCCGTCCGTTGGCATGGCCCACTACTTTGACGATGTTTTCCATCGCACAGTGCACGGGCATAAGGAGAAGAACGGCAAGCCCAAGATGCGCCGCTCCTCCACGGCGCGATCGATTGGAGCCCGAAGTGACTTTGAAGGCTCAGTCAATGGAGATGATGATGACGTTGCCTCGCTAGGCAACAGCGTTTCTAACCTCGACCCTGAGCGCGAGAGTGAGCGTAGAGAGGCAGATGCCCATCTTCACCACTACATCAGCGAGCAGCTGGAAAGAGTGAAGACAGACTTGGAGCACGACGGCTACAACATGGAGGATGAATTCGAGACACACGCATAGACACCTCTAGAGAGAGTTGATGGGATACGGGAATTAGATTGGGCTTGAAAATTGGGCTCGATATTAGATATTGATAGATTAGTAGCTTATACTCGACAATCGCTATTATACTAGCATAGACTAAATTCAAGATTAGGGGTTTCCTGGCACTTTCGATATAGCTTGTGGGGAGAAGTGAAAATACACGCGAGATGACCCAAGTTACTTGATTCGACGGCAGAACAGCGGCGTCAACTCGGCATGAAACTGCTTGTACACGCTCGAGTTTACTAAAGCTACCTACCCTTTTCAACTTATCGGGAAAGTACCGTGATCGCCATTGACGTTGTCCCTCATGGCGCCGCAATGTAACTCGACACATCCATCGACAAAGAGTATCTGCATGAACTGGAGGGCTGTTCAATAAATGTCAATAAATGCGGCGCCGACAACCTGGTTCAGAAGCCATCGCCGCTGTGGGGGAAACTCCGGGGTTGGAATTTAGGCTAAATGCAAACGGTGAACCGGTGACGTGCATATTCCCCCTGCGTGCGTACTGAAGCATGGTCCTTAAATTCGCCGAATCACAGCCATTTGTGGATTCTGGAAGTAGTAAAAGGTTTATACTTTGTGTTTTTGCCACGGAGCCTCGGCTTGATCTATTGGGCTGAATTAGTATACAGTCGAGGAGAGAGTTGGGAGGAAAAGGCCATACAGTAACTATTCGGGACGATCACTCGAAGATACTTGATGAAACTTTACAGGCGAGGCTTGATTTTGTGGACGGAACATTCTTCAAGCAGTATCGACGGAAAAAGATTTAACCCTCTAAACATTTGTCAGTATGCGTGTATCTGGCTTGCATGGCAATCTCGAACAAATGAGTTGCCAGCATCGAGTGGTGCAAAGTCCCTGTTCCGAATGCATGACGCCTTACAGGTAGTCGGCGATCAAGGGCAGTTCGTCGTATAATACTGCGTCGCGATCAATGTACTATTGGCGGAATATCTGGCTGTTCCGACCTATTTTGTGATATCATCGCGTTAAAAGATCGCGCGTCTCGAGGAGTCGAGTGATTGTACTTTTGAATACGAGTCCGAATTGCATGATATGTAGGCAGGCATTTTGGCACTTTTCCAATGAGAGTCTTCGGATTAGTAACATGGCCTGCGGCGTAGACCATTTTGGTGATTCGTCCGTCTGCAACTATTCACATCGAGGCACAACGAGCAAGATACCTAGGTAGTCAGGCACAAACATACACACACACATCTATCTCTTTATGACTTTCAAAAAGAAGCGCACCAATAAATTACGTCTCTTGAATTCAGGCTAAATGCTAAACTATTGTTTGTTCTACCTGTAGGAATGGACTTTTGTCATTCGTTGGGAGATCTTGGTACGTTTCTACTGATTAATAAGTAAACATCAAGTCAATATCAAATCACAAGAACTCATAAAGTGTCGAAAAGCCAAAAGTATAAGTATCCGAAACATGTCGAATAATTGAGGAGGAACTCAACAATGACATACTTCATTGACTTTCCCCCGATTATCCAAGATGAAGTTCATTCTTGTTACTTTGGCGTGTCTGGTGGCACATCCAATGGCTGCGGCAGGTTCTGCTCTTCCAGGAGCCGCCGCGCTCGACAGACGAGCATGTCTTCCAGCCCTGAATTACACTGTTGAGATTGATTATGTCGGGTGCTACACGGACCCAACGACACCTAGAACCCTGACCGGTGCATCCTTCACGTTGAGCTCAAACTCTCCTGAAAATTGCGGCTTCTTGTGTGGTCGAGCTGGCTACTCCTATGCTGGAGTTGAATATACTAGGTATACACCAATCATGAGATTGAGTGTGAGCAGTGCTGACTGTCTTCTTTAGTCAGTGCTTCTGTGGGAACAGCATCGGAAACGAGAAGGCGGATGAATCCTCGTGCAGTAGCGCGTGTCCCGGAGATGCCACTAAAACCTGCGGCCAGGCGTATTTGTAAGTGTTGTCGGAAAATCCTCAGAAGTCAAAGACGAGCGCTAAGCCCTCCTTCAAGTGTCAATGTATGGGAGGTGACCAACCCAGTCGACGGAGGAGTGTCTACATACTTTCCAGACTGTACCCGCGACCCCCTGTGCTCCAACGCTGTATGCGACACTTCGCTGTCACCCCAGGAGAGGGCGTCGGCTTTGGTCGCCGAGCTGACCATTGACGAGAAGCTGACGAACCTCGTCGAAGAAGCACCGGGAGTGCCTCGCCTGGGTATTATGCCGTATGGATGGTGGTCGGAAGGACTTCACGGCTTGGCTTCATCCCCAGGTGTCTTTTTCAACGATGCGGGTAATAACTATAGTTACGCGACGTCTTTTCCCCAGCCAATCCTGACCGGCGCGGCGTTTGATGATGAATTGGTCAGAGCCATTGGCGAGGTCATCAGCACTGAAACTAGGGCATATGATAATGTCGGCCGTGTTGGGCTCGATCTTTATGTGAGTGATCTGACTTTTGACAATTCATCCCACCGACCTAACAGATCTTGACTTGTCAGACACCCAACATCAACCCCTTTCGAGATCCTCGCTGGGGTCGCGGTCAAGAGACGCCCAGTGAAGATCCCTTTCATGTGCAGAGCTATGTTTCTGCGCTTCTATCTGCCCTGGAAGATAGTTCCTCGGGCGAGAAGAAGGTGATTGCCACTTGCAAGCATTACGCAGGCTATGATTTTGAGGGGACCAGCTCCGTCAGCCGACACAGTTTTGACGCCGTTATTACGCTACAAGACTTGTCCGAATACTACCTGCCACCTTTCAAGACCTGTGCGGCAGACGAGCAGGTCGGCGCCATCATGTGCAGCTATAATGCCGTCAATGGCGTGCCCGCCTGCGCTGACTCGTATCTCCTCGAAGATATCTTGCGTCAGCACTGGGGATGGGAGAGTCCCGAGCATTACGTCTCGACGGACTGCGGTGCGGTTGATGATATTTCGGGAGGACACGGCTACGCTGCAGATCTGGGCCATGCCTTGGCAGTGGCCTTGCAAGCTGGTACCGATGTAGACTGTAGCTTTGGCGACGACGCAGCGTATCAGCAAGCCTGGAACCAGTCTCTCATCACCGAGGCAGAGGTGGACAAGGCCTTGACCAGACTGTACGCGGCACTCGTCAGTGTGGGGTTCTTTGATCCCGCTTCGACTCAGCCTCTTCGCGCACTCGACTGGAGCGATGTCAACACTCCCGATGCTCAGACGCTCGCCTATCAAGCCGCTGCAGAAGGTGCGGTACTGCTCAAGAATGATGGGATTCTTCCCCTCGCCCTGGAGCAGGTTGGATCGGTGGCCTTGATCGGTCCCTGGGCGCAAGCGACACAACAGATGCAGGGCAATTACGCTGGCCCAGCCCCGTATCTCATCTCGCCCGCAAATGCCTCCACTACTTTGGGGGTCAATTATACGTATGTCCTTGGATCCGGGATAAGCAGTAGCGATAGCTCAGCAGATGAAGCGATCCAGGTCGCGATTTCGGCAGATACAATCATCTACATGGGTGGCATTGATAACACCATTGAGGCCGAGTCTCTGGATCGGACCGACATTGCGTGGCCAGCATCCCAGCTTGATCTAATTCGAAGGCTTGCTGCTCTCGGAAAACCGCTCGTGGTCGTGCAGTTTGGAGGTGGCCAAGTTGACGATACCGAACTGCTCGCGAATGAGTCGGTGAACGCCCTTCTATGGGGAGGCTATCCGGGCCAGTCGGGCGGCACTGCCATTGTCGATATCCTCTTTGGCAACGTTGCTCCTGCTGGACGCCTACCCATAACGCAGTACCCGGCTTCTTACACCAGTCAAGTTCCTCCAACGGACATGGATCTCCGCCCGAGCTCTGGAAATGCAAACCTCGGACGGACGCACATGTGGTACGAGGGTGAAGCCCCTGTTCCTTTTGGATTTGGACTGCACTACACGGAATTCGCAGTGGAATTGGCTGGCGAGCCGACATGGCTCAATGGCTTCACCTCGGAACAAAACATTGGCAACATACCCTCACAGGTCAATACGACCGACTGGCTCAACACCCTCAACTTGCCTGTGCTGGAGGTACCTCTGTCTGTCGAGAATAAGGGAAGCGTGGCCTCGGACTATGTTGTTCTCCTCTTTGCCAACTCCACGGCCGGCCCAACACCCCGACCAAGCAAGATTCTAGCAGCATATGGCCGCGTCAAGGGCGTCGAGCCGGGCGCTGCGGCCACAGTGAGCCTCGAGGTGAAGCTGGATCGTATTGCGCGAGTAGATGAACAGGGCAACAGAGTGCTTTACCCAGGAAGCTTTGAGCTGTTTGTGGACCTTGATGCGAAAGCGAGTTATGGGTTTACCTGGACCGGGTCGGATCTGACCATTGAGAATTTCCCGCAGCCCAATACTAGCCAGAAGCGCATTAGATATGTGGTCTAGATGGTGGAAAGTGTACTCATCATATAGGGTCATGACTTTAAGTGGCACATTGATTCTCTATGACTTTTCATTGAGCGCAATGATGTATGCTCAATGTCCTAGAAGCCTTTCACATATACATGATTTTTTGTCGTCTCAATGACCTCCATTTTCATGCCTACCCGAACGGTGCCCTCGTTTTTCGGACAGCTGAGCATGCCGAAACACGGTTTCCACTTGATGCCCTCGTCAATACGCCGATAGCTGACAAGGGTATTCCAAGGCTCATGAGCATTCTTCTCGGCCGTATCGGGATTCACATTAGGGACTTGACACCTGGCGCAATGGGCCGAGACGTCAATATCAATCGTCGACGGGCTCGCAACAACAAGGGCACCCGACGGCGCGGGGCCATTGACGATGCGCACCTGCTTCCAGTCGTCCTCGCTCCAGGCCACGTCGCCGCGGACCACGATATTGGGACGGAAGCGCTCGATACCAATCTCGGCCTCACCCTTGGCCCGGAGCCGGCTGTTGAGCTCGCGCAGCGACGCCTCGTTGGCCAGGAGCAAGGGCAGGACGTCGGGGAAGTTGGTCGACTCGCGGCGGCCCAGGAGCTCGGGACTGCCGTTGCCGCGCAGCACGCGCGGCGTCGGACCCTTGTAGACCAGCTTGACGTCCTGGCCGAGCTCCTCGCGCACCAGCGCGTTGACCTCGTCGCCGTAGACCCAGCCGTCTGTCTCGGTGCCCCAAATGTCGACCGTCTCACACGTCGTGTGCGCCTCCAGCCAGGCCCGCGTCGGCCGGGCCGGGATCATGACGCGCTTCTCCGGATGGTTCCGGATACTAATGACTAGCTGGAGGTCTTCCTTGACCTCTCGATGGTGTTTGGTGGTGTCCTGCTCATCTTGGGCGGGCTGTACCGAGGCGGCGGCGGCGGCGCTGATGCTCGCGAGCGCCGTGTCAATCAGCGTCAGCTCCGAGTACTCGCGAATGGTGACGAATTTGTTTTTCCCATTCGTCGTACTAACAAACATCCAATTCCGGTCAAGATCGAGTCCTTGCCTCGTGACGCGGCTGGAGCGCACCGTGAAGCCACGGCACGATTTGATCGGGTATACACGCAGCTCCGATATGACGGCCGTTTCCCTCACGGTTGGGGCAAACGGGTTGAAGCTTTGAAGATTGACCATTTTCTTTTCTTTATATACTATATCTGAAGCATGAATATTTCTACTTTTGTAATATCTGCATTCAAAAGAACTTGTCCTTGTACAAAATATTGCTATATTATATCACGGCCGATTTGGAATCTGGGACCTGTTCTCTCAGAGCCCTTTGACGTCATATATGGAAGATTAATAAGGCGTGCGCCCGCTTATGCATCCCGGTACATCTCCGAGTGAGACGCGCAGAGAGCCGAAAATGCACATCTTGTCGTACACAGCATTGCCTCTTCTCTTTGGAATCCATCTTACACAGTGCCGTGTTGTTCTTCTTTCATTCTTCTTTCTCGCAAATCCGTGCTTCCTAGCCTCGGAGGAGCTACTACACAGTAGGTACATGGGCTTTGCCCATCAAGTGCGGGCCGCTCTCAAGTTGTTTGGCCGCTCACACACGCACGGCCTGACACGCGTCTTATGACACTCGTAACTCTATCCGCATCTTGCACCCGTGTGGCGGAATTGAGTCTCAGATATCGGAGATATATGGGGATTGTCCGGGGTCAGCCTGTGTTGATTTGCATCTTTTATCAAAAGATGTAGAGACTCTCAGAAAGGGTGCGTGCGCCAATGATGACAAGCCATGCCTCAGATGTCACAAATCAATCGCACAAGCCATGTGCCTAGTTGTGAGGAGTCATGAAGTGTTTTGTAGGGCATTGTCAACAGAAATGATCATCTGCAGGTTTGATTTATTAGTTTGTATTGTAGTAGTTGTGGCGACCGGACTATATTGATACAGGTAACGCGATGGAGGGTAAGTAGAGTTGGCGCTTGTCATTCAGTGCTGACTCTGTTGATCGGGAAAACCGCTGGCAATTGTTAGGGTGCGAGGTCGGCAAAGTCATCTAGGGCTGATAGTCGAGGACAGGTCAGAACCCAATCAAGATGGTCGGTCGATACACCAGACGCGATTCGATCTCCCAACCCGCGCGACTCGACTCGACGACCACCCACACCACACAAGCCACATACAGCGTAGGCTGGGCTGACTTATACGTGCAGCCTTTTTTTTTTTCGAGACGCACCATTTATATAGTCAGCCGCATCAAAAGTCTAGACGACTACACACAACACCAATCACCAAGCTTGGTGAATCACAAAATGGGCTTTTGTTTCAATACAGAGGTGTGTGAGACGGTGCTAATAAATAACTCTGTCAATATCTGCCACCACGAGATTGAACCATGCAGAATAAAGGTGTAATAGCCGGGGCTTGAAGATTCGCCGAAGGATCAACATGGAACTGCCAAAAGAAGTCTACGAGGCCAAGAAGGTTGATATGATTGATTTTGTGAGACGACTTAATTAGTACAGAAGAGACAAGGACGATTTAGGCTTGATGCAAGATTCCATCATCCTAGTTGGCATGTAGCCAACGACGGGCTGGCTTCTTTTGGGAATGGCCATTTGAACATTCATTCAATTTGGGGGAGCCTTTTTGAGATGATGATTATGACCTTTCACTGGCGGGCGCTTCTCTCGAGTCTCGAATAGCTTGCAGGGGAGCCCCTGGGGCTTCAATGTTGCTTGTCAAGCTAACCAAGGTAGCATTCGTCGGCCCTTGCAGAAATGCTGTCCCCGCATCGCACTATCGGTTTGTTCAATTTCCAATTTCAAAAATTTTGGCTACCCTTTTCCCGTCTTAACTCATTCATCGCGACGACTGGCCTCTTTCTCCCTTGTGGACGAGCGAGGAGGGAGTTGGGTTTTGCTGTGCCTTGGTGCGAACCAAAGTCGATGTCCGATCGGCGCGATCCCCACGTGCGATGGTAGCATTTTTCTTCTTTATTCATGTTTCTCTTTCGCCATCTATAAATTCGGGTAACTGCACGTCACCTTCGGTTGTGGCTCGTGGCACAGACAGACATGGCGCCACGACTTGTCTGTCTCAACGTCTTTTTAAACCTACCAGCCTACCAGTTCACCTACCTGCAGCTGCATCAATGTCGGTCCCGATTGCATCCGACGGAGATGCTCTCAACTCTATTCAGATCGTAATTCCTTGGGGCTCCATTTCACGATACGTATCAAAGTTCCCATTTGGTCTCTCTGGCCCCCTCTGGTCCCTGTCGTTTCTCTGGTTCCTGGCAAGCTCGAGATTCCCAAGAGCGTGCTAGGCTACTCCTGTACTAGTAAGCAGCGCGGCAGCTGGTGGACCGTATAATTAGCGCTCGCCATGGGCTGCTTGAACCCCTGATCAGTCTGCCGATCCCTCCTCCAAAGCTCCGTAGCCAGGAGCTAGCTAGCACAGCTTGCACCCGACAGCCTGTTCATGTCATTTCACCATTGCCCACCACCGTAGTCTAGCAGTCACTGATGCGTGAGTCTGGTTGTTATGATGGGACGGATGGCTGCGCCGGACCTCATGTGCGTGGGCGGTAAGTATCGCCCGCCCTCTTTCACGGGAGAGCCCTTCGTCTGGTATGTATGCGAGAAACTATCCCCAGAAACCAAAAAGAGAGCTTTGCGAAAGAAGAGAGACAAAAACAATAGGTGCCATCATGACTCGGGCTCGAGCACTTTTACAATAAACTTGACCCGGTCACTTTTTTGCCATTGGTTTGCCTGCCTCCCATAATCCGCGCACCTATCATCTATCATATCAGCTTTTACTTCGTACCTCGAGAGAGATCTACCTACCTTGCCTTTAACCCAGGCCTTGCTGCTCCAGTACAATGTAAGTGGGTGCTGGGATCAACATCTCGTCTCCTCAATTTTACACGGCGCTTTTTCCTTAATCTGACTTCCTCAACTCGACCTCGTCCAATTTTTTTTCTGGTCCTGAAGGAACTGAGATCGGCTTCCTTGCAGATTTCTGTCCTGACCCTCGACATCTTTCCTTCTTGCTTGCATGCATGCATGTTGGCTTGGACCTCTTATTGTGTCTCTCAGATCCCTCCTCTCTCCTCTGTCTGACTGACTGACTACACATGTGGATTGGCTCTTGCCTCCCCCCAGCCCAGCCGCCCCAACAGCCTTTTATTATCCTTATTATTAGGCTTTCGCTTTTACACTTCAATGTTACCCTCCACCCAGCCTTGCGCCCCAGAACCTTCTTGCTTCGTCAGGATCGCGTCCTTGTCCCGTAAATAGCAACAACTCGCGTCGAGTGCCCGAGCAGGGTCCTTGTTTTATTTTATTTTCCCCCCTTTGCTTTACAATACTGGAGTATCCATCCCACAACTGATTCATTCAAAAGATGCGTCGCATTTCGTCGCCCTAACGGCTCACAATTCATTACAAAAAGCTTGGTCCATACCTAGGTGACCAGAGGAGCAATTGAAACGCTCCCTGGGTGTTGCCGTTGCACACCGCAGGCATCATGTCGGCGGCGGGTGTGGGACACTCGTCATGGACCGGCCGCGATGGTGCACAATCGCAGCAAGAAGCCTCGAGGACAATCAGGTCGATCCGCGCACGGCTTCCACGCTCGCAATCGACCGGTAATATGCTGGAAGCCGTTGGAGCATCTTTCAGGGGCAACCACGAACCACGCGACATCAATACAGTCTCAAACGAACGTGGCAATCTGCAAGAGCTAGCCAAGTTCTTTCGCACTACCGCGCCGCCTCTCAGTCATGCAAGCGAACATGCTCAGATGCGATCTGGCTTGGAGCATGGCAGGAAACGCTCCTTTCAGTCCTTTATCAAGCGGCGGCGGAATACAAAGTCGGGGTCACAGTCCGTGCACCTACAGCCGAGCGAGAAGTTCGTTGTCAAGAGATCGATCGAAGGTTATCCATACACCACGCTGCCAGACCCCGAGGAGCCCATCAAGGAAGAAGCTATGGCTTCAACACATTATCCCGTCTTCCCAGTGACGCATTCGCGGCGGCCATCTGCGCCTCTACAATGGCCAGAGAGGACCTCTTCGGCTGGCAAGACATCTGCTGGGCCCATCAGTCCCATGAGCCCAAAGACGCCCACTCGCGCCTCATCAACGGAGCATTCTCAGAGCATGCCGCAAATATCGGAGCAGAGTCCTGCTTCGATCAAGCCTGAACTGCAACCGGGCAATGAGGATCTCAAGAACTTTACCGAGGCCCGTGTTCTGGCCACCAATTTCTTCAATACCCTTGCGGCGCAACACAATTCGCTTGGAACGCCACAAGCAGAATCCGTAAATGACCTAAAACAGGACAAGAAAGAAGCCGTCGTCGATAACGCTACTAGACAGCAATCTTCGCCCTTGTCCCTAGTTCTTCAGAAGCCGGGTCATGCAGAACCTCAGAACTCATCAGTCGAGTTTCCGGCTACACCACCGCCTTCGGGACAATTCCAACAGTTCGATTGGCCCGAGGTTGTCGTAAAATCGCCAGGGTTTTCGCCGACAAAGTCTCCAGAATCATTGTTAGCTAGGCGGAGGCAATCCAGTCTGTCGAATCTACAAATGATGCACACATCTCCCAAGTCGCGTGGCTCTCCCAGGCTGCCACCAAACGCATCTACTCAGCGCAATCTTGCTGTGCCACAGGAGAATGTCCCACCAGAATCACCCGGATTTCCCAAAATGTTGGCTGGAATGACGTTTCCTTCTCCCCCAAAGACATCGCGGCCTACATCTGCTGCGAGTAACTCAACTTCGGGATCTCGTCCCAACACTGCTGCCTCCCCTCAGCCAGTGCGACCACGTACGTCGAGCAGAAATGCTACTATGCCTTCAACAAGTCCCGTCTCGTTGAATGAAATCGTAATGCGATCCACACGACCGGGCCTTCTGCATTCTCAGTCTGATTACACGCTGCGAGATTCTACAGGTACAAGAGGCGGCCATAAGACCATGGAATCTGTGGTCTCAACGCCGCAATCAAGCCCCGGAAATACTGCACCAATGTCGACTCCATTGTTATCGCCATCGGACAATGCCTTGTCGACCAGCGACGCCTATCATGCACGGTCGGACTCTGACGTCTCGTACGTGACTGCATTTGACGAGCAGCGGGCGTCTGGGACACCCTCGACTTTTAGCGAGTATGCATCATATCGACAATCTGGATCTAGTATCATCACAACGACTACGGAATCACACAGGCGATCCACTTCGACCAACTTGACCAATAGACAATCTACTAGAAGCAACGCCACCACTGTTAGTACATCTCCCAGCTTTGAAGATGGGACAAGTAAATGCGAGGATTCCGCAAATGCAAATGTGCATAACAACCCCAATTGGCCCCTACCGGCTGACGTTCATGGCGACCTGCTTCAACGGCGGGTGTCGGGCAAGAGCTCCAATATGAACGAGCGCCACATTGAGACTACGCCGATAGCTGAACTTGGCTCACCCAAACCCATGAGTATTGCCGAAAGACGAATTGGCCGTCATAGACCGTCGACGGAACATAGAGACAAGACAATTGACCATGCTCATCTAGCTGCGAGACCTAATCTCCGAAGCGCCATGAGCTTTGATTCGGTGGATTCTCCAGTTCTTGGCTATTTCCCACACAGCGTTGTCCCAAGCAGAAAAGCGTCCGTCCATGGCCCCTCTCCGTTGGCCCACATTTCTCCACTGGTTGCGGTCACGCAGGGGCCAGAGGCGGAAAGTAGCCAAGGTAGCCAAGGGGAAAAGCCAGCCGCGCCCTTTGACGAAATTCAGCAATCCCATCCAGGCATCGCTCAGACAATGCACAAGAACTCGAGAGTGACGCCTTCAGTCTCGACACAGAGGGCCGAGAGGCCAACCTGGAGCGTCTCGTCTCTCATGACGACCGAGATCCAGCCATGTGCAGATGCGGAACCCGAGGAACGAAATGATTTGGCAATATCTGCTCTCATGATCGTGGCAGAGGTGTTACCGGAGGCGGTTGGAGAAGAACCTCACTTGAGCAAGCGACTTTCCATCATTCCTCCTTCTGGTGCACCAACGGCACCCCATTTGCCACCAAAGTCGCCGCGACGTCCAAAACATACAATCAACAAGAGACTTTCTCGTCAGTTTCCTGTGCCGATAAGGGTCAATATTCCTACATCGGATGCCTCTGGGTCTATTTCCAACAAGTCCAATGTCATTGAAAGGGGTGGCATGCCATTCCCCGCCCCGGGTGTCACTTCTAGGGCACAGAAGCGTATGAGTCTGCCAATTTATATGTCGGGTGGTGCCAGACCAGTTTCGTGGATGCCGCCATCTCGACTGCGTGAGTCAATCATCGCGTCCGATGCTGAAGACGACACCGAGCCTGAGTCCGAGTCGCAGCCTGAGCCTGAGCCTGAGGCCAGGCCCAGGAGGCGAAGTAGTGTGATCAAGGAGAGGATTCATCTGGCGAAGCTGGCCAGAGAGAAGGAAATCGCCGAGTTGGTAGCCAAGATGGCTAAACCGACGACTGTCCAGACTCAAGACCTGCACGAGTATTCGAGTGACTCCTCGGAGAGCCAGGCGTGCACCACAGATGAGCTGGAGCAGCGCATCCATCGCCTCGAGAAGGACAACGGTGAATGGGTCAGCATGCTTGATCCCCTCCTCACTAATATGACCCGCACTCTGAAAGAGATGAAGGAGGGAAAACTGAACCCATTGCTCATGAATGAGTTCATCATTGATATGGCGGTCGAGGCAAGAAGATCCATGATGAGCAGCAGCAATAGTCCCCAGGAAAGCGAGGTTGGCCTCAGGTCGCCCGTAACATTTGACGGTTTCGATGGTTCCCACCAGCCCAAGACGCAGCCAGAGTCAAGGCCAGCGACCGCCGTACGCACCAAGAAGACCAGCATGGACCAAAGCCCGCCCCGAAAGGAGCATGTCCGTCTACCTACAGAACAGCCTCAAGCAGAACAGCCTCAAGAGCCGGAGGTGGAGGAGCCGGCAGTCGTCGCCCAAGAGGATTTGGTGCAAATCGAGGTCCAGCCCATCCCGGACCCCGCCAACGCCGGGGTCGGCTCACCTAGGACGCCTCAAGAGCATGAATTCGAAGCTGATAGGTCAATCCGCAAACGCATCCTGGCGCAGGAAGTCATGATGGACGAGCTGATGATGAAATGGGGTCTCCCTTCGCCACGGGCTTCGGTGGATTCCTCAAGGTCGAGTGCCATGACCTTGCCACCCATAGCCGGAACCCCATCCCAGCGACATAGCAAGAGCAGCAGTACCGCTACAATCAGACCGACTCACAAGAAGGCAGACGCGGGTGCATTGGAAATATCTGGCGATATTGCGCTGAAAGAGACACCAATCAACAAGCACCTGCTCATGGACGCAGAGGGTCTGACCGGGCCAGCTGGCAGCAGAAGGGGCAGTCGTCGCTGGAGCAGTGCCGGAGAAAGGATGAGCTGGAAACCGGGCGACACTGGGTTCATGAATGTGCTGATGCAGGAGCTGAGATCTACTTCGAGGCTCAGCCTTGAAAGTGGAGGAGACTATGAGGTCTGGATCTGAGTTCTGAAAGGATCTGCAATTACTGTGGTTGGGAGAGGGGCAAAGACCCAAATGTCCCAGAGATTGGGTATTGCAAGCGCGCTGCTGAGCATCGCACTGCGACAAGACCAAAACATTTTCCTTGAATCATTTGAGTGTGTATATATACACGAACTGATATTGTTTTTTTTTACGCTCATGAGGAGCTTATTGTTTTAAGATACCCAAGCCTTGACTGGCTTTACGTAGACCTTATAATAAAAACAAAAACAAAATGACAATAGTATCATTACATAAAGTTGGCAATTAAGTCTCAAACCATGTGTCTGTGGCATGGAAATGCCATGTGCTTTTTATGATATTTGCCGTGCATGTTGTGATAAGAATAGAGAGAGAGAGAGGTGCCGACGTTTCAACTGCCTTTTCATGACACGTGGCCGCCCCAACCAAGGCGTTTTGCAATGTATGTACTGTACACACTATGGAGCCCGGGACTTGAAATCGTTAGTTGAGACGCATGATGTGCAGTAGTCACAGTAGCTTGATTCACTCACTCCCCATCTTTTTAACGGGAACAAATAGTAACCAGTTTGGGAGGGGGATCACAACTTTTCGAAAAAGATGAAATAGGTAGAAGAATCACGTCTAAGCATAACGAGTGGGAATAGAAGCTTAACTACCTTAATGCACCTATTGTACGGGGCTTGCCGCACGGTAAAACCAAGGTACCTACCTATGATTTTAGTGGGAAGGTTAGAGGAGACGCGATTGATAATGGTCCCGGCATTCAACGTTGACGTTTTGCCACATCCTACTCACAGACATGAAGTACACAACACTATGAATGATGATTGAATGCAACGCAAAACGGTAGTGTACAATTAATGCCATGAAAATAAATAAATAAAGGAGTGAGTGGGTGAGAAAAGAAGCCGATTAAATGTAAAAAGTTTGGTAATGCCAGGACATGGGGGCAAAAGAAAAGAGAGAGAAAAAGTGGAAGGGGGAGCAAATAGAGTAGTAAAAAATTATAAGCATCATGATATCATCTTCCGCAATTATGGTCGAGGGGGCAAGCCTTTTTTAGTTTCGGCGGCAGATTTCCTTGCCGAAAAAGCAGAGAAAAGAAAAAGTGGGGGTGGTTTTTTGTCCATGGTTCGTTCGACTCTCGTGTCTCTTTTGGTAATGGGCAGCCAGCTCCAGTTCTCCAGTGTGTGTGTGTGTGTGTGTGTCCCTCCTCCTCTCCATTTTGCCCATGTTTCGCAAGCACTAAAAAAGAGGCTGGCAACGAACGGGCGGATCATAAAAACCACGATCCAGATTGTCGCGCGTGCTCCAGGCTCGCTGGGGGTGTGCACGGGCCAACAACCGCCGCCTCTGCCGGGGGAAATATGGTCAAAATCCTGCAACGGCTCTTGCGTTCAATCAGCTTTTTTCTTCGTTGCCGACCCGGGACGATCATAAGCAATTGGGCAATGACAATATGGGAATAGCTACTGAACATTGATCTTACAATCCTCTCTTCAATTACACAAGCAACCCAAAATCTCTCTATTGACCAAGAGCCCCATTCCATCTGCCCTTTCTTTGCCTTTTTCCCCTCCCCCCATCTGCTGCTGGCTGCACGCGCCTCTCACGTCGTCGTCAAATGGGATCGGATCGCTCGTTACCCTTCAATTGATTGGTTGCATTTTTCTTTTCCCTCATTCTCTTATTTCCTCGACGTCCCATTTGCCCAACCCACACCCAGCCAACATCACCAGCGGCAGCAATTCTCGTCATCATCTTTATTGTTGTCGTCGTCGTCGTCGTCGGTGTTGTCGGTGTCGTCGGTGTGTTTTCTGGAGAGGGCCATCATCCATTTTGACAGCTAGATACACTCCCAATTCACATTCACACCCACCCCAACACACACACACACAACTCTCTTCGGATCAAACCAATTCTTCTCGACCCTTTCTTTGCCCTCCTGCCCACCCCCCACACCCCCCCTCCAGCCCCAGCGAAAGCAAGCAAAGCACGCACATGTATCCTCACCCCGGCGCGTCGTCATCGTCATCATCATCATGGTAGCCAACAAGAAGTCCGAGGCCACCTCACTATGGCAGCGGCGCGTCAAGGTCGCCATGCCAAAGGCCGATAAGATCCTAGAGACAACAGCTTGGACCTTGCTTGGCGGCGTGGATCGCAAGATCATTCGGGACCAGATTGATGCCTTTCTCGAGATAGCAATGTAAGTCATTCATGCTGGTGTGCATTTTCCTTTCTTCTCATCTCAATTTTGCAAAACTTTTGGATCTTTCCCCTCTTTCTTTTTCATTCCTTTTCTTGCTTTCTTTCCTATTCAATATAAAATGAGATTCATCATCAGCTCACACATATTCTCCTGCCCCCCAAAAACAGTGCCGAGGCAGTCAAGAACCTCCCCAAGGGCGAACGTTTGGATTATGACCCAATGATCAACCAAGCCATTCAGGAGGCCTTTTCAGATCATTTTCATCTCTTCTCCTGGGCTACTGATCAGGATGCCGAGAACAAGATGATGGACCCTAGGCACATGGACGGCTGGGAGGATGAGTCCTGCCCTCATGAGCTCTTCGACATGCACGGCGTATGATGATGGCGACCAAGGAGAAGAGGTCAACAGAGAGCTCAAACGAGAGCTCTCTGTCGCTGCTCCCACGTGATGGGGAAAAGGAAGGCGCCTCTCAATACGTGCCGGGTCATGGCACATCAATGCATTGGCAGGCAAGGTACTCGACCCCGTCGTCGTCGTCGTCGTCGTCGTGGGCCCTCCTTCAGCACATTCCATGCAGGCCGAGCCACGGCTGGAAGAGACCGGCTCCTCTACACTTCTTCTCGTCATCTCATTTTCCGAATCAGGGTACTTTCCCAACAACCCCTGATGGAAAACAAAACTTCAAGGAAGGAAATACACATGCCGGCACGAAAAAAACGAACCAAAGGAAGGAAACGTTTTAAGAAAAAGTGATTTTGACTTCACTGGATTGTGGCTTACGGTATATAAGTACATTAAAGCAAGGCGCAATGGCGTTTTACGGAACGGAAAGGCGTTGTTTGGTGTTTTCAATGGATACAAATGCATTTCACCAATGTTTATAAATCTCTTCACCCTTTTGTGTTCAATTCAGGCGTGGAAGACCTGCTTCACGTCACGGGAAGCAAATGGGCACCTGTATTATTTTGTGTCTCCAAATTGCTTTTGGTCCTATGATTTATAGTCTTCTTGTGCACGCACCGCTGATCTCTATACCACCTTGTGCTTACGAGTAAGACGTGGCCCGCCACCAATCACATCGCGCATTGGCAGCGGGATCCTGTATTACATTGACAAAAGTCTGGTTCAGGTTCAAGTCGGTAAAGTTGGCTCCATACGCGGGGAAAATCGGCAGCAGCGAGCCACGATTCGGATCCCCCGTCTCGACAAAGCTGGCAAAGTACTCTTGCATGTACAAGGCCACGGTCTCGTTGGTCACGGAGCTGCTGCTGTTGACAAAGTACGAGTAGTACACGTCCAGGGTGTGCGTCCCCGGCGGCACGCTGAACAGGTAGCTGTAGCTGTCGCGCCCGGCCGCGGGGCCCAGCGCGTCGCCTAGAAAGTAGGCGTGGCAGGTAAAGGTAAACTCGGACACGGCGGTCCGCAGACGCTCAAACGGCGTCGTCCAGTCAGCCTGAGTGCTGCTATTGCTATCGCTGCTGCTGCTGTCGTTGTAGACAGCCGGGTAGACGTCCGAGGAGAGCTCGGCCAAGAACTCGGCCGAGGCGTCGGGGAAATACAGCGCCATGTACTCGTCAAAGGCCGACGAGTTGGTCGCCGCCGGGTCCGTGTAGCGCTGGCCCTCGTACGTATTGTGCGCCACCATGACCTTGATGTCCCGGTGATATGCGCCGCGGGCCAGGAGCTTCTCGGGCAGGTCGGGGACGTAGCCGCCGTCGGGCGCGACGCCAAACTGAAAGGCGCCGTAAAAGTCGGCCGTCTGGGCCAGCTTGTTGGCCGTCTGCAGGGCCAAGGTGTCGAGCGCCGCGAGCTCGGCCAGCGACGTGGCGTTGGCGCGGTCCAGGAGCACGGCGTACGACGACTCGGCCTGCGACGCGTACGGCCGCGGCACGTAGCCCGGGGACTGCACAATGGCTTGCTGGAACGGGAGCGGCGCCTCGCCCTCGCCCTCGTCGCCGCCGTAGGCTGTGATGTGATGCATGATAGCGCCAGCTCCTGCCGATTCGCCCATGACCGTCACGCGGTTCGGGTCGCCGCCAAAGAGATGAATGTACTTTTGTACCCAGTCGAGTGCTTTGCGCTGATCGTAGAGACCAGCATTTGCCAAACCTCCCTGTGACGTAAAGGAGCTGCCTTGAAGCCAGCCAAAAGCACCAAGCTATTGCAAACAAATGTTTAGCCCACGGTCATTTTTCCTGATACAGTTCAGATTACTCACTCTGTAATTAAGCCCAACCCAAATGACACCATCGCCTCCGTCGACAAAACTACGATCCAGCAGCCCGAGCGGATTCGAGTCTGGCGTGCCGTACTTGGCTCCAATCTGGTACCCCCCGCCATGAATCCAGACAATGACGGGCTTGGACGTATTTCGCCGACTGTCCCATAGACTCTGCGGCACCACAACGTCTAGAAAGAGACAATCCTCGCTCTCGTGCTCGCCCGGCGCCGCCGTCACCAACGCCGCGTTCTGCCAGGGCGTGTAGGCCTGCGGGCAGATTTTACCGTACGTGCCGTCTTGCACGCCGGCGGAGCGGTTATAGACTGGGTCCGCGGGCGCTCGGAACCGCAGACTGGGCGTCACTGGCGGCGCGGCGTAGCGAATGTTGGAAAAGTTGTAGTAGACCCGGTCGTCGGGCGACGACGTGATTTGTGGCGCGTGCAGTGCATAGGTCAGGTCGACCACTACTGCAGAACTGCTGTTGGAGGCCTGGCTAGTAGATGATGAGGGCAGAGTTCCTGCCGGTGTCGTCGTATCGTTGCTGAGGCATTTCGCTGCTGCGCCCGTCCCTGCCAGGAGGAAGGGGATGGCGAGGGCAGTGGATAGCTTCACCTGCATGGTGCTATGTGCTCACCTCTGAGCAAACGGGCACGAAACAACCTTTTCTATGAACAACCACGAGACACGCGAATGAGTCTTGGCAAGCATGTTGCAAAGAAAATATCCTGGAAAGGTAGATATGCCTGCGTTGTTATCTTTTAATCCAAGTTGCTACTACATCATGGTGATCGGCCGGAATTTCCGGAGGGCCCCCGCTAGATATGGTTCCCTGGAAACAGGGAAAATCGGATATTATAGTGATCCACTCTGCGGCGATGCCCTCGTTCGGCAGTCGTTCGGAGGGAGTGTGGATCAGGCAAACTCCATGGTCGTGACATATTTTACCTTGATTTTCGTGGTGATAATCACGAGTTTGCGTTGACATGGCGTTTTCAAGTCGTTACATGGAGTAGACATGAAGTAGGTGCCATGCGTTGCTGTTAGGCTTGAACCTTATAATCTCATGCACCGCACTGCACTCTTCAAGCATAAAATACTTTACCATCAGATCACGATCGACATTCGGCATTTCTCCATCGGGGATATGATTGCGTAACCAATCCATTCTTGGATTCTTCCTGTTCATCAGGTCGTTGTAGTACCCTTCCTATGGAAATACTGCTTTCATGGCCGTGACAACTCTTTAAAAACAATCCTTTTTTGCATCCTTTTCGTTCCAGCCAGTATTCATGCCATTCCATCCATCATTATCTCGTATCCATGCTCCTGCAAATTTTGCAAGGCTTCTGAACAATGTATAAAAATATTCCATTGCTTCTTTATGCATCTCGCTCTGCCTCGGGCCGTGGTCCTGGAGCATTGTGCGGCAAAGCCTCGTAAACGACAGTCCTGGGTCGCGCGGGCTCCGCGATATTATGTCTGCGGAGGTAGGCCAAAGTCGCCGAGGGGACTCCGCGGCCTTGTTCCAGGAGATTCTGGCAGGCGGCACCGACGCGCATCCGGGTCTCAAGCGCCTCGTCATTTTGGAGAATCCACTGCAGTACCGGCAGTGACGTGTCAGATTCCAGACAATTCACAGCGTCGTCGTGTAGGCCCTTGAGTTGTCGACCATTGCGTTGATGCTGGTCAAAGCTGTACTGCAGCAGCATTAAGGCATTCTTGGGCGCGTGTTCTCTGATAGCCGCGTTCCAGGCCTCCGCGATCTCCCAGTCGGCCTTATCGGCAATGAATAGCTCCATGACGTCTCTGTTGTCATCAACACCGACTGCGGCCATATAGAGCGGGTCTGCATCTAGGTAGAGTGAGCTCTCTACCACGTCTGTGTACCCGCGCTCCAGCAAAGTTATCACCACGGCCTTCATACCTGCGAATGCGGCGAGATGAAGGGGTTCCTGGCAGCCACTGTCCCAAGACCAACCGCCATCGTTGCTGTGCTGTGCAAGCAAGAGTGCTTGTTCCCGACGGCCCATAGCTATGGCCATACATAGAGGTGAGTAAAGTAGGCAGAATTCGGTGTTGAAGGTTTTCGAAGTCAGAGCGACGCCCGGGACGAGCTCATAGCCATCATGGACCTTTCGTCGGAGGCCCTTGAGCTCTGGGTGCCAGGAATCTACAAAGCAGCCGGCCTGGACCAAGAGCTCGACCATTTCGTCGTGGCGGCGCCAAACGGCTCGAGCCAGAGCCGTGAATTTGAGGTACTTCACGTTGATATATTCAAACCAATGTTTGACGCTTGCCGCAATGAGTTTCTGGGCGAGAGGGATCTTGTTACTATTCAATCCAAGATGTCAGTGACTGCTCACTCCGAGTTGTAAAGGAGTCAAAATGAAGAGTGAGGTGACACGCATTGGCAAACAGACAAAGCTGTACCCGGGTCATTCCCCAAAGGCATGTCGATTGGGAAAGAAAGAGTATTGTTTACTTACCTGCGGACGGCGGAGTGAAGAGCTGGTCGACCTCCCTGCAAATTGGGTCGCGCATCGAACATCTCAAGGCGATCCGCGGCCGACGGGACGCTACTCAAATGAGTATCCAGGATCGAGTCAATGCTCGTTTCACATTCATATGGATCCAGGATGAGCTCTTGTCGTTCCTGCTCTTTGGTGAAGAGGACTTCGGTCTTGTACAATTCGATCTTGAGCCATGCCCACATGCTCTTGTTGGTAACGGCCAGGTGGAAAAGGTCAGTAGGGTGATGAATATAGTTCTTGGCAATCAGGTAGAAGATGTGATCGGGCAGCTTCTGTGCTCCCATGGGCTCTGATGTCGTCGAAGGGGTTTGCTCCTGTTGAGTGGACGACGCCGAAGAGGGGTCGCGACCAAGCAGTGTAGCCTCCAGCGGGGTGATGGGACCTGCGGCGAGTATCTTACTGAGATCCATTGTGATAATTTGTGCGCGGGAAGATGAAGATTAGGCGGGCTTTGAGGATTCAGTCTGTTCCTTTTCAATGTGCCATCGGCGCATCCAAGGTTGTACTGATGGATGAAGCTGAAAGCACGCCTGAGTGCTTGCCGCGCTGGTGATGAAGAAAATATCGCCGAAAGGCAAGTGATTGGAAAAGCTTGTTAATGGCAAAAACAAGTCAATGACAAGACTTGATATGCAATGCAAACGCCCTGAGCTTGGACAGGGCAACGAAAAACCGAGGTGACCACCACAAGGACATGGCAGGAGCCAAAACTTGAAGCTGCCTCGGCGTTTGCATGCTGCCACCTCAACAGAATCAGTTAAGCCTTTTCTCAATGGTGCAGTGTCTTTTTCCAAACTCGCCTGTCAATCGAAGAACAATCACTCGGCATGAAAAGAAGATGGAATTTTTCACCATTGTGACAAGTATTGACCGCGCCGCGATACATCAACATCCTCATTCACATCCCCCATAGCAAATAAACGCATCTATTAAGGAAATCCCATGCACCTAGTCGAATCAGAAAACATTCCGTGGATAACTTGAATAAAAAATTGCTTCAAGTAGTCTATAAAGCCAAGTAGCGAGTATTGGCCAATGAGATAATCACGCCAAGGGTCTATGCACATCTATAGTCACAAATGTCAGCCATGGCGCTGACAGGTGCCACCATAGGGTCGCGAATCCCGGAACCCGTTGAGCTTTACATGCTTTAAGACGGAAAAAGAAAAATGACCTATCCAATTGCTGCAAACTAAAATCACATCAGCAATGCTAGAAAGTCTATCGTCTAAAGACTAATCATGGTAGATTATGCCCATGAGCATATTCAATGGCATCATATTGTTGCTATTATTCTGAAAATGAGGATCCTGTATGTCACTCCTGTAAAATTGTGTTCACTGCATCGATACATCACATGAATCTGCAAATCATTGAGGCACAAGTATTTTCAAGGTTTGGTGAGATGGCTCGCGCCTTGTATTTACTACACGCCAGGATCCGAGTTCGTGATCATGACTATGCTAGTTTTCCTATGAGGTCCAAAAACGCTTCGCAAACTCCATAAATATATACATTGAAGGGGTATCGGTTGAGAACATTGGTAACATCGTTATAAAAGTTTAGTCATTTTTACAAGCGACCAAAAATTTACAGCTAGAATTAAAATATTAGCAAATTGCCTTTTTACTGATCAAGTTGGAGTGCAAACTTACGATGCTGAGGAGACCAGTGACGGGGGTGAGGATACCGCCAGCAATGTTGTTGATGTCGGTAACGAGGCCCTTGACGTCGTCGACAACGGTACCGGTGGCAGTGGAGACGACAGAGTCGGCAAGGCCAAGGACGGGGGTCAGGAGGGGCTCGACAATGTTGAGGACAGCCTTGACCTCGGGCTTGACGGCGGTCAGGACATCACCAACGACGGCGTTGAGGAGGTTGTTGACGGTGGTGTCAATGTCGGAGACGAGGTCCTTGACCTCGGAGAGGAGCTCGGGGACGTTCTCGAGCTCGGCGTCGACGAGAGGGAAGACGATTCCGGTGACGAGGGGAACAATGTCGCCGACGAGGGTGTTGACCTCGGTGACAATGTTGCCGAGGGCAGTGTTGACGGTGGGGATGACATCGTCGGAGACAACGTCGCCGAGGACGGACTCGACGTTGGACAGCTCAGCCTCGACGAGAGCCTTGACGCTGGTGACAACGCCGGTGACGGTGACAATGACCTCACCGTCACGCTTGACGGGAGCCGGGGCGGCAATGGCGGAGCCGATAGTAACGGCAGCAAGAGCGAACTTGAGGAACTGCATTTTGGCGGTAGAAAAAGAGGTTTTAATTATTAAAAATTAAAGAAAGACTGTGTGTAGTTGGAATGAGTCGCGAGGGTTAAAAGAGTGACTGGTAAGCTGGATGCTTTGCCTGAGATTGTGATGCTGCGATGCTGAGGAAAAGAAAAACCGTGATATTCAAGGCCGGCTGTCGACGATATATATGTTGTTTGCTCCCCTATACCACTGCAGTGTGTGCGCATCGAAGGGGATGTGGACTCGACTCGACTTGACTCCATGGACCCGCCAGACGAATCGAATCCTGGATGGTTTCGTCGGGCAAGCAACAAAGTACCTACCACTGACACGTCCTTCCATTTCGTCACCTCTATGGCGATAGACATTTGTCTCCTGTCCCAAGGCCGCCGAGTCCCTCCCAATTCCGTATGCCAGAGGCTCAAAGCGCGTGTACGACAGCCACAAGACCCCTGCCGGCCATGGGTTTCTAATGCCGTACACCCTTGCCAGGCCCTCCCAAGGCCCCCCAATACCCCCCGTCTGCCATCTGCACCCTTGACCAAGTTAAGCAATGTTCCTGCATCGTGGACTGCCAAGGGCTCCTCCATCCCCGCATTCAGCACTAGAGAATGCTGATCATAATACGACGGGCCCTGGCCGGCAGCTTAAAAGTTTACCACTAGCGCTGCAACCTCCAGGGCTTGAATTGTTTGGTTACCAGGTAAAATGCACTCATGGGCAGGCCCCCAAAGCCCCTCGACCCCCCTGATCAAGCTGTCAGAGACCGTTTGACAGCCGGATCTCAGGGGAGGAGGTTTCCTGGGCGAGAGGTACTAATGTCTGCCGGGTTTAGTTGGTACTCTACTAGTGCGCTGTTTGGTGCTTTGTTAGCACCTGTTTGCGTCCCACAGGCGGACGATTACCTTAGCCAATGGGGCAAACCACCAAAAAGTTGCTCCACCAAATCCAGGAACCAGCTTTCCATTGACCACCTGGTTTCGGGCATGGACGCTGAGGGCATCACCTGCCACGAGGTGTCAAGCTGCTGCTCTTTTTGGGCAACCATTCAGCATCAATCGATGGGAAATCCGCAATGGAACTATGATGTCAGATGTTGCCCAACTGACCAGTTCTAGAAGGGAAGAAGACGAACCCAAATCCGTCCATCGATCGGGTCAATCTCGTCTGCCTAGGAATCGGAATGAGCCTATGAGCAATTAAGCCAGCCTCGCACCGAATATCATTATATCGGTCGGAGAAAAAACGTGGGTGATGTGCATCATGGATGACGACGAGCCATTATTCGTTCAAGTCTCGGCGGTTTTTGGCATTGCATCTCTCAGCGCATCGTGTCTACCTAAGATAGTGTCAAATGTAGGTAAGCAGGCCGCCGGTTTGTCGTCTCGAGTCTGGGCTTTGGGACTTTTCATCCGGTCTTCTCTGATAACAGTCATTCCAGGTGAGATTGATTGTTCCGCTGTTGAATACCATAGTACCCCTCTGGGAAGCCAACAAATATTACCCGCCCGTGGTTGTCCGTGCCAATCGCACCGCCAACGGGAGCAATGGCGCCAACAAGCACGCCAATATCCCCTAGCCATGCAGGAATACCGACGGGCTGGGCGACGGTTCAGAAAGCACCATTCCTTCGTTGAAGCTATTGGCGCCTCCAGCACTCATTAGGGGTTGGCCTGATGTCTGTGCCAATAACTTGATGAAGCAGTATTTCTGACACTAACAGCCCTAATGTTTATTTCCATGGCGTCGTTGGGCGTCCAAAAGCACTGTTCATTTGCTTTCCCCAGCAATAGTTCAGATGAACTGTCGGTAATGCCTTAACAAAACAAGCATTACCGATGCTGCACGGCAACAATAGATCAGATTGATTAGTATTGCCTCCTTTTACGCACCGATGGGCCGGATCATAGGCCTTCCGCCAGAGGTTCCCGTCTTTTATTCTCTAGTTTCCAAGACTAACATCATCACTAGCAACTCGACAACAACAACAAGACAAGAACCAAGGCTCGAGTCAGTCAAGATCTACCAAGGCTAGCAACACTAGGTACCGTCTGCTTTGGAAGCCAAGTCAACCGAATCGCGAGATCTTCATACACGACTTCTCTCCTCCAGTCATAGAATCAAAAAAGAACAAAGACATAAAAAGGTCGAAATAAGACGCGACAAAAATTCGTGGTCAGCAATAGCTGCGGCTCGTCTGATTATATTAATCCCTTGCATCACCTTTACCCGGGGTGCCGACATTCAACGGTCGAACCCCTGCCAGGGTATAGGTCATCCTGGTTCGAACTAATGTGGTATGGGCCATGTATTGCCCATGAGCCTTCCGCCTGGGGGCCGACCCTACATTACCTGCTTCCGCTTCTCGCGCAAAATGGCCTCGAAATTTGGGCGAATCCACAACTCACGCCTTGCCACGAAGTATTGCATACAATTCCATTACCAAAAGACCCTCCAGCATCTGCCGAAATATGCCTCGCAGACTAGACAGACCGCAACTGGTCGAATGACGCCATGCCGAGTCATATGTTCTCGTCTCAATAGCGCGGTCTTTTCAATCGTCTCTGGTATTTACTACCATCGTCGAATGGATGGTAACAACGTGGGAAGTTTGGCCCAGATGATTGGGATTCCAAGGGAGCCTGCTGACCCACACGGTAAATCAGTTTTCAGTGTTGCAACTTGACTTGATCAATCCGTCCAGGAATGCTCATCTCCTACTGCTGATCCTCTCCCCCTGCCTGACTTGTGCTTACTGCATCGGTTCCACTTTACCTTCAAGACCGTCGACAGGGGTCAGTCAGGTTGATTGCATGGACCTCGAATGCGGAAGAAGCCATCTGATGTCGTCCAAGGTCCAGATTGAGTATGCTTTTCTAGGTCTCCTATTCTCTACTGCTCATCTATTGGTCGAGATAATGAAGCGAGGTTACGATGCTCATGATCTTGTTTCCAGGACCGGACAGGCTGACATGCACTCATGCAATGCTCATTGGCAGATGAAAAAAAAAAAAAAAAAAAAAAAAAACCGAAAACAAAAGAGCCGGGGGAAAAAGAGCTTTGCATTCTACTGTGTAACAGTATCGGCTGCTCGGGAGAATTGCGTCCTGCTATGAAAATGGGCCTTCGCGGATAAAGCGGGTCTGCCGCCGAAATTGAGTTGACATATTTCTATTCCATGCAAGACCCCATTCCAGCCCGGTATTCGAGCGAATTGCCAATACTACCTGGTACAAGTAATAACTGATGTCGACTCCGACATTATATTATGGACCCCCCCGATCCAATGACGATGCCTTCAAATTTTATGACGTTTCCGCTTCGCAAGGCCACCGTCAGCGGTGAACCAATTCTCCCACGGGCTGGCTATACCACATAGCATCACCGCACACCGCGGCGGACGACAAATTAGTACGCTGCAAGCCAATACTATAAAAGATATGGCATGTGCAAAAGGAAAGGCGTTGGTGGTTTGGCGCAAACCCAACGTCTCAGGCAAAGACTAGGGGCATTTTTCCAGCGGACGAAAAGGGCCTCTATATGACTATGGCTCCCGTGTTGCCGTAGGCGCAGGGTCCATATGGGATGTCGAGGGAGATCGCTAAACACTATACACCTAATCGCATATTCTTATCTTGGAATATCGATAGCATACAACGCACGTCCACTGGAGGCACGTGGCATGCACAGAAGGTTCTTCCCTTGGGAGACGGGTCCATTCACTCGAAATGCTCTGCAAATCAAAGCGTTTCATGAGAGCCAATGGTTCTTGAACGAGGAACACACGAGAAGACTATTCCGAAGATTACGGCAGTAATTTGTGGTATCTCGTTTGCAGTAAACACGAGTTTGGTAGGCTCGTCGTCACATGTTTGAAAATCGATCTCCTCATCGTGAATCTGGTTCATTGACCCAGTGATCATCCAAGATGATTTCACAACCCACCAGAACCGTGGCGGCGAACCCGATTGATTGATGAAATACGACCTCAAAGTTGCACAAATTGGTCGAGCACGAGCACAGGACGCTCTTTGCTCAATTATACTCGATCATAATCGTGGACGGATTGCCATATCTTCAAGGTTCAGTATCGGTTCTATCGGTCCGAAAGTGGGTATCGCACTTGGTCCCGGATGCGGAGAAGGTTAAGTGTTCCACCGTGAGCCACCGCGAGCGAGCCTTTTTCTCGCCATCTCCCAGCGGTCCATCAGACGGACAGAAACTCGGCAAAATATACCGCAAAATAAACACATTCAGGGATCTTACTTTGGAGACGCCGAAAGAAATCACCATGTCGTCGTCACAAGTTCTGCGCCGCCGTGATCAAAAGCCCGGCATCGGTCTGCAAGCCGTGCTCGCCGTGCAGGCCAACTCGGCCAAGCCAGAGCCGATCCCCAGCCCGCCGGAGACGGTAGGTTTTTCTAATCTCCCATATCCCCGTGTGAATGCCAAATTGCACCGATTTCTGACCTTTAACCGACTACAGGCCGAAGAGGTCAAGGAACAATGCGACTCCTTTACTCTCGAGTCTTTCACCACCGAGGATGCCTGGGAACTGGGCCATCTCCTCTACGCCCGCCTCTTGCCCTTTGCCGCGCAAAAGCCCACTCTCATCTCCATTGCCCTGGCCAACAGCGGCCAAGTCCTGTTCCAGACGGCCGTGGGCTCGGGCACGGCGCCCGACAATGAGATCTGGGTCGCGCGCAAGCGCAACAGCGTGCTCCGGTGGGGCTCCAGCACCTGGCTACTGCACTGCAAGTATGATGGCGACGAGGCGGCGTTCCGCGCCAAGTTTGGCATGAGCGAGGAGCAGGCCGGCAAGTACGCCATTCACGGTGGTGCCGTGCCCATCAGGGTCAAGGGCGTCGAGGGTATTGTCGCCGTCGTGGTGGTTTCGGGACTGAAGCAGCACGAGGATCACGGTGTCATTGTGGATGTTATCAGAAGCAACTGGGAATAGAACATCTAATATGACACTTCTTCTCCGAATTACATGCAGAAACTCAATTGTGAATAAGCATGGCCTGGCTGGCCAACCTAGTCTGCATGCAAGTATAGGGCCGTCTGCAATCTTTCACGGTGTATCATTTACAACTCTTTCGTTGCTATGGGTTTCCATTCATTGATAGGTCTGTCCGTGGGAACCAGCCACACCACGCCGCCCTCCCAACCGGGACCTTCTAGTTCTATGCCCGCTTCCTTGACGACTTTTGAGATTTCCTGCAACTTTGCATCATCGATGGGATTATCACCACTAATGAGCGTGTGAGAAGAAATGGACTTCATGAGAAATACGGGATGCGTAGAAATAATGAGCCTGAGACTTACTAGATGAGACTCACATGTGGCCCAAAGGCCTCTGCCCACTCCCCAAGCCACTTTCGAGTCTTGGGACCAGTCTGGTCCGCCTCACCCTCGACGCCACGGGCGCGCGCCAGCGCGGCAATATCCGCGACGCCGTCACCCATGCCGACCTGGACGAAGCACCGGCGAAAGTAGACGTCCTGGGTCTGGACAGCGGCAAAGCGGACCGACACGTCCCGGCCCTGCGGCCACGGCACGCCGTCCAGCCACCCTTGCGGGTCGTCGCCGTACAGGGCCGGGTCAATGTTGGATGTTAGTGTCATGTGCGGGCTAAAGGACGGACAGTCGCTGCCGGCTACGTCGGGGAAGGTGTTCGGCAGGGTCTGGGTGATGAGCTTGGTCAGGATCCGGTGCACGGGGTGGTCCGGCGGCGGGACAAGCCACAGGGAGGAGCCGGGCATCTTTGTTTGGGTGAGGACTGGGGACTGTGTTGATTGGGTCGAGACTCTGGGAATGGATGTTGGCCGATGCTTCCAGTGAGATATGGCTGCAGTTTGGATTGAGACTTTGTTTTCTAGGCTTGGAAAAATGTGATATGTTTTATTGCTGTCAATGTGATGAGACTGTGTTGGGAATGTACCACATTGCTACATTAATGTGTAGGTGCAGTGACAGTGTGTTTGTGCTCCTTTTAGTAGACCCCGCACCTTCAATGGTGGGGGACAGGCTCAACTAACAATAAGGTAGGGATGCACTTGGCTTGAAGCACCAGTTATGAGATGGATTACAACAGCAATTAAGATGTAATGATACAAGAACATTACAAAACAAATATTTTCAACAACAAGAACGCAAAGAATTAATGGCTGAGCGATATCAAAACACTCTTGAGTGCATTGGCTACGTAGGTGAACACTTTCTGTGAAATTCTCTCCGATCTGGCGAAGGGGCCCGGGGCCAGGCCACCAGTGCTTTTTGACTTCTTACGGTATATTTGCTCCTTTTGCCTCTTTCAGTTCTCTCTCCCCACTCCCTTTCTGTCTTTTATTTATTTTTAATTTATTTTAATTTGCTTACTTGTTTTGTTCCTTCTCAACCACCCTCCCATGATCATTCAATCGGCCTATGCCAGCAAAGTTCACTGCCTTTGTTCATCAAGCATGATTAATGTGATGGCGATGTCTGCTCCAAGCATTGATACACATGGACAACACAATCATCGATATCAACATACTTGACTTATCCTTCGAAGCTCCATCTTTGCTTTGACATGGCGCGGATAAGCGAATGCACTCTGGCGCCAGATTGCCTGAATCATTCACATCGCACATGGCCAAGGCATCACACGCAGTGCTTTTAACATGAGACTTGACAAGTCACATCAACACTAGGACTCGAGCACATCCATTCTGGATACATGAACTGTCTCCAACGTCTTTGACGCATTCGTTTCCATAACCCTGGCCTCATCGACATTTGGGGAAAAGAAATTGTCTCGTTCACTATCAAGCGGTCAAGTTTTCTCTGGCTTTCTATGTCCGCCCACACAACATGTGAGCTATCAGGTAGAGAGTGGGAAGATGAAAGGGGACCGCGAAAACAAATTCAATCTATTAGCGGCAAATGTTTCCCAGAATGTCATATTATCTGCAGGAGTAGACATCATGTGCGGCAATCTGGCGGAAAACACTTTCTGCAAAATATCCCGCCGCACCTTTCCAAAGTATGATCTCTGAGTTGGCCTCCTCGTCTTTTCACATACACGAGATTTTCTTTTGCGCATGCGCGTCCCTGGAATGGCGATCATTCAGCCAAGAGACTGTGCTTGGTCTTCCCCTCATCAATGTTCATTCAGATACCGCGGAGTATCAACGTGCAACAGGGCTAGATGTCGCTGCTCAGACACCGATTCCAAATGCCGATCGCCATGTTGCTTCACAGAATTTTGAGGACAGGCCATAATCTCAAGCACAGTGCGGTGTGGACCTCACATGGCGCCACGCGTTCCATCATCCTCACTGCTTTTTACAATCTGAGGTGAATGAGATGGGGACACGCAGGATTATGAGGCCATGATTATGCACTCTGGGTATCATCGTCACATTCTTGATGGCCAACTTCTGAGCATGATTGGTGTAAAGGATTTTCCATGTATTGCCTACATGATTCAATTTCCACTTCCTTGATAATGTACAGCTGCAGTGGCTCCGATGTATCGCAACCAGAGTAGGATGTGTGTTGACAAAAGACAAGCTGCATTGAAATCGGACACTGTTCGGAAAATTCAAAAGATGTTCCGGCGGAAAGCATGCCAACGATGGACTGCCTACAAATTAGATTGATGGAAGATCATACAGATTCGAAAGCATAAAAAGGGCGACCCAGCCCGCCCCAAAGGCAATCAGGATATCATCATTGTCCTCATCACCATCATCATCCGTCAGTGCCCGGCCGTTTCAGGACTTCTCCCCCACGGTCGGGCCATTTGAAGCTTTCAAGAACTTGTGTCTTATGAGCACATGTCAACTATTTTGTCATTCTCTTTCACATGCAACTTCACAGCTAGTCACCTCCCTCCCAACTTATGCTATGTTAACCCTTCTAATCGCAACGACAAAAAGACAGTGGAATAAACAAAAAAACATACAACACCGAGGATTCCCCAGTGGTCACCCACCTGAGTACTGATTCGGCGATTAGTTGCTTAATTAGGGCAGAGCGAACGGGATGCCATGTTTTCAACTATCTGTGGTCGTATGTAACAACTGGATCAATCAATTGAACTTATATGTATCATAAGCAGTGTCCAAAGTAAAGAGTAAAGTCAAAGATGGTCTGTATCGTACATCTACGAAAAGTAATGTGTGAACAAACAGACTTGGTAACCCTTCCCGTTGTGTCACGCGAAGCATGCCACACAACACAGCCATATCTCGCCGTCCGGCCTAACAATTCAAGGCAACTTTTTCTAGCTGCTCATGAACTTATACATAAATGGCGAGAAAAACGGTATGGCTTGCTGCCGAACCTGATTGTCTTGTGCTAATGGCTGGCTAGACTCGCCCACCATTCACGTCAAACGTGACAATCAGAAGCAGCACGTCATACTATAGTGCTCTCTCAGCAAGGTACGACTACCACATCGAGACCTCCGACTTTCGACAGAATTCTGGGTTCCCAATTGGAGTAAAACTCATGGGTAAACGCTGCCCATACATGTAAGTTACAGTCATATTCAGCTCTTATTGAAGCCGGGTCATTAACCTGGCCCAAAAGGAATCATTCACGACTGTGATTGACGTTAAATAACAACCTGGGTGCCCTGTACAGCCAAACGAGGAAGCTAAAAGACTCTCACCAGAGCCATGGCTCCCCAAGCAGTGACCGTTGGTCGGGAATACCATCCGACCAATGTCGTTTTCCCGCAATCTGGGAACGTTCCACTAACGTCGCTTTCTGGTCACTGACGATGTTGAGATGCAAAAAAAGCTGCTTGGCACGTATAAAGATGCCAATAAATGTGTTGGTGGACTGCATAAGGCCCTTGTGAGTACTACCTGTCATTCTAGACGAGTCACTTTCACATTTGAGAAAAGTTGAAGAAATTTACCACATTATGACTTAGCGGATGGCGGTGTCAATCCTTGGTAGTACATATTGGCACCAGGGTAGATTAAAAGACGCTGTTAAAACATACCGTTGGACGACCTGAGAACACTAGAGGTAGTGCACTATTTTTGATATATGCTCGACCGGCTCTGAGGTGGTAGAAGCAGCCATCAAACTATCTCGGAGAGATGAGTGCTACTAGAGGTTATCCAGTATACATTTACGAAACATGCGATCTTCAGCGAAAAGATCTTTGTATTTGAGCGATATTTATTCTAAGAGGCTCAGAAAAATGAGTCGACGGGCGGCATAATTTGGCGCTTCCTGTGCTGGTGAGTTTGCATGTGGCGACTGTTGCGATCACGAGTCTTGAAAAAAGAACTTGAGCCATAATCTCACAATGTCCTACTCATCAAACTGTGACAGGCTGCTGCACCAATATGTCGGCAGCTCTCTCAGCCACAGCAAAGACGGAGCTTTGGATATTGCCTCTTGGAATCAGCGGGAAGATACTGGCATCGACGATTCGGAGTCCGTCTACACCATAGACTCTGAGGTCAGAACCCACAACGCCACCCTGCTCCCTCGGCAACATGGCGGCCGTTCCACACAGGTGGTAATGTGGCGTATACGTGTGCTTGACGGCCTCTTTCGCTTGCTCCAGTGTCTCGACTCTCTGGCCATTATTGTGCAAACGCTTTCCATCTTCCTTCCAGAGTCCACGCAACGGCTCCGTGTCGCAGATCTTTTCGAGCACGAGCACGTGCCGCGCGTGCAGTTCCAGGTCCAGCGGGTGCGACATGGCGTTGGGATCGAGGGCCGGCGGCGTGCTGATGTCGGCCGACTTGATGTGTACTGAACCGCGGCTAAAGGGGTGGTTCAAAACGGCCACGACGCTGGCGTAGAACCCCGGGGTGCCGAACCCGTAGACCTTTTGTACATCGTCTCCGGGATAAGGGTTCGCATGGAAAGGCACCACAGTGAACTGCGCCGAACAGTCACCAGGTGTGCAAATCTGCTCCCTCAGAACGCTGGGCTGCGCGTTGGCCTGGCCCAGCTCCTCCAGCAGTGGACCGACGGCCACGGGGGTCAAGTCGGGGTTCTGGAGAGGGAAAAAGGACGACGCGAGGGCATTGACGGACAGCGGACCGGCCCTGGCCGCCTGGAACGCGTCAATGCACATCTTGACCACTTCCGGGTCGCGCATTTGGTCGCCCGAGGTCATGGGGTCCTGGACTTCCCAGCCAAAGGGCACGTAGCCGTGGTCCTGGAGGTTTTCACCAACGTTGGGGTTGTCCAGGAGGCACGCGATTCCATGGCTCTCGAGTAGGTCCCTGTTACCGATACCCGAGACCTCAAGCAGCTGAGGCGTCTTGACGGCCCCGGCCGCGAGTATAACTTCACGCTTGGCAGTAATTTGGCGCCTTTTCCCGTCTTTTCCTGTGAATGAAACACCCGTAGCCTTGATCTTATTGGTACTGCTGGTGCTGGTCTGCTCGGTCAACAGAAGCTTTTCAACCAGTGCCTCTGTAACCACTCGCAAATTCGGCCTCTGTGCAGCTCTCTCGGCATAATAAGTACTACCAGCATGACTCCTCTCCCTTGTGACTGGGTGAAGCGTAGCTGCATTGTTGAAAGCTCCGATAGAGACGCCAGCAATCGGATCACTGTCAATGGCCTTGCCCAGGTTGGCCCACGTCTGTGGCCAGGCCGCGCAGAAGGGAGGGAAGCCCTCTTCGCTACCGTAAGAGATTTGGATTGGCCCGTCTCTCCCATGGTTTCCGTTCAAAAAGTCGAGCATGAATTCCTTCTTGAGCTTGGGCTGGGGCTCGGTAAATGTGTGGAACTTGCGAAAGTAGCTCTCCATCGTGTCCCACCCCCAGCCCGGGTTGCCTGATTTCTCCCATGAATCGAAGCCCGACTTTGATGGGTAAATGACCATGCCAAGGTTGATTCTGATGGTTTTGAGTGAGTATTGTTGCGTGATAGGGAAAGCATTGTTGTGCACTTACGCTGAAGAGCCACCCAGAGTCTTTCCCAACGGCTGTGCCAGCCTGCGGTTATGGAGCCCGACCTGATGAGAATTAGCTACCAGTATTGCCAAGGAAGGATGGTAAAGTATAGTCTGTTCTTACCTGAGGCTCTGTGGTCAAGCACCAGTCATAGTCTGGGTCGCCATAGGTAGAAACAGCAAGAGCTTGAATTGTAATCTTGGGATCATCAAGGCGGTTTGCGCCAGCTTCGAGAACAAGCACACGAACGTTCTCGTCCTCAGTCAGCCTGGAAGCAACCACGAGCCCTGATGTTCCACCTCCGACCACAATGTAGTCATAGGGTGCATCGTCCAAGCCGATGGTAGAAGAGGTGTCGCATTTGGTCGCCATCTTTATTTTTCACAACACGAATGCGTAAAATTCTAAAGGGGAAAAATAAATAATGATAAAAGACCCGGAAATCTTTGCATATTTATCTCAAGATAAGACAATTCATGAAATATCCATATTTTGATGCGTTGACATAACGATTCTGCTGTAATTCAGTGCATGCGGGCCACGGTTTATTCACGCAGGGCCGAGCTTTGCCCCGAGAGGGTCCTGTAGGGGAGTGGCACAGCAGTATCCCGTACTTGTTCATCATGAATCGTGAACAATTGAGTTGTACAAGAAAAACTACCTATACAAGGTGAATCATGTGCACTCATCAAGTCAGTCGCATTTGACCAGCGTATTTCTTTAGCCAATATATTAAAGATTGCTGTAATTATTCAATCTTCAGACTCTATAAACCTTGAAATGATACACCTCCGCCCAGGTGGACGACCCATTGATTGTCGCAGCGACCCACAGCCAAAGGCTACCAAGTGTTGTTCCCCGCAGAACACATGGCTTTGCCGGCGCGACATGACAGATGATCAATGGCCGCATTTCGCCCATGATGATGAGTGATCGAGGCAAATCTGTTGATGCGTTATGGATATCCACAATAAGCTGACTGCATCCTGACCCTACCGTGTCACAGAGCATGTATATCACTAGGTAGGTAGGTATAGTATTATAGTCTACAGGATAACCGACATTAATCCGGAGCAGCCACTTTGGGTATGTTACTTTGTTATGCATACTCTGACACAGTGAATTTGATGAATATTTTGAAGAGTTTTCATGAGCTATTTATTCTACCGTGTAAAAGAACTTCTCGAATTGGTTCAGCTCAAAGTCGAGATCCTCAGTATCGAGTTGACTCTCGAACTCTGTCAAGTCAAAAAGACTTGCCATGTTGTTCTCGAGCTGCGCGTCAGTCTGTGATGTTTCAATGACCAGTACATGTTCCATGTAATCTTGGACTGTATTTTGAACCTCTCTGGCTACGCGTTGACGGTAGCGCATCACAGTTTCCGAAAAGCTCTGTAGTACATGATGGTAAAACTTGGCCTGAGGACTCGACTCTGCCATGTCTTTAAGGAGGCTTAGGCTAGCTTCAAAGCCATTGTCTATGTCTTCTCGTGGCTCACCGGCGAATTTGGAAAACCCTAGGACCAAGCCAGATCCAAAGATCCAGGACCTAAGGAGACAAAGTCAGCATGGAGAATGGAGCCGCAACTTGCGAAGAGATTCACTTACTGAAGCAGACACAGGTTTCCGTAGGCAAAGCCGAGCTTCTGAAGTCGCTGCAGCATTTCCGTTAAGTATACCACTGATCCAACACATACTTGTGCCAGCTTGGATACTTCATGGTTCTTGATCCTAACATCAGTCGCCTCTTCTGGGTCCACAATCAAGTGATCTGGTGCCCTGCCGCGCAACCTGGATACGAGATAGGCTATTAGAAACGGCCTGGTGATGAGCATTACCGCAAAATAATATACGCAGGAGATGTGAATATTGCCGACCAAAGTCCGCCGCTTCTCAGGATCAAGCGCTACGCCAGGACTGTAGGCGAAATTTCGTGCCGCATCCGGGAGACCCTGGATCCATCCTCGCAGACCTTTGAGTAGGCCTTCTGCGGTTGGGACATGGAGTACGTTTCCCGAACGGAGAGTTCGCACCGTGTTTTCTAGTAATTGACATCCCTCGAGTATAGCGCCAAAGGCAATAACAGAGCTCTCGGGAGGGTTGCGATGCCAAACCTCGGGAATATGTTGCGGACGCCCGATAATGAAGCCTGCAAGAACGTCGAGTATCCTCAGACTGTTCCAGATGCGCATCCTGTCCTTGTCAGTAATGTGACCATTAGAAATTGTCAATCCGCTTACCTGGCGTCACCTTCGCTCTCAGAGAGCCATTGATAGGACTTTTCTTGATGCAAGCCGCCTATAATAGCCGCACGTGCCGCTATGCCCATATACATGGAAGCGGCATTTCGATGGCTGGCGCCTAGCATGAAGAATGCCAGCAGCAAAAAGAGTCGCACTAATTTGGTGCTTGGATTCGCCAGCATGCCTTCAAACGCGACTTGTTTTGCTCTCAGCATAAATGAAGTAGCAATTTGGGGATTTGACTGATAATCTGGGTGGGTTTGCGCGCCAATGGCCAGAGCGACGTCAAGAGCAGCAAGGTCTTCGTCCACCCCTGATTCATGCCTTGAACTTGCTGACCTCGTGGTCAATAGCCTGTCCATCTCTTCATCTGAGAAGAGATCAAATAGACCTTGAGTCTTGCTTGAGTATTAATATTCATGTCGCAGAACAATGACACGATAATTGTACGGACCGCTTGCAAGTAAAAGTTCAGTAAATTGCGAAGAGTCTCTGGAGATGTATCGTATACATTGTCGACTATGGGCACCAGGTCCACACCGGGAAAAGCGCCATCATGATCACCGTCGGTGAAACTGGTAGAGCCTACAAAAGGTCGCAAAGTCTTTCGAAGAAAGTGAAGAAAGGAAAACGATGCAGGTTCACCGGTATCACCTGAACTTTGCCTTTAGCTACAAATCAAGTCATGTTAAATCATGGGCAAAGTTGAGTATTTTACCTCTGGCAGTAGGAGTAGTCTCGGCAGGTCTACAAGCTCGGACCTCAGATGACCGTTGTACCTGATCCGGTAATGATGCTGCAATGTTGACATCCGGCACCAAAGGAGGGCTCATGAGATCATTTCCTGGGAGTTGAGGTGAGACGTTGGCGGTAGGGTCATTATAATCCACCGTCCCATTGTGGGACTCGGCGGACGACGTTGATTCGGGCGGTTGAATTCTTCGCGGCCTATTCTCCTGGCGATGGCGATGTCGCCGTCTATCAAAGTGCGTATAGACGCAGTATTGGGATCTCTTGCGTCGGACACATGCCTCACAAGGAATCTGGGAGTCGCATCTTATCTTGGATGCCTTGCACGCAGCGCAAGCCCGTTCGGATCGCTGTCGTTCCTCGGGCCGTACTCTTGGTCGTGGCATGGCATAATTCTCGACCGTGCGTCTTTTCTTATTGACTATAAGCAAAGCCGCGAATACACAATGTGTGCCTCTGAGAAGTGGACATCGTTTACTCGGATACGTGTGACATGATACGTAATGGGCAGTACCGCTGGGTCCGAACGCAGAGACCGTAGATAGTGTAGATAGTGCGCTGATACCAGTATCTTCTTAGGGACTTGGGGGTGCTTCCTAGCGCCATTGTCGGCTATCCGCCTACCTGAATGTAATGTAGGTAGGGGCAATATCCGATCGCTATCTACGCCAATCCGCTCCCTCCAATGCCTTAATCGGCCTGGCAGAAGCCAAGACGGGAAGATGTGTTTGACTTGCATGTTGTAGAACAACACATTCAATCAAAGTAAAACAGTTGCTTGGATCTATCTGCCATGCAGCTGTTGCTTTCTCATGAGCCGCATGCCTTCAAACATAACTAGAGTACAATTTGTTCAGTCACTGGGTCTAATACAAGGCCAATTTTAGCTGTAGGAGGCGCTAAAACCTTGCCCCTAAAGCTTTGCTAGGTGCAATGGCGCTGCATACAAGAGTCCTGAAGTGTCAACCTGGGGAAATTGTTAGCTGCTGTTTCCCAAGAACTTATCGGGTTGGGAGAATGCATCACATACAAGTGAGGGATTGAGATCACTCAGGCTTTGCACCCCAAGAAGGGACATGGTCACCTCCATCTCGTGCTGTAGAATCCGGATTGCCTTGCTGACCCCAGCTTCACCAAAAACGAGCGCATAGAGGAACGCGCGACCAAGACCGACACCCTTTGCGCCCAGAGCCAAAGCCTTGACAACATCCGCGCCCCTCTCGATGCCGCCGTCTACGATAACGTCGCACTTTTCAAACACCTTGGGGCAGTTTTTGCGCATCTCGACCAGCGTCTCGATGGCCGATGGTGCTCCGTCTAGTTGCCGCCCGCCGTGATTCGACAGCCAAGGATGGACGCCAAACTGCATGCACAGTTCGGCGTCTTCCCAGCATTGTATGCCTTTGATGGCAATTGGGAGATCGGTGATACCTCTGAGCCATCGAACGGCGGATACCCAGTCAAATTTGGTCCATACTGGTCTTTGTTGCGCGTTTCTTGTTAGCTGACGGGAGGTTATCAGGGAGGTAGTCTGGAAATTTGAACAAAACTCACGGCCTCTTGACTGTAGGTTCTCGTTCGTGATTTTCGAGTTGATCATCGTCCTCTTCTACTTCTTGTTCTTCTTCAATGGCAACTCTCATATCATACTCCCTTTTGCCTGCGCATATTGCATCGACTGTCAAGGCAAAGCCCTTGTATCCTAGAGCAACGGCGTTGCGAACTTCTTGCTCCGATATGCTCAAGTCGGACTTGGGGTAAATCTGCCAGTACAGTGTCTGCCCAGTGGTACCCGCCGCCACAATCTCTCGCGGCGTGCAACCAGCGCCGTTGCAGACCCAGTGCAAAGCTCCATGCTTTGCGGCTGCCCTTGTCATCAATGTTTCTCCCGCCGGATTGGCAAGCTTGGCGCCGCCCGCGGGACAAATGAAGAAGGGAATAGAGAACTTGTTGCCCAGGATCGTGCAACTCGTGTCGACATGCTCTATCGGTTTCAGCACTCTTGGCCGGAATCGCGCATACTTCCAGCTCATGCGATTCCACGACAACGCTAATTGATCCTCGGCACCGGTCACGAGGACTGGAAAATAGTGTGTCAATCGAGTCAACTGCTACGGAAATTCACCGAATGAACTTACAAGCAAAAGCTCTTGAAGGAAGTGCTGATCTGGCCGCCTTCTCAAAGTCTGAAATGCTAATGATACCTGAAAGTTTGACTTTCCGTTTTGCTTCCAGCTGAGCTGCAGGTTTAGGGGAGGTTGAGTCGCTTGAGCCTAAGACTGATCCTACCCGCTGCCTGTAATAACAACTCTCAGCAATTTGACAAAACAAAAGCACACACAAAAGAGAAGATCGAAACGAAGAAAAGAAAAGGAGCCGTGACATACTCAGGTTTAAGATACTTTTCTATTGTATCGCTAGGATGGATTTGCGCAAAAGCCTCCGTCGCATCTTTGCCAGCATATCTCAGTATAATGCCGGAGCCTCCAGGGTGAGACGCTAAAAAGTCCGTCACATCATAAACAACATTGTCAATTATGACCCAACAGCTTTTCTTTGATGCATGCTGCTCGACATCTGATCTAACATCTCCAAGTATTAGTATATGATGATGTTCTTGTGGTTTACATGTTTGCTTACAGTGATAACATGGCCATGGCCCATTCTTCAAAGGTGACTACAGAAGCATGTGATCAGTACAGGCGTCACTCTTAGTCTTGCATGTTTATATGACATCCTAACGCCCAAGACTCCATGGGAGACTCGATCCAAACGCCGATCTCCTTTCATTTAGCTATAATGGTGCGTCGCACCAAAGTTCCGGCCCGATGTTAGGGACGGACATTGCCAAAGTTGCTTGGTTGTCTCATGTAGGTATACCTGGGTGGTAGTGTATATCCGGCAGCTTGCTTATCGCCCCTCAGTCGCCGCCCAATGACGGGCCCCCAACGGCTAAATGACAGGCGTTGGACTCTGGGTACTTATCCGGACCTTATCTCCAATAGCCGATGTACATGTCAGAGTATACGCAAACAATCTCTTCCGAAGGACCAAAGAAGTCTTACGAGCCGCTGAGCACCTAGGTATTTGCGCGAAATTTGTAACGAAACTTGCATTTGAATTCAACGACAAGAGAAAAAAAAAAAAATGGATGCCGTCTTTGCAGAGATCAGAAAGCAAACCCCTACTTTCAATTTGGGAGACGAAGACGTGAGTGCGAGATTCTTTAGCTATGTGCATTGATAGAGTGTTTTGTATTAACCGGAAAATTCAGAGATGGCGCCAATTATACGAGCCTCTGTACTTGCCATTTCCATCAGACATTCGTGTCAGGAAGGATGAGGTATACGGGCCCGCAGAAAGAAATCGGCTCGACGTCTACCTTCCCAGGGAAGACGGTAAAGACAAGACCGTGGTGGTCTATGTCCACGGTGGCGGATTCTTCTCTGGTGATAAGGCTTGGAGTGAAAAGGTCAGATGATTCTTCACAGCCCAGAAACCTTGCGGACCCTTTGCTGAGAGATTGACCATCTGCAGTGCTACGCAAACATTGGTTATTTCTTTGCAGACAAGGGAATAGTGACTGTTGTGGTCAACCACCAATTAGTTCCCCATGTGCAATATCCAGGTGGAGCAAATGACATGCAACTCGCCCGACAATGGGTTTTTGATAATGTCTCGAAACCGCAATTCGGTAGTGGCTCGGTGGACAAGGTCTTCTTGTTCGGGCACTCGTCGGGAGGAGCACACGTCGCAATGAATCTCTATGCAGCTGGTAGGTATAGAAACAATAGCTCGGTCAAAACGACCATTTTGGTTCAGCTAACAGGCGTCCTAGGTGATCCCGAGAGGGTGCCCTCGCAGCCACTCTTCCCTCCCGTGGCCGGGGTCATGTACCTCGATGTGCCATTTTGGTACGACATGAGAAAACCTGTGAGAAACAAGACGATATCAAGCTACTACGGTTCGGATTCGGAAGATATTTGGGGCGTGAGTGACTGACATGTCAATCTGTCAACTCAATTGCTGACTCTCGCCTCAGCCAATATCTGCTCTAGGTCTATTTCAGCGGCTACCAGCTGATTCTCCATTGCTGTGAGTGAACAGGTCCAAATACAGAAAATAATTCGGGGCGAAACTGACAATGTTCAGGGACTCTACTATATTACCCGTCTATCTCGGCTCAGTAGAGTGGGAAGTGTATGTGAATAGCTTCAGCTTGTAGCCCGAAGCGCTAACCACGACATAGCCCTGAGACGGCAGACGCCACGACAATGTTCTTTAATGCCTATCGTGCTCGGAGCAAGCCGACCGGGTCTCTTCCCATTTTCGAAGTCGTGAAGGGCCATAATCACCTGAGGTAAGCTCCCCCGAGAAGAACCATGTAAATCATGGATGGTGCCTCTGACGGGTTTCCTGCAGTAATGTCTTGTCCATAGGCACGGAAGATACAACGCAAGGCAACGCGATTTTGCGATTCATAGACGGTTGCTTGCAGCAGTATTCATCGTTCACAGACAAGTGAGTGGACAGATGAGGCTCTATTTGATCACGAACTGGTGTTGATTACCGTCTAGAGACGCCAGGAAGACCATTGGTCAAAAAGACCCGAGGCCGCGGCTCTGAGCAGTGATTACAAATCTTGAATAAAGAATCTTCTAGTCACTCAGAATTTGCCTTCACCAATTGTAACACAAAAACATTCCATGAATCACTTCTGTGTACACAGAAATAAACTTACCGTTCTCTCATTGCCTTTCAGCTCTTGCCTTGAAGCACAGGCGGGCCGTATGTACTTAGCGCTGACCTGTATGTATTGTACCTAAGCCATGACGACTCATTACTGTTAGATTGTAGCTAGTTAATAGCCAAAGTACTGCTTGAATTGACAATTCATGATTGATTTCTATTCACTTTTTTATACTTCTTCGACAAGATGTGTGCAAAGGCAGCATTACATTCATACCGACTTTCAACAATGAAATCCACATGATATGCTATTATGCACTTCGATCTGGGGACATGTAGCCAATCGCTATGACGCGCGAACGGTACATAGGCCCTGAGTAGTCTACATAATATAAATATCTGGTGGTTGCATTCAATATCCAATCTCAAGAGAATGTGATTTCGACAGACAGCGAGCCCCCAAATCATAGCACTCTCCACAGACCCTAACGAGCTTTTCCGTGCAACGGTTGCATTGGTAGTGCGAGCTGTCTAGATAACATAAACAGACAATGCACTCCTTGTCATAACCAATGAAGGTGTTCGGTTCACCCAGGCGCGGATGCTTTGATGACCCATATGGGTACGAAGACTGGGTGCATTCCATAATGTGCTCCGCCATAGAGTCGCGGTTTTGCTTCAGAGCCCACCAAAGTGGCGTCCGCCCGAAAGAATCTTCCAAGAGCAAGTCAACACCAGGGAGATTGGCAATTTTCATGAATACTGGCAACCGGCCAAGACGTACGGCAAAGGATGCAGCTGTTGAACCCCAAAAATCTCTTTCATTGGGTTGAACGCGACTTGCCGCAAGCAAAGAGCCAAGAGCTTCAACGTTACCTCCTATCACTGCATAGGTGAAAGCAGATCGGAAGTACGTGTCCGTGGCTTGACAATCGGCACCGGCAGTAAGCAACAATTCCATGACCTCCCACTCACCCTCTTGAACTGCCCAAATCAGAGGGGTCCGTCCGCCAGTGTCCTTCGCATCAACCATAGCGCCCTGCTTGAGGAGGATTTCAACAATTTCGTTATAGCCGTACTTGGAAGCTAGAAGTAAACCTGTTTCACCTGCTTTTGTGACCATGTGGACATTGGCTCCGTGGTTTAGTAGGAATTCAACGATATCTCGATGGCCATATTCGACAGCCACAGCCAACATTGTGTAGCCACGTGTATCAGTCATTTCGACAGAAGCTCCATTTTCGATGAAAAGTTGAAGTATATCCATATGCGCTTCTTTTAATGCCAAGAATGGTGGGCTGCTTCCGGACTTGACCTCAACGATACTTGCGCCATGGTCGAGAAGCAGACGCACAATATCTTTGTAGCCATACTCGGCAGCCCACGATAGCGGCGTATAACCTTTCATATTATGGGATTCGACTTGAGCATTCTTCTCCAGAAGCAGGCGCACCATCTCTGTGTGGCCATCTCTGGCAGCGAACGACAGAGGCGTGTGGCCGAACCCGGATGTTGCATCGATTTGACAACCTTTCTCTAGGAGCAGGTGTGCAATCTCTTTGTTGCCATTTTCGGCAGCATATGATAACGGCGTTTGGCCGAATATATCTGTAATATCGGTTTGAGCATTTTTATCTAGAAGCATGCGCACAATCTCTTTGTGGCCCATCTTAGTAGCCAATAGCAGAGGTGTCTGTTTCAATCTGCTCTTTTGATCGATCTGAGCATTTCTGTCCAGAAGCAGGTGTGCAATCCCTTTATTGCCCTTTTCGGCAGCATGCGATAACGGCGTTTCGCCGTGTTTATCTGCAATATCGATTTGAGCATTCTTTTCCAGAAGCAGACGCACAATCTCTTCGTCGCCATTTTTTGCAGCGTACAAAAGCGGCGTTTGGGCGAACTTGGCATCACAGGTATTGATATCCGCATTCTTTTCCAGAAGCAGGTGTACAATCCTTCCGTGGCCCTTTTTGGCGGCGTGAAATAGCGGCGTTTGGCCGTATTTATCTGCAACATCTATTTGAGCAGTCATTTCCAGATACAAGCGCACAGTCTCTTCGTGGCCATGCTCGGCAGCCCATGACAGCGGCGTCCGATCGTGGCTATCCCGAGGATCTATACTCGTTGCACTCTGAAGTATTGTGGCTAGATACTCAGCCAGGCCGAAATAGGCTGCCAAGTGCAGAGCAGTCACTTGAGAGGGAATTCCGTAAATGTCACTCAAGTATCTCCCGCCAGCCAGCAGAACTTGACTCGATCCTTCCACGTGAGCGGGCAAAGCAAGGAAATAGTGTAAAGCTTTGACATCTTGCGAATACTGTGCATGAAATCCCCAGAAACGGCTAGAATAATCGTAGAGAGGGAAGTGAATGAGTCGTTCCTCAAGGTCCCGCCTTTCTGTACATGGGCCACTCTTGAAAGCTTCAAAGGAAAGATACGTGACACACGTACTCGCGATCTCGTCGTGTGCATCAGGAAGATAAGAGCGTCCTTGGTCTTCGAAAAACTCTTGGGTAGTGTAATGCACAAGTCGAACGACTGCACTCGTTTCATCAACTGTGACCAATCCACAACATGCAGCAATCGTGTCCTGTAGATCTGGGATATTGTCGTCAAAGAAGTCACATTCGCCAACTTCCACTCCGAGGGCGTGCTGAAGCTCAATTGTCGATAATTCCCTTTTTGCATAAACAATCCATTTCAACGCTTGGATGGCGAGTTCTTTTTGGTCCGGGAGCTGTCCGCAAATCCGTGACATGGTAGTACGATAGGCTTCCGTATATGCGTTATTTCCTCTGGCTAGGGCCCCCAAGGTTTTTCGAAGCTCTCTGGGTGATCGCTTTCCCCTAAGAGAATCGAGGTGAAGTTTTGCCAAAAGAAACCTGGATTGTCAGTCTTCGCTTAGAGTAAGAATATTGTCTTAAATTATACATACATGCCGCGTGTGGCTTCAGCTATTGCATCTGTAATCTCGTCGACAAAGGTTGGATTGCGACTGACAAAGCCTGGAAGATCTTGTATGTTCCCTTCGATGTACTTCCGAATATCTGCTGAGCTGGCAAGAACTTCTAAAGAAACAAAGTTCTTGAATTTCTCCTCAATATGGGGAATCGGACGAGATGTTGCTATTATTTCAGCGTCGGTAATGGTGCAAAAGTCGATCAAGTATTCGATAAGTTGTCGTTGACATCCATCCACGGTCCGGCACTCATCAAGTGCATCAACAACACAGAAGACCTTTGAGAATGTCCTCGATATAGAATGCAAGCTTTCTATCGCTTCCTTCGAACTGGGCCGGCTCCGTTGTGCCTTGTGTTTATCGAAGAGAGCCTTAAGGCACGCAGGTATGGTGGTAGCAACCTGAGCTAGTTGTTTGACAAAGCTTAACACGATGTTTTCGATTCTTTGCTCTTCTTGACGCTGAAAATTGCAGTAGAAATAGCATACGGCAACATCCTCGGCGTCGTGACATTTCTGTAAATCGTCCACTACGATCGAGGACAGGATAGTTTTGCCCGCTCCCGGTATGCCACGGCAGAACAAGATTTCCCCCTTTGACGCTTTCCATTTGTTATATTCGAGCGATTCAAGGAGCCATTGACCTGTCCCAGGTTGTCGGCGACGGATGAAGTCTGCCTGTTGTGGGGCAGCATCAATGGGAGTCAACCAGTCGAGGATATCTTGAACTTCTTGCCGGTACTCCTGCCGACCTTGCCGTTGTTCCAATCTGAGAATAGTATTGTCGGTTCTAGCTGCTGTGAAGGACTGGAGAACCGTGATATTGGAAGTGATTCGACTTCTCAAGTCGCGAGCTTCGTTAGGATCCCATTTGAAGCGCTTCCATACTCTCTTTGCTCGACGTTTTACAGTCGTATCTTGTGGTACTAGAGTGGAATATTTTTCGGCAACTCTTTTAATATCATCCAAGACATGCTGACAACTATCTTTGATTTCGCGCAAGCTTATCGTCTGCTTTTCGGACAGATCATGTTCATCGAGGAGTACAAGGACATCATTCAGAACAGTGGTGAGATTTCTGACCCTGGACAGTGTCGCGAGTAAGCAAGACGGAACAGAAAGCTAGGGTTCATCATTGTACACACTCATCGGTCAGTTGCCGGAATTGATCGGGGGCATCTGCAAAGTCTCTCCGAATCTTGTTGGCTAACTCGATAACCGTCAGGAAATCGCCGACACCGAATCCGAAACTCATTTCCGTAGTCCAGTGGCCATCAAGGCTCGAAGAAAGGGAGAAAGATGGCCAAAGAAAGCGTAAGCATCAAATTTTGGGGTTGTCGGCAGTTTTGAGTGCATGTGGTCTTACACAACAGAAGCGTTGGCACAGCCTGCAGGCGCAGCTGACGTACTGCATATCTTGGCGATTGCCATGATTGGCTTATTCAAATGAGATGGGATGCATCTCGCATTTGCAAGGCACAATTGAGGACCGGAGGCCATGGAAGGCGCCCAAGTACAATGCACTGTGTCGGATCTGATCGCCATGCTCGTCTCGCATGTGGAGCTCCCACTTTTGCCATATAGCTCAGTAGTCGGTGTATGGCGACAGCAATGCACGTCGCTGTGAGGTAGCCCAGTCGCGGGTTTGTATTGATGTTTGCAAGGTCTCTTGATTTGAGACTTATCAATTCTATATCGAAAAGACAAAACATAGACTATACTTAGCTAGCAATGACCCAATACAACAGCCCACCAAACGAGCGGATACATCATACCCCCATGCTAGATTGGATACCGGAATGATTTCAGTCTGAAATCTGTCAAGTCTTCAAACTCTTCATTCTCAACGCGGACTGGCACATCTGGCATTCAATTAGTATTGTGTTGGCAACAAGATCGCAAGGGGAGACAAACTCTCTGCATCGGCGGCATCTTTTGCATCCCTTCTTTTATTCCAGGCCATGTGGATCAAGCCCATGGCAGCGATTAATAGAGCTGTAAAGGCAAGAAATGCCAACATTGTGTATTTTGCCGCCTGCATTCGAATTAGCAACTCGGCGAGATACTGCCATCAACTAGAGCCAGACTCACGTAGTAGTTGGGGGCATCGCTCGCTCTGAATGTCTGAGGTCCTATGATGTTTCCAACAGCGTAGCCTAGTTGGTAAGCAGCTCCAAACGCAAACTTCTTGGTTGACCCTGCAACGCCGCCAGTCATGTAGGCAATAATGAAAAGGATGCAAATAGGAACTGTTTTCATGTCAGCTCACAGTCGACGGCTCTTTGAGTGGCAGGCCTTTGTCTCTCACATTGCATCATGAGGATATAGCCTCCGTATCGAGCACCATAGTTGGCTTCCGGTATAGCAAGCATCATGATGACTCCAATGATTGCCAGTCCCAGGGCCCAAAGGCCACCAATCATCCTATTGGTATGTTTTGCAATGAACAATGCGAGAAGGGTACCCGCGACTTGCGCACCGCCGGATCCCATGTTGAGCAATGCGGATTGGTTGGTGTCGAATCCAAACCCTGAAATGATGGTCGGCCCTGTGATCATGTTAGACTTGCCCAGTGAACGTCCAAAACTAAATTAAACGTACCAAACGCAGTCACACCACCGTTCGGTAGACCCGTGGATACCAGAAGCAGAAAGATCAAGTAAAAGCGCACATCCTGAAAACACTCCTTGAGCTGCGGCCAACTGAATGACCAGACCTCGGTGCCCGTCTTGTTTTCGCGCACGCGCTCGAGCGCAATCACCTTTTCCCTCTCCGTGAGCCACGACGCCTCGGTCGGCGACGCCGCCAACCAGAACCAAAGGACGACTCCCGTGACAAAGGTCAGCCCGCCGTAGAGCACAAAGAGGCCCTCCCATTTAAAGTACCGCGACTGGTTCAATGCCCAGGCGCAAAAGCCGCCCGCGACCGAGGCCCAGCCCGACGTCGTGTACCATATCGCGACGCGCGTTACTTGCTCCGACTTGGTATAGTAGGCCCCGGTAATGTAAATGGCCGCGGGCGCCGTGACGACCTCGACGGCGCCCAGGATGAAGCGGACGGCGGCGAGGCTGCCAAAGTCCCGGCAGACGGCGTGCATGGCCACCACGATGCCCCAGAGCATGGCCATGGCGGCGACGAACTTGGCGAGGGGCAGGCGCTGCATTAGAAACGTGGCAGGTATCTCGCCACCGAGATATCCAAAGCTGTAAGCTGTGTCAGTTCCTGAAAGGCTTTGAGTTTGTTTTTCCGACTTACTACACGATTGATCCAAGCCAGGAGTATTGACTTGCTGTCAAGTGCGTGTCTGTCTTGAGATCCATGATCGCTGCAAACGACAGACTATTCTTGTCCTGCAAGTTTTCCACTTTAGCACACCCCGTTAGCTATCATAGACTTTGGAGGCCATGGCCTACCATGAGTTGCAACAGATATATAGTGAAAATCATGGGCATGATTCTCCAGTCGATTTTTCGCAGCACTCGCTTCGCCTCGTCCGAGTTTGGGTCAAAGTCAATGTGGTGACGTTGAAGGAGATCGAGAGCCTTGTCGTGGCCGGCCGACCCAGGTTGACTGTCGTCGACGTCAATCGTCATGACTTCCCCCTTTGACGCAAAACCAATTTAGCATGTAAACAAAATATCATGCTTTTTGGACATATCTCACCTTGCCAACATCGGCGGCATTTTGCATCGAGTGTTTCTTCTTCATGTCGGACATTTTGCCTCACGTCATGCGAGCCAGTATTGGGGGACTGGAAATGCAAGCCTCAACCATATGCAAGTGTATTCATAAGCAAAACCAGATGGAGGCGACTTGGAGTTCTAGTACCACGGTAGTATCCGTTGGCTTGGCGTGCAGAGAGAGATGAAAGATAGGCGTCCGGCGCTGGCGTTGTGTGGTGGGGACGTTCGGATATGGGACGTTGAGTTGGGGGGACGGAGACCGATAAGGCTCGGGTACATAGCCGGCTATCTATCTCCCTTGGCTATCAACCAGAAAGTCAAGTGTCACAATTAATAATGCACTCCAAGAAACGCGGGGTTCGATGCTGCGGCAAGACACAGCGAGACAGCAACGGCAATAATGAATGCACGGCATCGCGATCTCCACGATCTCGGGCCGTTGGGTGCGACCCCCGACACTGGCCGGTGTGTCTAGTACATAGACGACGGCTTGATAAATGAACTGAGCTCGAGAATTTGAAAGCAGCGCGCGATAAAGCATAACATCTAGTAACTGGATTAACTTTGATAATTGCCCTTGGCTCGATGAAAATGGCAGAAAGACTAGTCCCTGTCATCTCGCTCAAAGGTCTGCAACCATCCTCGCCACATATGATTTTGCATCAAGGCTGACAATATCATAGACTTTTCCAGTCGCAAAGACGAGATCAGGCAGCTTTTAGTAGATGCCGCAGAAAGCGCCGGATTCTTCACTCTGATTGATCACGGTATCTCTGTTGCCGAGATTGAAGAGCAGTTTGCGATTTCAAAGTCCTTCTTTGATCTACCAGCCGAGACCAAGGCCAAGACTGCGCACGATATAAAGACAAACAATGGCTGGGAATACAAGGTATTTTCAATATCGGGCCCTCCAGCGAGCGATTGTGCTGATCTCCCTGCATAGGCCCAGCTGAGACCAAGCACTGGTACTTATGATCAGAAAGAATCATTGTGGCTGATGCGCAACTCGCAATGGCCCAGCGAGGATGATGTTCCGGGGTTCAAGGATACTACTGAAAGGTTCATGTCGAAATGTGCCGCGATATCCAACCAAGTCTGTATGTAATGCGACCGGTGATATCCCCATTGTCTCTGAGTCTGACCCTAGCTCACGTAGTATCTTGCTTTTCCGTTGCACTCGGCTTCGATGAGGACTTTTTGGTCGAAGCCAATAATCCAACAAACCCAGACTGCATGACGCAGCTACGCCTCATACACTATCCTCCAGCAGAGAACGCGGCAGGTACCTGGAGAGCCGGTACCCACACGGATATCGGATGCCTCACACTGCTCTTTCAACGAGACGGCGAGGACGGTCTCGAGATTTGCCCGGGAAGGGAATCGTTCACTAGCTTTGGAATGGGCGACACCTTCACACCGCTGCCTGCTGTGACAGGGCCCATTGTGGTGAATATTGGCGATATGCTGAGTAAAGTTTATCCTTGTATACGCTTTCCATGGTGCTTTCCTAATGATTGGTGTAGTGGCTTGGTCGGATGACCGATTAAAGTCCAATTTCCATCGCGTGAGAGCCAAGGACGTTGGTCAATCGCCCTCTCGCTATTCCATCGCCTACTTTAATCAGTCCCGAAAGGACTACATTATGCAAGGGCCTTTGAAGAAATAGTAAGTGGTTCACTTCTTCTTACTTGAGCAATTGGAAACGTTTGGCTGACTAACTTCGTTCGCAAAGTCCTGCTGTGAGTGTCGGGGAATGGTTTGCCGAGTCAGTGGCACGAAACTTCAATCGTCAAGCTACAATGGCAGCGTGAGCCGGTTGGGGGAGAGTGTGTTCAGAGTCCTTCATGTTGCCTAGGAGCAATTGATCCAAGTCTTCCTTATGTGCCGCTCGGGGATGCGCCTGGTTACTGAGTCGGGGGAAAAGAATTTGCTACCTAGACCATATAGGGACAAATAAACAAATCTCGCTCTAGGGCAATAGATGTAAACAGGGTGCCCTTTGAACTCAAACAATTGATTTTGGAAATTTCTGGGAATTGAAATTGTGCTGATAGGATTTATAATGTTTTATAGTAGTTGAACCCCCCTTCCAGCCCCTATAAGGCTTGGGATGCTCGATGTACATGACGACAAACTCAAGACAGCTGCCATGCTAACTAGTGGCAGCGAAGCCAGAGTCCACGGTTGAGTTCTGGAGACAGCGATCAACATGTCTAGGGTCAGAAATCATCCTTCCTGCCAATGAACGGCTAGCCCGTTATCCCTCCTGCCCCTGGTGGCAGTCCTCCCACGAACCCTGGGGGAAGACCTCCGTTGGCTGTCATTTGAGCACCGTTCATCATCTGCTGTTGGGCGATGAGCGAGTTCTGCAATTGAGTCGCCGCGTGACTGTGTCCGTTATGGTGAAGGGTATTGATCTGCATCTGGACAAGCGCGTCGGGAGGCTTTGGCAGCTGCTGGCAATTCTGATACTCGGTCTTTGTGTTCTCGCGGAACCACGCCCAGTCGAGAGCCTTGGTGCTAATGATTTTATCCGCAAATTGTTTGAGGAAATGCTGACAATTGTTCCAAAATAGATTGTACTCGTCGAACTCGTTCTGCATCAGCGTGCGGCACTTTTCTTCTAGGACATCTTCTGACAGGCGCGTCCAGCCAATCAAACAAATGTAGAAGCCGTCGACATCGGGGATTTGCTTTTTCTGCAAGGCCGCTTCGCGCTTCTCCCTTTTGATGTCCCAATCTACATTCTGTATGTTGTGTCTGTACGTGCCACTCTCAATATCCCTGCGTAGCTCGTATTTTGTCTCGTTGATGTACATGACCCAATGCTGGAGTGCGCCATGGTAAATATGCCGCGAAAACCACACAGGGGTGCCTTTGGTTGTGTCGCGTTCTTCAATATTGCGTTTTTCGACTTCAGCCTGGAGGCGATTCTGGTAGGCTTTATACTGTGCGCGATAGAAGGGATTCACTTTGGCTCTGAAACGGAGACGTTTTTCCTGGAATTTGCGGCCCCTAGAAGAGCACTTTAGCCAGAAAGCAAGGAGAAAGAAAATGACAAAGATGGGAATGATGATGGCGATGATGTTAACCATGGTGGCGAATGAGCTTTCTAAGCCCCTTGACCCAGGCGGGCTATCTGAATCTTTTGGTCGACCGATTTGAAAGAAATGGAGTAAAAGATAGACTAGTCCGTCAAGGACTTTGACATGAATATATAAACATGCATTTTTGGAAGCTGAACCTCGCTTCTGGCCCTTGCAGCCCAACTAGGGTCACTAAAAATATAGACAGGGATACTGCATATCGTCACTAGCAATGCTTTTGGACTTGACGACTACTGTGGTAGACCAACCAATGAAACAAACTATTATAAACACACACCCCAGACCCCCAACCCTTTTCCCAGATAAATTTAGCCTTCTACCTTGGAATTAATAACTTTTGATAGCGTATCATACTTTTATAATTAGTCACTATTGTTAAACGAATCGTGCAGGAGTGTTGTCACAGCATAGCGATACACATTCGCACGAATCCACGTATCCCGCAGCTAAGCTCTGCCAACCCAGCTTTGTAGGCAATAGCGCATGGTTTTTGCGTCTCAAATTATTAGGCTCTCTGACCTACAAGGCCGTAAACACGGGTTTTATTCATAGAGCTGGATGATTACCACTGCATCAAGAGACCAAAAGAGACATGTCAATATTGGCGAAGAAAATAACTGGTATTATCCAAAACATAAGAACTCGCCCCTCTCGCTCCCCGAGAACCCCGTGTATATCTCATGGCGGAACTTTATCAAAGGTAATCCATCCTACTGAGCATACATTACAAGAGCTAGCCCCAGGATCATCGCGAATATGTCGGCTACGTTGCGCCCTACAGCACTTGTACTGCTCGGGCTACTGGAGCTGGACGTGGCAGAGGAGCCGCCGGACAAGCTCGTCGTGGTTGGCGATGAGGTGATGGTACTGTCCCCGCTCGCGCTGGAGATTCCTTGCATAGAGCTGGTGGTGGACGCCGTAGTCACAACAGTGGTGACGGAAGTCTGCGACGAGGTCTGACTTGTCTGCGTGCCTTCCGTCGTCGTGGCAGAAACGTCATCTGGCTCTGTAATGATCTGAAAGTTGTCCGACAACTGGTAGACAGAGTCATCACTGTCCGACGTGATTGTCAACATGTACGTGAGGCTTGTGTCGTCTGCCGTGTTGGGGGTCCAACTATAGCTTCCTTTACTATTATCGATACCCTCTGCGACGATGCCAGTCTGGTAAGTAAAATGGCTTGAGTGGACTGAGCACAAAGCCCCGATATTACTTACTGCCGATTGTCTTGAGTTCATTGAAATTAGTCTGATCTTTCCCAATGCCGGCAAAGAGCTTGATGGTAACTTTGTCGTCATGATGCGAACCGAGCTCCCATTGAATAGAATATGCTTCACCAGCCGGGACCTTGTATCCGTCTTTAGGGGCAGTGATCTGATCAAAGTTTGAAGTTGGATTGTTACCAGGTCCAGCACTCGCGTTCAAATCTCAAAGAATAAAACCCGAGTTTTTTTAGTTTTTTTTTTACCTAGTTCTCTCCTTTTATATATATATATATATATTTATTTACATCTCTTGGATTAAGCAGCATTTTGCCAGTTCTGCTATTCCGTAGTTGTAATCAAGAAAACTGTCACTATAAATCGAAACCAACATTATGCTATCAATTCCGCACAGGTCAAATGAATAAGCAGCGCCATCTCAAGTCATCTCGGTCCGTGTTTATCGGATCGTAGCCGATCGATAAAGTGCGGATAACCTACCTAGTAGTATCCTTTAGCCGAATTGATATGCACCCAGCTGCCAAGCCGCTATGCTCTCTCCATACTCCAGAAATGACTGCAATGCCCCGGTCAATCACTGTAAACATGGACGTACTGGTAGTTATCCCAGAAGTACAAGGTTTCAACAGACAATATCTCTGGAGCGTATTGATTTGTCTCTCCTCCTGAGTTACAAGTGCCGAGTCATATTGTCATATTCGTGGCTATCACAATAGTGGGTACAAATACTTCTGCCAGGCATAAATGGAGAATGCTTGACCTGTATCCTTCAGGACCTTTCTCTTGCACTGCACCCAGTGAACCCAAAATGGCTTCGATCTTGAAGACATTCTGGCTATCAATTGCCTGTGCATCCTATATCTTCCCGTCCTCTGCACATGCCAAATACGACAACATCGAGTCGCCCAGAGTTGGCATCGTAAATGGTACATATCGAGGTGTTTACAATAGCCAATACAAGCAGGATTATTTCCTTGGCATGCCATATGCCCAACCACCAGTTGGAGACCTTCGCCTACGAGTTCCTCAGTCTTTGAACTCATCCTGGGCTGATACCAGAAACGCTACCGACTATGGGCCAATCTGTCTAGGAACGGGACAGACGGGAGAGGTGTCAGAGGATTGTCTTACCATCAATGTCATTCGCCCTACTGGGGTTGAACGTGGTGATGGTCTCGCGGTTGCAGGTAAGCCTTTCAATCCGCATCCATGAGAGGACACGAGTGCAACCATACTTACAACGGTGTATTATAGTATGGATATACGGCGGTGGTTTCGTTTCGGGTGGTTCAGCAATGCAGCAGTACAATCTCTCCTTCATTGTAGATCAATCTGTACAAATGGGCACGCCCATGATTGCCGTTAGTCTCAATTATAGACTGCATTGCTGGGGGTTCATGTGGAGCAAAGAGATATACGACGAAGGCTCCGCCAACTTGGGGTTCCGAGACCAGAGATTGGCTTTGTACTGGATTCAAGAGAATATTGCTGCGGTAAGATCTATACTTTTTATACGTACTCTTCAGTCTGGGATGCATTGTTGGATCATGCACAGCCGTGGACTTAGACATGAGAATATGCTAACCATCACGTATCAGTTTGGCGGGGAGCCCACAAAGGTGACAATCTGGGGAGAAAGTGCTGGCGCTCACAGCGTGGGGGTCCAGCTGACGGCCTATGGTGGCCGTGACGATAGCCTCTTTCGTGCGGCAATCAGCCAAAGTGGTGCGCCGAGCACCTACGATCGATATCAAACCGCGGAAGACTGGCAACCATTTTACGACGCCGTCGTAGAGGCGACCAACTGCAGTACTCCATCAGGTGATAGCTTGGCGTGTCTGCGGACTATTGAAACAAACGCTTTACTGAGCATCTTTCAAAACGACAGCATCATCCCAACTCATACCTTGACAGGCACCACCGGACCGCAGTTTGTCAGCGTCATTGATGACGACTTCATCATGGAAAGCGGTACAAAGCAGCTTCGCGAGGGCAACTTTGTCAAGGTCCCCTACATGATTGGTGCGAATGCGGACGAAGGCACTAGTTTCTCGACCAAGGGGGCAGTGAATACAACTGCAGATTTCTTGAAACTGCTCGCCAGTTGGGGTCTCGACAATAGTACAGTCACGAGCCTGGCCGCACTATACCCAGACATTCCCGAAATTGGCATTCCAAAGACCATGGTTGGCCGACCACCGGCGGGCTATGGCGAGCAATACAAGCGGGCGGCTGCATACGGCGGTGACATCAACATCCATGCCCCTCGTCGTCTTGCTAATCAGATATGGGCCGAGTATAACGTCACGAGCTACAGTTATCTCTTTGACGTTGTGACGACAGTTGCTGGACCCAACGTAGGAGTTCCTCACGGTGCCGAGGTGCCATTTGTTTTCAATAATCTGCTCGGAACTGGCTACGATAATAGCACCAACGTCTTTCTGAATGGGCCAGAGACATTCAAGCAGCTGGCCGCGACAATGAGTAGGATGTGGGTCAGCTTCGTGACGAGACTAGATCCAAACTATTCTGGAAGTAAGTACATTAGTTTGTTCCCGTGAGTACTGATACAAGAAGCTAATTTATTGTCAGCGGCCAATGCCTATTGGCCCGAGTATGCTGCATCTTATGCCCAGAACCTCATATTCGATGTCAATATGACTAGTCAAGTGTACAGTCAGCTAGACACATATCGCGCCGAAGCCATCGCCTATATAGGCGCTACACTAGATACTGCATTCGGACATTGAATGAATCTGGTTTACTAGTGAAAAGTCTGTCACAAGGCGAAATATGAGACCAAGGAAAGTAAAGAGTGCCCATGAAAATGCTAGGCTATGAGTGCCGGGTGTTTCAATAATAACGAATTAGTCACCTTGATGAAAATGTATACAGTCGTGGATATGATGCCTTCGAGGTGCCGGCAAAAGACCACCTTCGAGGCATAGTAATAAACCTAAATAATTGTTTCAGCATTCAGGCTGATTTCTTGGTTTGGTATGGTACAATAGTTGTTGTATCCGTTGAGTTGTTCATATCCAATAGTGGTTGGATGGTTAAAGATATATACATGTGTGGAGAAGCGCTCTACTTATTGCTACCTAACCTAGTATACTTTGACAATTATAGCCTATGTGGGACGCAAGAAGATACTGGTGTTGAAGGGTGGATTATTATAAATCAAAGGTTTATAATTCCATATATTGCTAATCAGCTTGTGCAACCTATGGAATAAGAAATGACGAAGACAAGAAAATTAGGTGCTGATAAAACGGCAAACTTCTGGTTTAGACTAGTGATTTAAAAATGGATTTCAGATTGATTCACTGTAAATTCCCAATGGTTTATGTATCACCATCTCGCCGCTATTGATAACGATCTGGGCCCCACGCAATTACTGAACCACTTAAGTACCTACTATAGATTTCTTCCCCACATTTGATTTCTAAGCCATAACATCTCTTTTCCTCACTTAATCTCCAAGCCATGAAGATCCCTTCTCCACACTTGATTTCTAAGCCACGGAAATCTCTGTTCTTTACTCGATTTCTAAGCCATGAATCAATTGATCACTTTCTGGTAAACTACGCATGTTAGTTGAGTTGAAACGCCGTATTTTTGGTTGTTACAGCGCTGTTCGGTAGCTCAAATTCCGTAGCACTTAGTGTGGAGACCGCGCCACAAACCCCTACAACAGCCATCACTGGCCGGCACAACCAAGTAGCACAAGGTAAATCCTTGGCGCTGATCCAGTACTCATTACACAGTATGTTCAAGGAGGTGTACAGTACTGTGTATAGAATTAAGGTTGTGGATCGATTATGCCTCAACTACTATGGACCACTGCATGCAACGAAGTTAGCTGATGGTATATGTTGAAATAAGGTGGTTGGGGCGACCCACACTGTGGCTGTATATAGGGGGAACGTTTCCCCCATCCTCTCAGGGTAGATTTGCTAGTCAGTCTAACGATCGTTGAATAAATTCCTTGACAGTATAAGCAGTGTTGCATGCATACTAGCTACCAAATTTGCTCGAATATTTATACAATACTTTACCTAGCCAGATTACCCTGGGTCTTGAGGGTGTCATCCTTCGCACAGTCACCCAGAGCCACTTCTCGCTACTCACGTATTACTTCATCATGGCCGGAATCACCCTCTACGATGCCAGCATCCCAGTATTCAAATCTGGTCTCATCAGCCTCAAAGGCATTCTAGCCAAAGGCATCGCTCACTACGGATCTGCCTCGGCCGACATTCCAAAAGAAACATTAATCGAAGATTTGATTCCTCTGGCTAGCCATGTCAAACTCGTCTCCAACATTGCCAAGAAGACTTTGACTCGCATTGCCGGAATCCAAACCGAAGCTTGGGCCGACGATGAAGACACGGCAGAAAAGCTCATTGAGCGTTGCGAGCGCACTATTGCGCTTCTTGAAAGCGTTGATCCCAAGGATATTTGTGGACACGAGGGGGATGAGGTGGAATTCTCCGTGGGCCGCTACAACTTGAAGATGACTTCCAAGGAATATGTGTTGAAATATGCCGTCCCCTTCTTCTTCTTTCATTTAGAGTTGGCTTACTCCATTTTACGCATGAAGGGAGTGCCTCTCGGCTTTGCGGATTACCTTTTGCCTCATCTTGAGTCTCATTTGGTGTAAATTGCATATCGTATATACACGGGTAATTCACGGAAGGAATAGAGAAAATTGCCTTTGGATACTGCCTGTTTTTATTAAATTTGTACAAATCTTATGCCATTTGCGCTATATCATAAGAAACTACAACAGTGACTGTCGCTTTGACCTGCCATTACACCCAGGCACGTATGGCGTTGCGTCTGTCAAGATGTGAGTGAACTCCAAATCAAGCAGTGATTTTTCTTTTTCTCTTTTTCTGCCTTTCCCCCGTAATAAAAGGAGTGAGACTGCAAGTCTTTTCTGCGCCCAGAGACTGGCACTTCATTCATGGGACATGACTCATTAAGACTACTACTACCTTGACCGACTAGCTTAGGCTGTCATAATTTCGTTGCTTGATATCGGGAGTCAAGTGGTGAGTAACCTCAATTTGTCTTTCGATTTTACAACGACCACTGTCCTGTCCATATGACCACCGAAGAGTTGAACACTATTGTAGATAGGCTGCTACCGTAGTATACGGTAGCAGCAATCAATGTCTCTGACCATTGGTTCAAATTCCAATCTCAGGCTCTAACATTCCTTGAACTCATAAGTCAATCTCAATCTCATTGCGGCTCCTTATCTCGATTTCAGCCATGGGGTCTGAGTTCAACGCAAATCCGTGATCAATAGTTCGTAGCGTGCGTTCAGGAACCAACCTCCACTCGTACTTGAGGAGGAGATGACACAAAATGATCTTTATTTCGTTTGCTGCAAAGAACCGCCCAGGGCATGCGTGCAGACCGAGGCCGAAGCCAAGATGTTTTGGCGAGGTGCTAACAAGATGTGCTTGACTATCCAAGCCAGATATCCCGCGCATTCGCTCGAAACGATGGCCGTCAAACGTTTCTGGATGGCTGTACACCTCAGGGTGATACATTTGCCATGTTGTTCCGACACAGCTTTCGCCCTCACGAATGACTGTGCCATCCGAAAGTTTGACAGTCTTTGTCGCCACACGGTTTATGACAGCTATGATGAAATAGTCAGTACGGTGCTAGGATTGTTTTGAAATGATTTACCTGAAGTGATTGGTTTCAGTCGTTGGGCTTCTTTGATGACACTGTCAAGAAGCTTCATATTGAACAGCGCAGACTTTTTCCATCCCTCGGCCTGTAGAGCTTCGACTATCTCTTTCCTAAGAAGCGAGAAGTACTCGGGATTTTGAGCTATTCTCACCATGGTCTCACATGCCAGATCTGTAGTCGTATGGATTGCCACGAGCGAGAATCCAAGCTGGGCACCAACTGGGTCGTATTTGCTTCCCTGACTCTCCTCTTCTAGCCAACTGAACACGTCGTCATATTCAGGAGCTGGTGTGTTGTTTTTCAAAGCTTCTAGACCCAACTTGTTGCGTCTGGACAGGACGGGACCGATGATTCGCTTAGCCTCCTGGATATCTTTACGCAGAATCCGGCATTCTGGAAGAAACCAGTGGATAAATGACCGGATAGGGCTGGGGTAGCTTCGTAAAACCTCAGCAGCCAGGAAAGCGTGGACAGTATATGCTTTGGCAATTTCCAGCCAGTCTTGATTACGGCATAATTCATCGCCGAGAAATACGCGAGAAGAGAGGCGGGCGACAATATCGAGGAGTGCGTCTTTGATAGGAATTTGCCGCCAATCTGTCACTCTTCGAGTTAAACTTGCTGATTGCCACATGCTTCAAATCATGGAAACATACCTGTCGAGTTACCAAGTTGGACATTCATGGCAAAAACTGCCTCCTCCGAGAGAGGCTGCGTAATTTGATCTGCGCGGCTTAGCTGTGAAGTCTTTCTTCAACGGGAAATATTACTGACTAAGGAGCTTGTTCAATTGCTTCTTGATTACCCTCTGTATCAACTCATCGTCGCGGCCTCCGACTGCAAAACCATCGAATCCGGGCAAGTGAGGATGGAAGTTGGCGGCAAAAGCTTTCAAAAAGCTCAAGTTGGGTTCGTTCCGAATCTCGTTCAAGAGCGAAGGATGGATGACTGTGTATTCTCCGACTTCAGTCATCATTTTGTAGCACTGGCCAGGATATAGTTGTTCGGCTTTTTTCATGAGCGCCCTCGCACTCGATAAAAACTCTCGACGCTGGCGGTTGCCAAACAAATCATATTTTCCGGCAGGATTGATATACGGCATTCGGTTCTGTTGGTGGGTCTTGGGAATAAACAACCAAATACTGAAAAGACAGAGTGCTCCAAGTGCAGCTATCAGAGGGCGTTGCAAGAATGCAAGCAACCCGGCTATCAGCTGCATAAAGTGCATATTCTGAGGAAATAACATATCTTCCAAGACGGTATAGAAATATGTGAGGCAACATAGGAAGAATTGAGCCAGCGGTCGATTCAACAATTTGCGGCGCTTCCGACGTTATTTATCTCCTGTCGTATCCCCAAGCAACACTCTGGATAACAAATGATCTACATACTTGACAATGACTGCCGTGGCTGGATCGCCGGGTTATTTTTTGCCAAGGAAGTCAGTCCCAAGTAGAACTATACTGGATTTTACCAATACTATACGAGTCTTTAAATTGTGCTTGGCGTCCCGCATTAGGAGTGGCATTGTGAGCGGGGCCATTCGGGATCGTGCAGACTCCGAAGATCCGTGCGTTGGGAGAGGGGGATCTTGATAATTTGGGATAGTATAAGATCCCCGAACGCATGAAACTTGAGGTCTTCTTCGTTTTCGTCTTCTCTCACGTTCAAATCTAACAAGGTCCGGTAGCAAGTCGAGACGCATTGTATCGATCTGCCGTGGTCCCCACTCCAATCCAGGAATGTTTCTCGATCGTTACGATTACCATTGGGGCTCGTCTGAGCTGTTCAAACCCCCACAGCCTAGGTAGGTAGTGACTATTGTGAGCTGTACCCCTGGCCACGGGCAACAAATCTGTGGGCAACATCAGTATATCCCGCCGAGGTGTCGAATCCGTCGTTTCTATCTGATGACACAAATAGTGCTCCAAGTGTTCACGGCCCCAAAACGTTCACGGTGATAATAGTCCAAAGATGACCCTGCACGACAATTTCTGGTTGAGAACGGCGCCAAAAACTCCCGGCATTGCGTGTGTTGAGCAAGATGCATCTACATAACGATTCAGGTTCGGTTAATTAAGCTCAGATAAATGTTGATGGTAAAATCTGACAAAACTAAAGGTTTTCACCTGATCGTCAATAAATATTTCAAACTTATTTGTACATCAGAGCTTTGTTTTGGGGTGTTTGTTTATGCTTGCATCTCCGAAAGTAGGTATGTTGCAGTCTTGGGAGATGATCTGATACCCCGCACAACTATATGGCGCATCCTATTTTGGCATTGCTGTCAGACATCGTGTTCTTGGCTGAGTACTGGCATATTTGGTAACAGCGAAGGCATTGCTAATAACTCTAGAGCAGAGCGATTTACCTCCACTAGATTGACACTGCTAGCACCTATCAATATGCCGGATATATTCGTTCATATCAAGAACGGAGACTTGCTTGCAGTGAGGCGAGTCGTTGAGGAATCGGGGACTACTTTTTCAATCAGCGCGTACTCGACCATCGGCTTGACTCCTCTCGGAGCCGCGATTTACTATGGTAAAACCGACATCATTAAGTTCCTGCTTGAGGCAGGAGCTGATATCAAAGAGGGTTACAAGTCGCAGTTCTGCAAAGACAAAGATCTTTTTCAGCTTGAAAATTGGCCTCAAATCTCCCCGGCCATACATTGTGCTGCAGCTTCCGGTGCGACAGAAGACATACTTCGCCTTCTGGTCGATCATGGTGCCGATGTGAACGACTCTAGTGCCCGTGATTATGGTGCCGAGGTGCTGCCACTTTATGTGGCTACTGGACAGGCGACTCAGGCCTTGATCAATCTTGGAGCAGATGTTTGTCAACAGAACGCTATCGGCTTTACCCCGCTGGTGCATGCACTTGCCAGGGAAGATGTCAACTCTGTCAGATTACTCATAGAGCACGGTGCGGACGTTCATATCGAGAGAACCCCAAAGTACAAAATCAGGACCAATGCTCCTGACAATGATGATGATAGCGACATTGTCGGGGAAGAGCTGCTGGTGCAAGGTGGTTCTTCGCCACTCATTGTTGCGAGCCATCAAGGACGGCTGAGGCCAAGCTCTTTCGAGATGTTTGGAATCCTTGCAAAAGCGGGAGTAGACATGAACAAACGATATCATCTCAAGGACGCTCCATCATATTTTGATGGCGGATTTACCCTCTTGTCCTTGATATGTGGCTCTCGTACCAAAACCCCCAGGCTCAGAGGACAATACGCCAACAACGACCGATATGGACAAAAGGAATTGCAGGCAATCAAGGCAATAATTGAAGCTGGTGTCGACGTGAATAGTCCACCAGTCATACATTATGTCTGCGATGGTGTGATGCCATTTACTGACTTTGAGTCGCGCTCAGAAGTCTTGCGAATGCTAGTACAAGCGGGTGCCAGAAGCAATCACTCACACAGTGGAAGCTCTGCCATGAATGCCTCGGCTACCACAACACTATTGAAATCGTTCAACAAGTGCAGTGAGTCGGAGATACAATTCCAGACTATGGCTGCTATACTGGACAAGGCTGGGGCTCAATGGAGCGGAATGGAAAACTTTGATGTTGCTACTTTGCCTGATTGTGTTCGCGACAAAACGGCCGACATGAAAGGGCATCTGGAGCCCAATCAATGAGAATGATTCTACGAATGTAGCAAAGAAATAATCAAAGACGTCACAGCAAGTCAAATTTACTGCATGCCAAACCAATTTTAATCAAGCCAACGGCAACTATCGGCGTTGTCTCAAAGCACATCGGTCCGTGGAGAATTGGAACATGGTCGGTTGGCAAATTCAAGATACACTTGATTCGAGGAAAATCTCCTGAGTACTCTCTGGAAGTATAATAAATGTATGCATTTGATGAATTTCTTCGCGGGATACCAAAGCGTTGCATTGAGGGCGCGCCCCAGCCTGCGCCCCCACAGTTTGGAGACTCGTCTTGTATACAACCGATCTACCATCTCGCTTGATCTCATGGCGTGCCACCGGAAAAATTCAAGGTTGACCAACCCAATGATCGTTCGTTGTGCTAAGTGCTTGCGGCTTGAATTTGCTAGCAGACACCCTATAGCTTCAACTCCAAATGGTCATGTTATAAACAAAGCATTATCCACTTGGAATTAATTACATGACCACTAGTCGGCATGCACTCACAAACAGGTTCCCTGAGACAAATTGATTCCGACTTGTTGATCCATCCTCCATAATGTCTTTGCTTTGTAACAAGTTGATGCATTGGTGTCTTGCCTTGGCAGCTGCAACATGTGTGCGCGCCTTGGAACTTGAGCTCTCACTGGAAATGCCCGATACTGCTTTGCCTCTGCCGGCCAGTATGTGCGGTCTCTCCATCGAGGCTGACAGATTCGTCGACTGGGCGGGCGAGCCAGGCAAAGCCAATCAATTCACATGGAACTTGATGAACAATACCAAGGAAAAGACAGGCATTGCACCACCAATCAGGTGAGTTTGTGCCGAACCATTGCATGGGTCCCTATTTGGTCTAAGACGAATAAAAGAACCATTTTTATGCTAAGATCCAAACAGAATTGGTGGCGGCTCCCAGGACTTTATCATCAACGTGGCCGATCTCGACAATGAGGAACCTGGTTTCTATAATATCTTTGCTCCCGTTCCCGAGCTTGATGACCTCGAGAGTACCAAACAGCTGTTTCCCCAGGCTTACTTTACTGGCGCCGGGTACAAGTACTGGCGAGCTGCCTGTAATTTCCCTCCCACCACGAGCTTTACCTTTGGAGTCAATTTCCTGGCCGGCAACACGAGCGAAGCTATTGCTCAGATAAAAAACATTGAAAAGGCTTTTGCTGTATGGTTATTTCAACTTTGATGTTTCTTCCAAGACTCAACCCAACTTTCATTCCCCTTGACCTTTGTGTCATGGCAAAATAACGTTGGAATTTGTAGCTTGCTAACTCAAGTCAAATTATTCATGTAGGAATCTGATTGCAGCGATGTAGAGCTATATGCTATCGAGCTTGGAAACGAAGCGGACCAGTGGGATGATGGTGTTAAGCGGGACGAGGATTGGGACATTTATGCCTATTCGGCCCAACAGTAAGCCATGTGCTTGTGATCAATTTCTCATCACTTTCAGCTGCTTTCTATCATTAGTTTCAAGCGCATTACTGATATATTATTGGCAAAAGGATATCATACTATGAAGCGATCAATGACACTCTTGGCGACAATGGACGCAAGTACAGATTCGGAGACTCGGCATCGCGCTGGTCCGTCAAGAACATGCTAAACACGGATGCTTTGCAAGGAGAGTTTGCCAGGTGAGTGGACCACCAAGTCATTTAAACTTGGCAAAGAAACAATCTCACACACAAACGGGACAAGCTCAATTAATTCCCTCTCGGTCCATCATTACCACTCTACCGGGCAGCTAGATAGTCGATCGGTATGGCCAGGAAAGGCGTCTGGCCTAGTCAACAAGACCAGTATTCGGACAGAGCTCGATTCCTACGATGACTCGGTCAAACTCGCGGCGGATGCAAACTACAGCTTTGTCCTTGGAGAAACCGGATCATTTGCGAGTCATGGACAGCAGGGGGTAAGCAACTCTGCTGCTGCGGCCCTTTGGCTTGTGGATTACAGCCTACACGCGGCGGTTGTCGGTATATCGGGCTTGTTCTTCCATCAGGGCGTCGGCTACAATTACAGTGGTATGTGTGTTGGTTCATTGCATGTCAAGGATTGTATTGAGCAAGGTTGACCCTGTACATTTTATCCAGCATTCGAACCTGTCGATCATATTGGTATCAACCTTACCGATTATGCCCCAGACGCAACACACTATACTATGCCGGAATATTACGGATATGTTGTGGTGGGGGAAGCCATTGGCTCCAAAGAAGCGGTACGCGAGACTTGTCCCAAGTTATCTTTTCCCCCTCTCCCTTGATGTCCTTTCCTCTGTTCACTTCCCAAGAGGATGCCTCAGAGGAAAGTCAAAGACTACGCCTCGAAACAAATGCAGTAAATCCTTATTCAAGACTATAAATGCCAAGATCTAATTACAATATGCATAGTATATCAACGAGATTGAGGTGGACAGCAGTGTGCCATTGACCGCCTTTGAGATTTATGAAGACAACAATCTCAAGCGCATCGTGCTCATCAATTCCCAGCCTTGGACAGAACTGTAAGTCTCGAGAAGTCACTTATATTTGGGCAGTGTGAGGACGCTAATGTCTGTATAAAATCCTTAGATCCACTGGAGAGCGTCAGAACTTGACCATACAGCTGCCGCAACTTGAATATTATGACGGAGCGCGTTACAAGCTTCTCGAGTTTGAGTCTCTGAGTGCAACATGTAAGTCTGGCGTCTTGACCTCGTCCTAATTTGGCACAAGTAAAGCACAATATACTAATTAGTTTGATAGCTGGTCTTACTTGGGGCGGGCAGAGTTATGAGACATTGTCGGGCAAGGCAAGTGGTGAAAAAGTGTTCCACGAGCTTGATTCTAGCGGAGCCATTTCTTTGCCATCCAGCTCGGTGGCATTAATTCATCTATAAGCGGGTGTGAATATTGTGCCGCTTTGTAAGACATACGGCATCTGAGTAGGTAGGCAGTCAGTGGCCTGAGTGGGTACCGAATAGGGCCATTCGTCACCCCAAAGTGGCCAGACACACATTGGCTGTGGGGAGATTCTCGGCACACTCGGTCTCGGTTAGCGAAGCAGAGCTAGCGCCCGTGCTACAAGCAATGTCTCGGTCTTTTTTGTATCTACTCGGCATTCCGTACTCTGGTCCTTTTTAACGTATGTGTACCATGACGTCAAAACGGGGAATGATTGACTGTTGCAATGCGAATAAGATTGATTATATGAAATGCGGCGGTCCACGGCGATGGATATTTAATGTCGCCTTGGCCGTGGTGAGCCCGGTTGCGGCATCTCGGTCCCTTAAGTCGAGCCGGGATCGTTGGCAGCTCGCTAACCGCGGGGTCCTACAAGAACCCGTTCCCAATCGCCCGGACCCCCCAAGACGCTTGACGCGAACTTGCCGTGGCAAGGGGGGGTTACTCCACTAAAAAGCTAGTAGCGAAAATTGTATACAGATCGGGACCCAGATTTCATGTAGATGCCGCCGGGGTTTAGTTGCAATGAAACCTCCCTTGGGTTGAATTATGGCAGATAAGTTGACTGGATACCCAGACACGTCCACCCTGCATGTTGTTTTTAGAGTTCAATTCCAGTGCTGCTTTCAACTACTGTCCTTCTTTATTTATTAGTCATTCGTGCTTACAAACACACACTTCTTTGGCATATTGAACATCTCTGGTTACAGCCACTCACCCACAACACCGCCTCACCAAAAACGCCTTAGTCACTTGTCGCTTTTCTGTGTCTCTCACCATGGCCATTGGAACCTCGACATCTCAAACAGACTGCGCTGCACCTGAGCCCTGCCGCCGGATGCGTCTTGATGCCCTGCTCAATTTCGACGAGGACAATACATGTCCTCCCCAAGTAAAATCCCCAGTGGTTGACCACACCCGCGCTGGCGCACTACCTCTGCCCAAGCGCCGGTGCTGTGAGCGCTGTTCCAAAAGAAAGATACGCTGCGATCGACGTACGCCGTGTCTCAACTGTGACAGGGCGGGAACCAAATGCACAGTGGCCAGACAGAGTCGCGATGCAAAAAACGACCATCGAGTCAACAAGAAGCAGCATTTACAGATTCCGCGGACAGAGCTTATAGACCGCCTGGCAGAACTGGAGCAGAAACTCCTCAGGCTCGGTCAGGCTCTGGGGAAACGATGCGACAAGGTTCAGTGCACGGAACAAGTTGTGTATATGCCCATTGCGTCTCGCGATAACATTGTCTCACGGCAGACTAACATGCATGCACCAGAAGCCGCCTGCGCCTGGAATCTTCATCCAATAACAAGGGAACGGATCAATTTTTGGCTAGAAGAGCAGAGCATGAGCTGAATATATATTTATCATTATTATTTTAATTTTATACTTTTTTAATTAATAAAATCGATACCCATGAGCAGATCTAAAATGCATGCTAGAAAAAGTGATGCGAATGCCGAGATACTGAGAAGCGATTGCCGCTATATCAGCAAATGTTGAGACGTAAGATGAATTCGGCCATGAAATCGAATTGATTGTGGTTCAGAAACCATATCTCGAATTTCCTACACTTACATATCTGAGACAGTTCAAACTTTAAAAACTTTGATGTTTTTAATGGAATATCGAGGCTGAAGGAATGATTTGGATTGATGGTTCGAATAGGCTCAGCAAACTAAAAAGAAGAGAGAGACTCGGGAAGCCCTGGACGGATTTTGGAGGTGGGCATGTCGAGGTCTCGGTGGGAGGTTTGGCGCTAGCAGCACGTACCGCAGCAGAATAGATGGACAGGGTAGACCCCCCCTATACGAAATACCTTACACAGCGCCAGCCAAACCAGCCCTACCCGCCATAGTACCGTCTATTACTATACTAATCCTTCTGGCAAAAAAAAGCCCATCTGCGACCAATCACCTCCCCACCCGAACACGAAACGGACTCGCGGGCCATCAGCGGCGCCGTCAGAAATCCTCCCGGGTTTATAACAGCTACATACGGGCAAGGGAAATACTGCAGCATTCTATTCTAGAAAGCCTAGCGCCCGTCATGGCAAACTCTGTTGATTGGAGCAACCCGATACTAGCATTCGGTCCCTTTAAGGATTCGCAATGCCAAGCACTATCCTTCCCGAGAGACCGTTGATTAGCAGTCTGGTATGGAGTTTACTGGCACGGGTCATAGAGCCTTACCGAGTGTCCGACTACTCGATGGGTCATGGACTCCTTATTTGTCAGTTTCTTAGATGATGCTTTTCCCTTAAAGAGTCCCAGCCGTGTGCCATACTTCCAGATCTGGTAACATTCCATAAACTGCAGATTCTTGCAGAGCTTTCTTTTGTGTAAGAATCATTCCTTAATACAATTTCACGTTACTTTGATATTCCCAATGGGCGAACCACCCGTGCCCAGGGCGCCAGCCGATGGCCCTGCGCCCTCTTCTCAGAGCAGCAATGGAAGCGAGTCGACCTTTTTCAACGGAGACGAACGAGTGGAACACGAATCGGTCAAAATTCATCATCACACCGAAGCAAGCGAGACTGTCGAATACATGGAAGAACACAGCCAACAAGTGGAAATGGAGAGGCGGCAGTCTGCAGTACAATCCCTTGCACGACAGTATACACAGCGATCCAGTGTCGGCGGCCACATTGGTGGCCACAGCCCCTTTACCACGGATGATCCCATGTCCCCCTTGAACCCGCTAGGAGAAAAGTTCAATGCTCGAACATGGGCTCGCACCATTGCCAACCTTACATCGGAACACGGAGGCGGATACCGAACGGCCGGCGTCTGTTTTCAAAACATGAACGTGTTTGGCTACGGCGCCGACACCGACTACCAAAAGGACGTCGGCAATGTATTGTTGGAAGCACCCAAGGCCCTTCCGGCCCTCTTTGGACAGAAGCGAGGACTGCGACGAGTCGACATCTTGCGCGACTTTAACGGTGTCATTGATGCCGGAGAAATGTGCATTGTCCTCGGTCCTCCGGGAGCAGGATGTTCCACATTTCTCAAGACACTGGCAGGTGAAATGAACGGCATCTACACCGATCCCAGCACCTATCTCAACTACCAGGAACTATCGGCCAAGGAAATGCACAAGTACCACGCCGGAGATGCCATCTACACCGCCGAGGTCGATGTTCACTTTCCCATGCTGAGTGTCGGTGAGACCTTGTCTTTTGCCTCTCGTGCGAGATGTCCTAGAACCCTTCCTGAAGGTATCTCTCGTGACGAATACTGTGGTCATCTCCGAGATGTTGTCATGGCCATGTATGGTATCTCGCATACCGTCAACACCCGAGTTGGTAACGAGTACATTCGTGGAGTGTCTGGTAAGTCTTTATTGTCTTTTTAAACAAAAGTTGTATCTGCCATTTACTAATATATATCTTGTAAAAGGTGGTGAGAGGAAGCGTGTCACGATCGCCGAGGCAACCTTGTCCAATGCACCGCTCCAGTGCTGGGACAACTCTACCCGTGGTTTAGATTCGGCAAACGCCATTGAGTTTTGTAAAACCTTGAGACTTCAGTCTGAAATGTTTGGCCAGACCTGTGCCGTCTCCATCTACCAAGCTCCCCAGAGTGCATATGACCTGTTCGACAAAGCGCTTGTCTTGTACGAGGGTCGTCAAATCTACTTTGGCCCGGCAACCAAAGCCAAGAGCTACTTCGAGGGTCTCGGCTTTGACTGCCCGTCTCGCCAGACCGTTCCCGACTTCCTCACCTCCATGACGGCCCCAACCGAGCGTGTCGTCCGACCCGGCTGGGAGAACCGCGTCCCCCGAACCCCCGACGACTTTGCAGCGTGCTGGAAGAAGAGCCAGGAGAGTGAGGAACTGCTCCGTCTGATTGAGCAGTACAAGCAAGACCACCCCATCGGTGGTGCCAGCGCCGAGGCTTTCCGCTCCCACAAGCAGTCGGTTCAGGCCAAAGGACAACGTCTCAAGTCGCCCTATACCTTGTCGTATGCTCAACAGGTCCAGCTGTGTCTCTGGCGTGGTTGGCGTCGTCTCTTGGGAGCTCCCGAGAACACCATATTCTCTCTCATCGCAAACTCCGCCTCTGGCTTGATCATCTCTTCCCTGTTTTACAACATGCCCCAGACAACCACGTCCTTCTACAGTCGCGCTGCCGCCCTCTTTGTGGCCATTTTGACCAATGCATTCTCGAGTGCGCTCGAGATCTTGACGCAGTATTCGCAGCGTCCCATTGTCGAAAAACACGTCCGCTACGCCTTTTATCATGCATCGGCTGAAAGTTACGCTTCGATTCTTGTCGACATGCCATACAAGATCCTCAACGCCATTGTCTATAACCTCATCTTCTACTTTATGACTAATCTCAACCGCACACCTGGAGCATTCTTCTTCTTCTTGTTTGTATCTTTCCTCATGACTCTGTCCATGTCTGGTCTGTTCAGATCCATGTAAGTCAACGACTCCAAGTTTGTGGCGACAGTGAACATGCAACTAACCAAAAGTCAGTGCCGCATTGTCTCGGACTCTATCCCAAGCCATGGTACCTGCCTCGATTCTCATTCTTGCTCTTGTCATCTTTACCGGTTTTGCTATTCCGGTTGACTACATGCTGGATTGGTGCCGCTGGATCAACTACCTAAACCCTGTCGCCTACGGTTTCGAAGCCCTAATGGTCAACGAGTTTCACAATCGCGAATACACATGTGGTGCCTATGTGCCTAGCCCTTCCGTCCCCGGATACGAGAATACCTCCATGGCCAACATGGCCTGCTCGGCCGTCGGTGCGGTGACGGGACAATCGTACGTCCTTGGTGACACTTATATTGCCACGGCCTACAAGTACTACCACAGCCACAAGTGGCGAAACGTTGGCATCCTGATTGCATTCGCTATTGGCCTTCACGCCATCTACATTACGGCGGCCGAATACATTGCGGCCAAGAAGTCAAAGGGTGAAGTGCTCGTCTTCCGCAAAGGTTTCGTTCCATCATCTTTCAAGACATCGGGTGACCAGGAGGCCAACGCCACTCGGCCCGGCGCGCAAATCGCCAGCAAGGACTCGAGCGGCTCCGACTCGGAGGGCGCCATTCAAGCCTCCACCAGCGTCTTCCACTGGGGCCAGCTGTGCTACGACGTCAAGATCAAGAACGAAACCCGCCGCATCCTAGACCACGTCGACGGCTGGGTCAAGCCGGGCACGCTGACGGCGCTCATGGGTGTCTCGGGTGCCGGCAAGACCACGCTGCTCGACTGTCTCGCCGATCGCGTCTCCATGGGTGTCATTACCGGTGAAATGTTGGTCGACGGCAAGATTCGCGATCAGTCCTTCCAGCGAAAGACTGGTTACGTTCAGCAGCAAGACTTGCATCTCGAGACTAGTACTGTGAGAGAAGCCTTGGAGTTCTCGGCCCTGTTGCGTCAACCTGCTAGCACTCCAAGAGCTGAGAAATTGGCCTATGTCGACGAAGTCATCAAGCTCTTGGATATGGAGGAATATGCTGATGCTGTTGTCGGTATGTATTATTTGTTGGTTTTCTGTATTAACCTTTTTTAGCTTGCTAACTCTTGTGTTACTAGGTGTTCTTGGTGAAGGTCTCAATGTCGAACAACGGAAGCGACTCACCATTGGTGTGGAGCTGGCTGCGAAACCCCCTCTGCTCTTGTTTGTGGACGAACCGACCTCGGGTCTCGACTCGCAGACATCATGGGCTATCCTCAACCTCCTCGAAAAGCTGTCAAAGGCCGGCCAGTCCATCCTGTGCACCATTCACCAGCCCTCCGCCATGTTGTTCCAGCGCTTTGATCGACTCCTTTTCCTTGCCAAGGGAGGAAAGACTGTGTATTTCGGCGATATCGGCAAGAACTCTAGGACCATGATTGACTACTTTGAACGAAATGGCGCGCCTGCTTGCCATGACGGACAGAACCCGGCCGAATGGATGCTTTCCGCCATTGGTGCTGCCCCCGGCTCCACGTCCGAGGTCGACTGGCACCAGGCCTGGCTCAAGAGTCAGGAGTACGAAGCCGTGCAAACCGAGCTGGCCGATCTCAAGTCTGGTGGCCTGACCCGCACAATGACCAATGCTACCGCCAAGACCGAATCGCTTCGGGAGTTTGCTACCCCCCTCTGGGACCAGCTTCGCATCGTCACACATCGCGTTTTCCAGCAATACTGGCGCACACCCTCCTATATTTACGCCAAGACTACTCTCTGTATCTCCGTCGCCCTGTTCATTGGTCTCGTCTTTCTCAATGCACCCCTCACCATTCAAGGCTTGCAAAATCAAATGTTTGCCATCTTCAACTTGTTGAGTGTATTTGGTCAGCTCGTCCAGCAACAGATGCCGCATTTCGTCACGCAACGCTCCCTGTATGAAGTGCGCGAAAGGCCTTCCAAGACATACAGCTGGAAGGTGTTTATGCTCTCGCAGATTATTGTCGAAATCCCATGGAATTCCCTCATGTCCTTGTTCATGTGGATCTGCATCTATTATCCCGTTGGGTTCTACAAGGTCAGTAGCCGCCATCCATAACTATTCTAAAAACTATTTGCTAACCTCTTCAACAGAATGCCGAAGCTGCTGGCCAAACTCATGAACGTGGTGCCTTGATGTGGTTGCTCATTTGGCAATTCATGATCTTTACTTGCACCTTTGCCAATGCTTGTATATCCATCACGGACACGGCCGAGGCGGGTGGTAACCTGGCCAATGTACTATTCCAGCTCTGTCTCTTCTTTTGCGGTGTCCTGGCCACGCCCGCCGCCATGCCTGGCTTCTGGATCTTCATGTACAGGGTGAGCCCTTTTACATATCTAGTATCGGCGCTACTGTCAACCGGTCTGGCCAATACCTCTGTGCAGTGCGCCGCCAACGAGCTGGTGAGCATTACGCCGCCCCTGGGCCAGACGTGCGGCGAGTACATGTCCAGCTACATATCCGCCGCCGGCGGCTACCTCCAAGACGCCAACGCCACCGACTCGTGCAGCTACTGCTCCATCTCCGAGACCAACGTCTTCCTGACGTCCCTCAGCTCTAGCTACGCCACGAGGTGGCGCGACTTTGGCATTGGCATGGTGTACATTGTGGTCAACATTGCTGCCGCCTTGTTCTTGTACTGGCTGGTGCGCATGCCCAAGGGTAACAAGGACAAGAGCAAGAAGGAGGAGAAGAAGGAGAAGAATTAGAGGACTAGGTTCGAGGACTCTGTACAAAATCCTTGTACAAGACACCCCCACCATCCACACACACACGGTACATACACTTTCACCTAGAACACTTATAGAGAAACTTTAGAATATTTTTGGGCATACGTCCCCTATTTCATAATTAACTTGCATCTGTACCAATTACTTCAACATGGCTCCCTTTTCTGCCGGCATTCTCGCGCCCTCGGGTGGTGTGCTCCGTGACTTGAACTCGTCGCAAATGTCTTCCATCTTTACCCACTCTACGCCCTCATGTTTGCTGACATATTGAATTACCCTGGCAGTCGAGATTAGTCACCAAGCCTTTACGTCGATCAATGGAGAGTTGTTTCTTTCTTACCTTTCTACCATTTTGAGAGCATGAGGGTGTCCCGATACGTCGGGGTGAATTGTCACGGGAAAGCAAAAGTTGTCATATGTCTCATAAAAGTAGTCAAAATGATCTTTCCAAAGATCTTCGACGACACTGGGGTGGACCCAACCGTGGGAGTTGGTCATGTTTTTGATAAACATCTAGGTGTCTTGTTTAGTGTATGCGACGCGCGAATCGTTGAGACGGGCTTGCATCGACAGTTGAAATGACTTACCATAGGAGGGAGATCATCCAGGTACCAACTTGCTGGAATCTCCACCAGACCTGTGGTCTCACCGCGGACAAGCGGCTTCATCCACGTGTCGGGGTGTTTCTTGTAGTCGATGTTGGTCCACGTATCTCCGACACGCAGCCAGTGCGGCAAGGCGTCGTGGTGAGAAAAGGAGTGATCATACTCGAGACCTAGATAACCCCTGTTAGCAATTCCCAATTGCAACAAAAATTCAATGACTGGTTGGCTTTTACTCACCATATTTGAGCATCAAGTCCGCACCCTCCTTTGAAGTCTCCCACCACGGCACGACGGAGCCCCGGGGCGGCTTTCCGCAAAACTCGGTAATCATCTTGTACGTCTTGTCGAGGACAATCTCCTGCTGCTCAATCGTCATGTCGCGCGGGTTCTCGTGCGAGTACCCGTGCAGGCCAATCTCGTGGCCGGCGTCGCGGATCATGGCGCACTCTTCGGGAAACGTCTCGAGCGAGTGGCCCGGGATGAACCACGTGGTTTTGATGTTGTACTTTTCGAATAGCTTCAAAAGACGACGAACACCCACGGTGCCGGCGAAATACCCTGTTGATAATGTAAGTATTATGAAGTCTGTTGGAGATGTTTATTCAATTACCTCTGGAGATGTCTGATACAGACTCTTCACCACCGTATGATCCAATCCATCCGCAGACGGCGTCAATGTCGACCGAGATACAGCAGAGTGCTTTTGGCGCCATTTTCGTTTTCTTTTCTTGGAAATAATTCGACAGTATAGAGTTCACCGATATTGATTCAAAATGTCTCAATAAAGATGAATCTCATCTCATTGACGACCCTTTTAAACAACGTCTACTATACGATGACCGCCAAACCTCCGCGGCCCGATACCTGGGATGGAGCCGATTTGGATGAGTGGGGGCGGACTACTCGAGTCAAGCCTGTCGGACTCTCAAGATTCAAGTCCGCGACCCTTGCTAATGCTTCCAGTGGGCTACAATTGGAGGGGATTGGCTATTCGAAGTGTATCTTTTTCATCTCCAAAATCAATTAATACAAGCTTGAGCTACCCACTTGCACTGGCTGGCAGTTTTGGTGGATTCGTTGCCTCTACCTACAAGACTTATACCCAGGCCCGCAACCCCGGCCATTTCCGGTAACTGAAATGGCCTAATCCCCTAGGTTAGATCTATAGCCCCAGCCAAACCAGCAATGGAAGATAGCATGCAAATCGTAGTCCGTTCCATACAGCTTCAGATACCGACCCTTTTGCCGAGAGACACGAACTATACGAACAATACGAAACTATCAAGTCTTTCCAAGGGTCACACGCCAACAACTATTGGTTTCATGGCGTCTAGTGATTGGTTTTAGAGTATCATGGATCCTCAAGGCTTGGAGCGCAATGTGAACAGTATCGAATTTCCATCTCGGTACAACTAGCCTGGTTGGCTCGCGTATCTATATCACCCAATTCCTTACGGGTGGCCCAATCGTATTGCAAGCTTCTGCTTTTAACCGGAGAGGTATATTCTGCTTGTGCTTTTACCCCATTCGTGGGGGATTTCAGCCCTGTTGCAATGAGTGCGACACGCCACTAGTTACATCGGGTACTGAGTCTACATCAAATCGAGACCTAATGCTACCTTGGCCATCCAAATTTAGGGAATGAAAGCGACAACTCAAGTCTGATTTAGGCATTTTGAGTTAGTATTCGGTAACATGGCGGCCAACCTTCTTGGTTTGGAACGGAATGGTCTTTTCCATCATGGCCTCAAGAGCAGTCTATATATAAATGGGAACGAGATGATTGAAATGATCTACACTGCACTTGCTGAGTAGTGCATTCAGCCTCCTCTTTTAAGCAAAATGGCCGTATCACTATTAAAGACTATTGCGCTCTCGAGCTTTGCTGCCTCGTTTGTCGGGGCTCAAACCGCCATCACGATTGACGCCTCCACGACGTACCAGACCATTGACGGATTCGGTTTCTCTCAAGCCTTTGGACGCGCCACTGAATTCAAGAACGCCGCATCGGCAACTCAAAAGACGGCGCTTGATTACCTGTTCAGCACCAGCACTGGGGCAGGATTTTCCATTATTCGCAATCGCATAGGATCGGGCGGGTCAGGCGACAGTATTGAGCCGGTCAGTCCGGGGTCTCCTTCGAGCACGCCGAGTTATGTCTGGGATGGCAATGATGCGGGACAGTTCTGGTTTACGCAGCAGGCCATTAGCTATGGTGTCAAAACCATCTATGCAGATGCTTGGAGTGCACCCGGGTTCATGAAGACAAGTGGCAGCGACACCACGGTTGGGTTCGTCTGCTCCCTCTACTTCCTTGCTAGTCATTATACCTGCGAGACTCTCGTCTAACACAGGCATGATAGCTATCTCTGCGGCACCACGGGAAATACCTGCAGTACAGGCGACTGGAAACAGGCCTATGCCAATTTCTTGGTGCAGTACGTCAAGTATTACGCCGCGCAGGGCATTACAGTGACGCACGTCGGCCCCTTGAACGAGCCAGACTGGACTGTATCATACTCACAGATGCAAATCTCCACTGATGCACACGAAGCAATCGAATTCCTGCCCATCTTGTACAACACCATCAAGAGTGCCGGCTTGTCGACCAAAGTTGTCTGCTGTGACTTTTTGGGCTGGAATAATGCCGCCACCTATGCAACCAAGCTAGTCGATGGAGGCGCAACTCAGTATATGGCCATTCTTTCGTCGCACGCCTACTCGGGTGATGCCACGAGTCCCATTACGGCCACATCTCTGCCCAAATGGAACACCGAGGCCGGCCCCAGCAGCGCCTTCACCACGACCTGGTACAGCAGCGGCGCCGATAACGAAGGCTTCACCTGGGCGACCAAGCTGGCCAACGCCATGGTCAATGCGCAGCTGTCTGCCTACCTCTTCTGGGAGGGGTTCGAGATCCAGGAGACGCAGTCGGCTTCGCATCTAGTCGACGCGACCGACGGCACCAACCCCGTGCCTTCGGGCATCTTTTGGGCCTTTGCCATGTGGTCGCGACACATTCGACCGGGCGCCGTGCGCATCGGCTCCTCGGGCACTATGACCAGCACTACCATTGGCGCGTTCAAAAACACGGACGGCAGCATCGTGGTTGTTTTTACCAATGCCGGCTCCAGCGCGCAGAGCGCCGCCCTGAGCTTTTCCAGCTTTACCCCAACGGCGGCGAGCGCCTGGCAGACCAGCCAAGGGTCCACGTTTGCGAGCACCACGGCCAGCTTGTCTGGGGGCAAGGTGACGGTCAGCGTGCCTGCGCATGGCGTCGTCACGGTCAAGTTGACGGGCGGTGCATCATCGGGAACCACCACGAGCAGCGCGGGAACCACAGTCGTGACCAGTACTGTTGCGGCCACGACCACGTCGGGAAGTGGTTCTGGCTGCTCTGTTGCGAAATATGGCCAGTGTGGTGGTAGTGGGTACTCTGGTTGCACAGCGTGCGCTAGTGGAAGCACTTGCACTGTCAGCAACACTTATTATTCCCAGTGCCTCTAGTACCTAACCCTCAGGCTGTAGGTAATCGCTCAATGGATGCAATGATTGATCGCGTGGATGTGCCAGTGTCACTCAGTGTTATATGCCACTCCATTTTGAGAAATATTATTACAGAAAATGCGAACAGTAAAACTTGAATTGAAACACATGTAGTAATCCTTTTCAAAGTTGCGCTCGATATGACGCTTTTGTCGTTGCCTCGCCAAACAGCTTAACACCGTGCTGTGCCATCCCCCAAGATGCCTGATAGCCAGCACCACTGGCGCCATAGTTGTGCACTATAAGCAGCCCGTCGGGCTTCTTTTCCACCTCCATCCTAGGGCCGTCGCGTCGACTGGGTCGCAGCCCGACTCCGTGCTTGATCACCTTCAAGTCCTCTGGCTTGCCGAGCTCGGGAGCCAGCGCACAACACCTCTTCATAATCTGCTGGGCAAAGTCGAGGTCTACTTCACCACTCCAGTTGCCGTTTTCGCGACACCCGCCAAGAATGACTCCGCCGGCTAGTGGTCGCTGAAAGACGTAGGTAGTGTCATTGTCCACGCGCCGAGGCGAGCGAAAGTACATGCGCTTCAACGGGACCAGAGGCTGCTCGACGAGCACGACCTGGCCCCTGGTCGGATACATGCTCTTGTCCTCGACGCCTCCGAGGGAGTACGATCCCAGGCCGGTGCAGTTGAACAGCGCCGAGATGTCTTTGAGGCCAGCTGCAGCGGCAGCGTCGCGCACGTGCGACACTCTCTTGCGTACGAGACGAACCTGTTTTTCCTGACAGCATTCTAGAAGCCTACATCGCATTAGCCTCAAGGCTCCGAAGGAAGGGCACGGTGCATTGTTGCGACGACTCACCATCTCAAATAGACTTGCGTATTGATGACAAAGGTTGATCTCATATCGAGCCCAAATACAGCACCAGATGGCAACTCTGCTTGAGGGATCGGGTCAAGGCCCCCAACAAGCTCTTCATACCAAACCTTGTCCGTATCTTTGCTCAGTATCTCTGCATCCTTGATGTTCTGATCAAAGACCATGCGCAGAGGCGATCTCTTGATGCCGCATTGAGGGACGGCCCGTGCCAGGTGATCAAACTTTTCAAAAGTGACACGATCACAAGCCTCAAGAACTCCATTATCAGTGGCCGATGAACACCAGTTGCCGCCGGCCCATGGGGATGTATAGTCAATGTTATAATCGCCTGGGAAATACTCGGCGACAATGACAATCTCGGCATCGGGGTAGGTTTCCCTCAAGCTAAGAGCGCTGGTTAGGCCAATGACCCCGGCTCCTAGAATGACGAATGATTGCGGTTTGGAGGACATGTTGATACGACTAGCACGCGGACAGTAAAAAAGCACGAACAATGTTAATCAGATTGAGATGGCCATGACGGCAATAACATGCACTTCATCTAGTATTTGTTCAACGCAAATGCGGCCTCGACTCAGCCCCCCTCATCGGACCCGTGAGCCTTGGCGCCTTCAGCCGCATCCGTCTCTACGCCCCCGACCTCGGCCCCATTAGATAGGGAGTCCGAAAGTCCGCAAGGCAGACCAGGCAACGACACAACAATCATTGGTCGCGGATTGAAAATGGCTTGATATCACGCCACAAATGTTTATATGAGCAGATTCAAAGCATGGCACTTGATTTTCTATGTATGCCTAGTAGTGTTCAAAGCAGAGCCCATCCGGGGAAGGAAATTCTAAAGCATTATAGGCTCCACCGGATCTCCTCTCGCTATGAGTGGCTAATCGATCATGAGTCAGACTCGTAGCGAACAATAGACACATAACTTACGATAAACAATCACCATTGTAGTGAACTATGACTCAGGAAGAGCGATGTTGATTGTATTCATTGAATCTCTATGTATCCTGTGTACCCTTCCAATTATACGACTGCTCCAGTGCATACCCGAATTCCAGTATAGCATTCTCACCGTGCAGGGGTCCAACGAGCTGAACGCCAACCGGAAGTTTAGTGTTGGAAGCACCAGACATGTCGGTCCGGAGACCAGTCGGCACACTCATTGCCGGGTGGCCAGTGAGATTGAATTGCATGGTGTTGAGCGTCTGGCCAAAGGTCGACGACATGACTTCCCATACACCGGCCTTTTCCCTGTCGAAAAGAGGCGGCGCTGTAAAGGGGACCGTGGGAAGGAGGAGAACATCATATGTCTCAAAAAGACGTTCGTATTCTTCTCTCACTATTAATGCAGCGATTTGAGATTAGATTTTGTATGTGGTACCAAAAAGATAGATTCTGGAGCTTACATTGAAGGGAGAGATTCATGCACTTTGCATAAAGAGTAGGGTATTTGTCACGTTCAAACACCCCGTTGATGAGCTCGTTGCGCATGGCTGCCGGCAGGCGGTCCCATTTCTCTTGGCTCCAAGGTAGTAATTTCTCCAGGAAACCTGTTGGATAGTAGCCTCTCCGGCCCATTGGGTTGCCGACGGCGATACTTGTTAGTGATTGGCGGCAAATGGCCATCCATAGGGAGCGGCCCGTCTCGTGCCATTTCGTGGAGACTTCCTCCACTTGTGCCCCGAGCTGCTCAAATCTCCGGGCTGTTTGTCGTAGCTCATCCTTCATCTCCTCTTTGACGAATGGTGCATCAATGGCCTCCTTGAGAATTGCAATCTTCCGTCCAGATAATGGTCTAGATGGCCAGCGACTACAGGACAATGTGTACCAGTCTTGAAGATTGGAAGAGTACTTGATACTGCCATGCTTTTGTGCCCCAATCTGACGGTCGTCGAGACCATCATAGCCTGCAATAGCCTCTAGCAGCAGCGCAGTATCCCACACCGTCTTGCACATGGGGCCGACATGATCCATGATGGGCTCACAAGCTGCGACACCTGTATACGGTACTAGACCGTGCGTCGGCTTGAGGCCGACAAGACCGCAAAATGCCGCCGGTACCCTGATCGAGCCACCTTGATCGCCTCCAATCCCCATGTCCACGCGGATCTGCTTGACCTCGGTATCCGCGTTCCCGACGAGAGCACCAACGCCAGACGAGGAACCTCCGGCCGAATACTGTTGCCCCTTTGCCCAAGGGTTGAATATGGGTCCGGCTGCGGCAGTGTTGCTAACGGTTGCACAGCTCAATGCCTCGCACGTTGCGGTGCCGACGATGCAGCCGCCGGCTTCCACGATTCTCGATATCACGGTAGCATCGCATTGCGGCACCCACGGTTTAATCGCGTCGGTGCCATATACCTGAGGAACGCCAGCGATGCAGATATTGTCCTTGACGACAATATTTTTCCCGCTGAGCAGACCCGTCGGCTTGTCCTGCCTGGAATGCTTGTCTCCTTGTGTCAAGGTGCACCGATACGACCAAGCGCTGCCAAACTCATTGGCTTCTTGGTCCACGCGGGTGATGCCATGTCGCGTATAGCGAGGCTTAGTGGCTGGGGGTTCATAGTCGGGTAGCGCAGCGAGCTCTTCAAAGGTTTCGTAGGCCGCGGCCAACAAAACTCTGTGAGCATCTAATTCCTCAGGCTTGACTTGAAAGCCGAGTTTTGCCGCACACGAGACAACGTCTTCTGATGTCACGGGGTTGTTCCTGAGATTGCGGTAAGCGGGCGGTTATCATTTAGGAATACGCTACTGTAGTTGGGCGTTGATAGTGCTACACGTACGCTGACACTTCTGAAGAAACGACGGACATTGTTGCGGTCGTATAATGATACCAAACGCTGTCAAATTGACCTCACTATTGTAAATTGTCTAAGCCATACATCATTGGAGAACTGATTTTGCTTCTAGTACTATATTGCCTCGTATTGCAGGAGCCTGGCGCTGGATGCGGCCTCGACTCAGCGATTGTCGGACATTTTCATCGCGAGTCCGCTGGGGCGACAAATGAGCGGGGACTGGACTGTCTTGAGCGATTCTGATGAACAATACAATTTCAAATGGTTGTTCGGGCTCCTCGATATCAATTTTCGTTGCATTGATGATCTCTGAAACTCCATGCCGCTTCTTCATCAGATCTCACAAAACCTCATTTCTTCTTGTTGTTGTTCTTCTTTCCAACTTATACACATGACTCCACCCACGCATTCAACATGATTTCCCAATTGCCAGTCACCGAAAAAGAGCCCATCAATCTTCAGGGCGGATGGCCAACACCAAGACTGCACCCGGTGGAAGCCATGAGGGCGGCCACTTTGGAACTTTTTGCCCGCGATGATATCGATGAGCTTTTGAAATACGGGCCCGAACACGGCGACCTGTCCCTGCGCTCTAATCTCGGGGAGTGGCTTTCCTCTTCCTATGGTGCCCCAGCCGGTCCCATTGGCGGCGACCGCATCATTGTGTCCAACGGCGCATCCAACGGACTCGCCGTGATTCTGCAAAAGTTTGCCGACGTCACCGTGACCAGAAACATCTGGATGGTGGAGCCGACGTACTTTTTGGCTTGTCCCGTATTTCGCGACGCCGGATACGGCGACTGCATCCGTGGTGTGCCCGAAGGTCCCGACGGCATTGACTTGGTGTACTTTGAGAAGGCGCTGGAGGAGCTAGAGGCCGGCCAGCATGAGGCTCTTCCGTCTCGGCTCCCGTCGAAAACGCCCAAAAATGGATACCCCAAGATTTTTCGGCACATCCTGTACATGGTCCCTACCTTTTCCAACCCGAGCGGACGCACAATGTCTTTGGCGCAAAGAGAAAAGTTGGTCCGCGTTGCTCGTAAGCATGACGTCTTGATTGTCACTGATGATGTGTACGATCTTCTTCATTGGACGCCTGGGCATGAAGCAGTCCCGGGTAATACTACGCGTCTGTTGCCTCGCATGGTGGATGTTGATCGTTCACTCGAAGGAACCAATGAGTTTGGCAATGCCGTGAGCAATGGCTCCTTTTCCAAGATTGTCGCACCCGGCGTCCGTGTCGGATGGCTGGAATCCACGCCAGCTTTCATCAAGGCAATGGGCACCGTGTAAGTTCTACCAGACATGCTCGGTTATTCTTGATGCTGACAAGTTTAAATTAGAGGAGCGACTGTATCTGGAGGTTGTCAAGGCCACTTATCATCATTGGTACTCAACCAGATGCTAAGTAATGGTGCTATTACACAGCACCTCGAAAACGTTTTGATCCCTACCTACTCCCGTCGCTACGACGCCATGGTGGGCGCCATTCGAAGGTTATTATTTCCATTTGGTGTAAAAATCATGGAAGACCCTCAAGACCCGGCCAAGATCGGAGCATCGGAAGGCTTGGCTGGAGGCTTTTTCTTGTACATCACCTTTCCACAAGACGGCTCATTGCCACCTACCGAGGAAATAGCTAGCTTTGCACTCGAGGAGTACAGTCTCAGAATTGCGCCCGGTAAATTGTTCACAGTAACGGACAAGGCCTCGAATAGAGAAGCTCGCTCGAATGAATACATTTCTGGCGCGCGATTGTGTTGGGCGTGGCATGAAGAGGACGTTTTGGTGGAAGGAATTCAGCGACTAGCTAGAGTTCTTAATCATTTACATAGGTGATGGAAATATTGATGTATTCATGTTAGTCGCAGAAGAGTTTCTTGTCATTTAATTTCATTCTAGAAAAAAAAAAGATTTAAATCCATTGCTTGCATTGGCGCGCAAGGAATTGTAAATGATGCCTTAGCACTTGAAAGTATCTAAATAAATAACCTTTATTGAAACAATCGACCCCCAAAAATATGTAGTACTTGACAGCCATAGTAAAAGAGGTATTGATTCAAATCCCAACCTTGTCATATTCGATAACAACACAGATGATAGTCGTTATCAGTGCCCAGAGCCCTGTTACTACCCTGGCTGGATGACCTGCGGGCCCCTCGCCTCAGGCAAAAGATAATGTCGGACATTATTCACCTGTCCGACTAGCACATGACTTTGACTCGGACAGCCACCACGTCTGTTGGAATCTAGTGTTGCAATAGTTCTCCCCAGAAGGCTGATACCAAGTTATCTACTTGATTGCGGCTTTGAGTCTTCTTCATTTAATTGGATCGTTGTCGTTTGCATCGGAGTATCAGGTCATGTTTCCGGATTGCTGATAACTGATTTGCAGTTGGCGACAGCAGCTTAAGTCGTTTATATAATCCAGGATCCGAGTCCCTGGAACGAATACAGGGCTACTTTGACAGCGCCAACGACGATCTTCTAACCAAAATCCTTGGATTGCATTATCTCCTTTACGATAACACGATGCGTCTTTTCGGCAGCTGCTCTGGTCTCTCCTGGCCAGACGTGGTCAGCAAATTAGAGGCGCCGCAGAACCCGTACAGCACCGCGGCTACCACTGAGCTTGACAAGAGCAAGCCGATATGGTCCAACTCGGATCTTGACCCGACACCGCCATCATCTCGAACATGGACCTGGGTTCACTATACCAGTTTCTGGTTGGCGTCCTCGTTTGCCACTGGCACATGGACTACCGGCAGCGCCATGATTGCGCTCGGTATGCCGTGGTATGCCTCTTGGCTGGCCGTCGTCATCTCTCACATCATTGGCGCCGTGCTTCTCGTGGCCAATGGTCGTGGACCGGCTGCCTATCACATCGGCTTTCCAGTATATGCCAGAGCCAGCTTTGGCATGTGGGGAAGCTACTTTGCTATTGTGTCCCGATGCATTGTAGTAAGTCCCATCTGGAATCAATGAATCTTGCAGAGACAAAAAGAAACAACAACTAATCAGTAGTGTGCTATAGGCGGCGATATGGTATGCGGTCAACGCGTATTACGGCTCCAACTTTGTGTCCATTTGCATTAGATGCATTTGGCCCTCCTGGAATGATGTACCGAACCACCTTCCGAGCAATGCCGGCACAACTACACAATTACTCGGGGCAATGGCCATTTTCTGGGTTCTATCCATGCCGTTTGTCTTTATACGTATGCCAGCACCCTTGTTCACAATCTCTTTCCCTATTGGCCACACAACTAACTGCATCTCTCTCAACAGACCCAAAGAATCTGAACTGGTACTTTGTCGCAAAGTCATGCATGGTCGGACCAGCCTGTTTCGCCGTCCTAATCTGGGCCGTTGTTCTAAATGGTGGTTCCGTCGGCCCCTCCTTTCAGACCACGCCCAAGCTCGCCGACCCGACATACTACGGTTGGCTCTGGATGTCGGCGCTCAACTCGGGGTTCGGCGGATGCTCCGCGCTCATCGTGGCCCAGGCCGACATTGCTCGCTACGCCCGGAAACCCAGCGACCAGACCTGGTCGCAGCTCATCACTTACCCCGTCTTCAGTGCCCTGCCGGCCCTCTTTGGCATTCTCGTAGCCTCGGCCACGTCCAACTTTTGGGGCAAACAGTACTGGAATCTCTGGGACGTGCTCTCGGCGGCCCTAGACTATTACGACATGTCGCCAGCGTCCAGAGGCCTCGTATTTCTGGCCTCATTTGCCTTTGCCGTGGCCATTCTCGGCACCAATGTCGCTGCCAATTCGCTGCCATTTGGCTCTGATATTGCCGGATTGCTACCCCGCTGGATCAGTATCCGACGTGGTCAGGTTCTTTGTTCTCTACTAGTCTTTCCTATTGTTCCGTGGAAGATTATATCCAGTGCCAAGTCTCTGTTGACCTTTCTGTCTGGCTATTCGATCCTCATGGGCCCCTTTGCTTCCATCTGCATCGTCGATTACTTTTTCATTCGCAACGGTAACCTCAAAGTCCCTGATTTGTACATTGGCAACGCCGACTCGCAATACTGGTACACAGGGGGCTGGAACCTGCGCATGGTTGTTGCTTGGATCATTGGCGTTGTCCTTCCCTTTCCTGGCTTTGTGGCCAGCTTTGGCACCACGTCGGTGGCAGATGGGGCCAACCACATGTGGAACATGGGCTACCTACTTAGTATCGCAGTGTCTGGACCCGTTTACTATGTCTTGTTCCGGATTTTCCCTGATCCGAGCATTGACAAATCGCTGGCTTTTGAACAACAAGCCTCTCACTATGATTGCTTGATTGACGGCGAAGCTGTGGGGCCGGACTTGGTCAAGAATGAAGGTTCACTGGCTGAGAAGGGAAAAATTGAAGCAGACGCAAAGAGCCTCTAAAAGGGATCGTTTTGTATATGATGAAACATTTGCTTTGTTCAAATATATGTAGTCTCAGGGACTAAGTCGTCATCAACCCTGTCCGAAGTCTACCATGGAATCATATCAAATATTTTGCAACACCTTTAGAACAAGAAAGCGTTTGGGCTTTGACGCCACTCTCAGAAACCAGTTGTGGCGAAATGGATGTCGCATGTTTTGCTTTTCAGTCAAGGATTGGCTCGTACCTGAAAGTACCAATGCTTTCCTTTAATAACAAGGTGAGCCAAAGCTAACTTCGTCATTGCTGGCATTACTGCAGACAGCCAAGTCAGCATTGTATCTCACGATTCTTTCCCTACAATAGACTATAGTACCTACTGTGTACAGTCGCGAACTGCACCAATGTCCTTCTTCAATCGCTACAGTGTGGAGCCACTTTTATGAGAGGTTTCATTCACTTTCTGTACCCGTTAATCAGCTCAAGCACAGAGCCCAATCTGGATGCAGAGGCCAACAATTCGAGCTACGTTTGGATCACATTTCTAACCTACATATGCAACCTATCTAAAGCCTCTATCAGAGAATCTACAGATGCTGACAGTGTGGCGACATCAACTTCCCCAGTCTCCATTTCTTGGACCCATCCTGATGCTTCACTTTCATCCTCAGACGTCTCCCACTCAGCTTCCAATTGCTCACGCGCCCTAGTAAGCAGTTCCGTCCAGGACTGTCGGTCTGGATCATCTTCAGCATAATGCTTATTTGTGATTGCCACGACGTGTTCCAGAAGGTCAATTGCCTTTCGCGCCCGCCCATCCTTGAGATATGCTCTAGCCAGCTCGCTCTCTGATATCAATCGGTTGTGATCCATTTCCCGCAGAGTTTCCCTTCGCACCGATCTAACGTGCTCGAATATTTCAATTGCGTGTTTGGTCCGACCATCTTGAAGGTGTGCCTTTGCAAGTAAATGTTCCGATGTCAATCGCTCATGGTCCTTTTCGTTCAGTGTTTCTTTCCGCACTGATACCACACATTCCAATATTTTAATCGCCTCTTTGATCCGTTGGTCCTCGAGAAATGCCTTTGCAAGTAAATACTCCGACGTTAATCGAAAATGGTCGCTTTTATCTTGCGTCTTTTCCCGCACTGCTACCACATGCTCGAGTATCTCGATTGCCTCGTTGATCTGTTGATTTTCAAGATATGCTCTCGCAAGTGACTGCTCCGACGTTAATCGAAAATGATCTTTCACATCCAGCATTTCCCTGCGCGCCGCTACCACAGGCTCGAATAGTTCGATTGCCTTTATAACCTGTCGGTCTTCGAGATATGCTTTCGCAAGTGAGTGTTCCGCTGTTATTCGAGAATGATCCTTTTCGTCCAGCGTCTCCCTCCGCACCGTAACAACATATTCTAATATCTTGATTGCCTCTTTGATCCGTCTGTCCGAAATACATGCAATACCAAAGACTTGCTCCGATCTCAATCTCGTATGGTCCTTTTCGTCCAGCGTCTCCCTTCGCATCGTTACAACATGCTCCAACATCTGGACCGCCTCCTTGATCCGTCGGTCGTCATGGTATGCCAATGCAAGACTATGTTCTACACTGAGTCGAGAATGATCCTTTTCGTCTAGCGTCTCCTTCTGAATTATTAGTACATGCTCAAATATTTCGATTGCCTCCTTGATCCGTCTGTCTAAAAGATATGCGTTCGCCAGACGAGATTTTGACACTAAAAGATTATGATCCTTTTCGTCCAAAGTCTCCTTCTGAACTGCCACTATATCTTCAAATATTGGGATCGCCTCCTTTATCCGCCTGTCCTCAAGGTATGCGTTCGCCAGATGGAGGCGTGATGTCAATCGATCGTGATCTTTTTCGTCCAATACCTTCTTTTTCGCCGATTCCACATTTTCCAATAACTCGATCGCTTTCTTGACTTGTCGGTTACTGAGATATGCGATGGCAAGCCAGTACATTGATGTTAGTGGAGGATTGTTCGCTGCAGTTTCTTCTTTCCGTTCCCATTCGTACACCTCTTCAAAGCACTGCACAGCTTCTTGAAATCGTCGGTCCTTATACAGACATCTTCCAACGCTTGATAAAAGCTGGTATCGACATTGTTCTGCCTCGCCCCCTTCGCCTCCGTAGAGTAGCCGCAATGCATGCGGCATATATTCCCTCCACAGCTCACGGTCAGCAGGATCGTCGGAAGGGAAGACTTTTGCAAGATGACCTATTGCATCTCTGACTATCTGTGTCCTCCGGCCTCGCTCCTTCGTCCATGCCCCTGTCGCCAGATGCACGAGACTATGCATGTCGAACATATCGCTGTCTGCACGCCGGACTAGGAACGAGTATCCACAAAGGTAGCCTATAGCCGACTCCAGCTCTTCTGAATTCGAACCGTCTGACCCCGTCTCTGGCCCCGGCCTCGGCATGATCGATTGCGGTATAGCCTTCGGCTCGATATATGCTATGAACGACAACAATTTGACGGCAGTTTTGTTTGACTTTTCGATCTGATCAAACGACAACAGCCATGTCGTCGCTACGGCATTTCGCGATTCTTGATACCTACTATTATCCCGAAATTCTTGTCCAAGTATTTTAGGAATATCCTTCTTAGCACCTCGCAATAGGCTCAAGTACTTGTGAATAGGCGCCTTGGTCCGGTTAAGGTAGGCCGCCGCTTGCGTGATTGCTAGCGGAAGATAGGTGAGGTATTCTAGCAACTCGGTTATCAATGCTTCGTCTTGCAACATCTGCTTCTGGGGCAATGATTTTCCGAGGAGCTGGGTTGCTTCTTGTTGGCTCATCCGCTCGATATCGACGACGTCAGCTTGCGCAAACTCCACGGCAACCTGTCTTGATCGTGTCGTCAAAAGAATGGATCCCTGGTCACTTCGGGGCAGGAAGTCATCGATGCCGCCGTTTTCAGCGGATCCGAATACCAGTTCTTGATCATCCGCATTATCGACGATCAATAACCACTTGCCGGACTCGGCCGAGCTAAGGTGACGGCGGACGAGTTCTCTGATGTCCTCATCGTTGCTCCTCTTTTCCACGCCAAGCTTTTTGGCCATCTCAACATATGCTTGCTGTGCACTGTTGGCACTGATTATTGGTACCCAAAATATCGAGTACTCTGGTCGCTGCTCTTTAACCCTATAGGCCAAGCGGAGCGCGACTTGGGTTTTGCCTACACCGCCGAGGCCTACCAGCGCCGTTCTCTGGCAGCGCTCTTGCCCAAACAGCTTCTCCTCTAGTGTGTCTAGCACCGCGGTACGGCCAGTAAACCTGCTGTTTTTGGCAAGTTGGATATGATAGCATGGTTGACGGAGACTACCTAAGTCACTGTCAATCATTATCATACTGGAGACAGGCTTGTTCTGCTTACTATTCGATTCGGTGGTATTCCCAGCCACTGTTTGTTTCGACTGACCTGGCAGACCAAGGTCACGCGGCGGAATCTCATACAGCACCGCTTTGCCATATGCCGCTGCCATTGCCGCCGCGTACGGCTGCCATTCTTTGTTTTTGTGTTTGTCTCCATAGTCGCACACGCCCCGGATTACACCAACGGGAATCCGGTTCATCGTGCCCGCCGCCTCCATCTCCACGCCGATCACCCCGTACTTGTCTCTCAGTTCGTTTCTTCTCTGCGCATTCTTCAAGAGCTTATCCCCTGACCCGATTGGTCCATACCATACTCGGGTCCTCTGTGAATCCGGTCGTCGAGTGCGCTCGACTGGCCTGTCCGTTCCGTCGTCTTCTGTCCAGAACAGCTTGTCGCGGTCCTGGCCAGGGTCGGCGAATACACCAGTTGCATGCTCCTTACTACGAATAGTCTCGTAAAAAGGCAGAAACTCCTCAGCATCATAAGGTGCCTTCAGCTTGATGCTGCCGATGGCCGATTGGATAATCGGCTCCGTTACCGCTAATGCGTGTCCTCGTCGAAGTGGTTCGAACCCGTCTTCTGTTTCTTTGCCGAGATCGTACGCAACGAGTCCCGCGCTATTACCCTCAGGAAGACCTACCAGCACATCCCCTAGGCGAATATCGCGCACTGGGCTTCGCGATAAATCAGGCAGCGCCGCAGCGACACCCACAAGCAGCCCGAACCAGAGTTTAGGAAAGAATTTCTTGACCTGGCTCGCCAGCGCCGCCGCTGACCCTGTTCCGTACTCCTGACCAGCTGGCAATGTCGCGATCACGACGTTATGCCCAAGCATGCTGCCCGCGTGAAATACATAGTCGTCGCCTCGGCTGACTGGGAACCGCCCTTCATGTCGGACGTCCAGCAGGTGTAGGGCTGCCTGGGCCTCGATCTCGAGGGGCGCGATCCAGGCTACCGTGTAGTCGTGGGGGTCGAGAGGGCCAGCTCGTCTGGAGAGGGGGTCGTTGCTCTGCATTGTCTGCATGTCGCGGTTGCAGGCATCGTCTCGTGAACTGCGAGAAGTTCAGTCTGGCGAGATGCGATGACAATGATACCAACACTGGAGCTAAACTTCGTGCATTTCATTCAAGTAGCTTGTGTCATCATCGCTGCTGTTGCCTAGGAGGACATGTCCATGTCGAAGGCCTCATGAGGACTGGGGCTTTCGTCAGTCGCGCAACCCTGCGCGGGAGACTGTGGGTTGTAGGCGCTGGCCAGTAACGACGAATCATTTTTGTTCGCATCACTTTCTGTTGTTGTGGTAAGCTGACAAGCGTCAGCATGGTGGAACACCACAAGCAAATAGCGACACTTCCAGAAAATCATGCGATCAGTCTGTCTGCCTGATCAACATCAGGGCTAAATGGGATGCGGTCGCATTTGGCTGTAAAAAAAAAAAAAAAAAAAAAAAAAGTAATGTGTTGTCTAGAGGTCGCAGTGTAGGTGAGGCAACCCAAGAGCAAGTGTACTCAAGAGAGGGGTATGGTGTACTGGTGTAACCTGCTAGCTGTGCCCAATGCACATGCGCATCCCTTATGCACACTACAAATGACTTCCCACTGAGATGCGTTAATTTTTGGGTACCTTAGACTGGAGCAGAAATGCACGGAAAGCAGATCGTTCACGTTTTCCACAAGTCTCTCTCTGTGTAAAAGCGCTCACTTCGCTACTTGTAATGTTCTATTTGCCGGTCTTACATATCAGGTTTCAATATGCTTAAGATTGATCCAATGCGAAGTATTGTTACGAGTCTCTCTCTTTATTAATATCGTAATAAGAATATAACTAGTAGTATCCCGAGATAGAGACTCGAGTGTTTCGCATAAATAGCAAAGAAAATCCGAACCACTTCTCAGCTACATATTCCAAATACTAAAAGATCTAGCAGACGTATCTAAAGTTAGGCTTTTCCCAGTCCGTCAAATCATCAAAGCTGATCCTGGAATCAATGTCTCCCTCAACCACTTCTCCATGTAGCTTGTCGCGCCGGCGATTCTCCCACTTGACGCCGACGATATATAAGAGCATGATGGCTATAGCCGCGCTCTCGAATCCGGCAATGGAATTGTATCCGCTCTGGTAATACGGTGCCTCCGAGGACTGGAACGTTTGCGGGGCAATGATATTGGCCACGCAGTACGAGAGGAAGATCATGGCATTGACAGTTAACTTCTTGGAGTGGCCCGATGTATTTGCCATGGGAAGCGACAGTGCGACGGCATAAGGGCCCCAGAAAAAGTAGAAGAAGTAGTATGCCGTCAGCAGCCCGGTAGTGTCGCTCGATGGCAGCTTGCGAATCACAATCGAGCACACAAGCGGAACGACGCAACACACGGCGGCCGAGATGCATCGCGTGTCCTTGATATAGCGCGGCGGTATGGTGGCGAGGATGCTGGATACTGCTTGTATGACACCGGTAGGCATGCCGATGAAGACGGTGTTGAGCTTGCTGAAACCAAAACCGGAGACGATTTGTGCTGAAAACGTGTTGAGACCGCCGTTGCTCACGTTCATGCACAGGAAAAACAAGGCAATGGCCCAAGACTTCCAGTCCATCAGAGCTTCGCGAACCTGGTAAAACTTGAGTTTCTAGTATGTGTTAGTCATGGCCCATGAGTCTCTTCGAAAGACGTCGCACCTTGTTCTCGATACCAGTATTATCCGATCGTTTTCTTTCGACAGCAACGATTGCCTCGCGCTCCGATAGGAATCGGCCAGCCTCGGGGCGATCCGGGCAGAACAAAAACATCATGACGGCGAAGAACATGGAGATTGCTCCCAACACAATAAAGAGCAGTCGCCAGGTGGCAATGGACAAGTGTTTCGCATTGCCAATGCCGTATGACACGAGTCCGACGTAGACCTTGACATCAATTAGCCTAGTTGAGGATATTCTCGGTTGAGACAACTTACCGAAGCCACAGTCGAGCTCCAGAGTGCGACGCGAAGAGGCTGCTCTTTTTTGGTGTACCTATCAAGCGCCAAAGCTTAGTAGTGTTCGAGTTGATGAGAACACCGGAGAAGGCATGTCGTTACTCACCACATTGTTGTCATGAGTGTCAAGCCAGGGAGCGCGGGCGCTTCCATCATACCCATAAAGAAGCGCAGCGCCATGAGACCTTGAGCATTGTGGCAAACAGCCATCAAGAGGGTCATGACTGCCCATCCCATGGCCATGATGGAGAGGAACTTGGCGATCGGGAAGCGTCCCATCAAACTGACGAGAGGAAATTCGGCAACGAGGTAGCCGAAATAGAAGATGGAACCGACTATAATAATCCAGGTCAGATTCAATTCTTAGCGATATGTTTTATCAATCATGACTGACTCCAACTATATTGCTGCCCGACCAGATGGGTATCGTCTTTCATGCCGTACAGTGCCGCATTCGATATAATGATTTTCTTGAGACAAACAGATTGATCAGTATAAAGAACAAGGTAAACAGTATGCAGAATTGATTCAATTTCTCTTACATCCACAGCAGACAGGACGGCGTATCCCCACAGATACGGCATGATTCGCCAGTCAATCTTTCGAATCAGTGCTCTCTCTTCGGATTGTTCATAGGGCACAGGCTCGACGGGGACCGGAATGGTGCTCATATCAATGTCTTGGACGATTTCAACGCTCTTCTTTGGACCAGTAGAGCTGGCATCACCGCCCATGGCGGGTGCCTTTGTCTGTTCAGGCTGTTCCGTCGCCGACATGGTGATGGTGCTCGTCTTGGTCGTGGATCTTTTTCAATGATTGTCACGCCGAATTTAGAACAATATAGTAGAGGACATCGTGGGTGGAACAACCCCAGATTTGCGGTCTTGATTTTGCATATATATCTATCCGTCGAGGTGCAGTAAAGTGACTAGGGACCTGGTCATCATGCCATGTCCGCTATCATGGATGGCAGCTGAACTGGAGTGCGCATTGCAGCATCACAAAGTCCGTGGAGAATGCACAGGGCTTGGGGGTTCTAGGTAACTGGGCTCTGGCCGACACAGCGGACTTGGTTGAAAAAAGTCCGCTGGCGTTTTTAGCGCGTGCGCTCCACTGGCGTGTCCCTGTGGGCGCTATCAGTTCGACGGTTTGTCACTCGATTGGGTTTAAGTTGTTGTTATCTCTGAATACACTTGCCACCTCTAGATTAATTGACTCCCTGATGAGTGGCTTCAGTAGTGATCAACTAGATACCAAAAAAAAAAAAAAAAAAAAAAAAAGGTAAACATCAAATTGAGTTATTGCCAATTCTTTACAGACCTGCAATACATATCCGAAGAGCCTCGTTTCCAAGCCAATAACTATGTACTCATTTTGAAATAAATGCTGGCAGGATAGGACACCATGGTTGACTGTGGATATGTTGTTACCCATGTTTATCTAGCAGATGCATCATGTATGCAGGGTCTCTTACTTCCCCACAAAGAGTCCATGTATCGTCACATTTTGGCATGCAATGGGATGCGATGCGATGCATAAGAACCAATGAGATCACGAACCTGTAATCCTGTCTTGCTCTATGAAAACACCAATTTTTTCATTCAAGTTGATGTAGTATTATTCCATTCTGACAATGCAACTCACGCCCTTCGGCTTATTTTCCATTTTAAATTTCATTAATTCTAGGCTCTGACTATGAAATCAATCACGACTTCACCGTGCAGGATCGCATCGTCTTCCTGGTGGATTAATTTCAGTGCACTCTCAACCTGCTCTCTGTTCAGCACGGCACCCTTCTCCAAATTCCTCACGCCCTGCTCATTCAAAAAGCCGTCAAACTCAGGATGGCCTTGAAAAGTCAGAACTTTGCCTGGCTTGTATACGCCCTGCACATTACACAACGAGCTCGCCCCTACGCGCACCCATCCATCGCCGAGTTGGGCCTCGTCCAAAACCGCATGATCAGCATGCAAGAATTGGCATGAAATTTTGGAAACGCCTTCCAGAACCGGGAAATGTGCCTTGAATTTTGGGTTGAGGGCTACCTCGTGGACGCCAATCTCCCATCCGTTTGGACTCTTTTCGACAAAAGCGCCATTCTCTCTGAGCAAAGTGTGGACCATGAGCTGGTGTCCAAAGCAGCCGCCAAAGAGCCGAACTCGTTGGTTATGTGTATAGACATCTAGTCAGCGGGTTAGAACTCTTCCTAGTATTTTTGTTCGTGGTTTTTTTTCTTACCTTTCAAATATTCTGCAAGTCGCAAGATCCAAGGGTCTTGATCATAGGCAGATGCTGTTGATCCGGATACGATGATGGCGTCAATGTCGTCTAATGTAGGTGGGTATTGTCCTTGCACGACGTTGTACGCCGTGGTCTCGATCCGTACTTGTTCTGCGAGGGGACGACGACTATTGTAACTGAGAGCGGCCCTTTGCAGCCAAGCAGCAAATACATCGACGAATTGTCCTCTTGTCTGCGCAATGTTGGCTGCGAGTTCGAGACATTCGAAAACGGCAACTCGTACGAGTCGGGGCTTGGTATCGACAGTCATGATTGCCTCTAGTTAGATCAACTTCCTCTTCTTGGTCAGTAGTAACAGTTCATCTGAGAGTATCTCGCGCTTGGTGCTCTTTGTTTATATGGACTCGCCATAGAGCGACGCTACTGCTTCCCATTGTTGGTCCAAAAGCAGCAATGATACAACGCCACTGCAATTGGCTGAAGGCCAAGGTTCTTTGCCTGTTCTGGAAATGTCCGATGTCCGCCGCCCGCTGTATAGTTGCGGGCCAGGATCCAATGATCCCGATATCGCGTTAATTTCGGCCAAGTGTGACGATTGGTATTCTTGGTCATGGCTTAAAGAGTTAACAGACCATGAATCTTATTATCAATTGGAACGCTTTGTCCGAATCTGATAGACCATGTATCTATCAAGGCAACCCGGTGAAGTGGAAATCAGATCCCATTCGTGCCTGGGCTTTGGTAGGCCCTAAAGTCAGAAGAAAGCCTCAGGGTGCTAAGGGTAGGCTTAGCGAGTCATTTACGGCCTAGAGTGCACCCAAGTCACTGGGAATGCCTCGACTCGAACCCCAGGCCAACGGCGTGGGTGTGGGGAACGGGGTTTGCCTCAGCCCAGTATCTCGCCAGTCAACACGATTAACAGGCCAGACCCCCATAATTCCCGGGGCCGCGGGACGCCCGTTGATGTGGGCACTGATGAATCCAGAACTCAGTCATTTGATTTCCACTTTCCTTTACACCAGACAGACATACAAACAAACAAGCACGTAAACTCGTGATGGCAACACCAAACGTACAGGACCCTGGCCATTTATTCGTAAATCCATGGACGCCCGCTCCGAGGCAGATTGCCTGTCGCAGGTGCAGGGTGAGAAAGAAGAAGGCAAGTCGGCCAAGCTCACACTTCATTCCCAGCATCTCTGACATCGCAGGACATAGTGTGATAAGAAACGTCCCGTGTGCAGCGAGTGCGCAAAATCTGGAGCAGGTACGCAGGCCGCCCTTCTCGATCCCGGTAGAGGACGCTGTACTGAAGTGTAGTGTGCATGCAGACTGTCAAGCCCTGAAACCTAAAAAGTCCAATACCGGGCGTGATCCGAGAACCAGGCATGTCTCCCCTCCCTCTTTGACTTTGGATCCGGGCAGTATGCTCATACACGCAGTAGTTATGTACATGCCCTCGAGGAACATGTCGCTCTGCTCGAGGCGCGTTTGCGACAGTCGCATCCCAGCATTGCGCTCGATCATCTGAGCCCGGTCCTTAGGCGGGCCAGCCTGCTATCGGGACTGCCCATGGACGAAGACACCGACGGCCCAGCAGCACATGATACTGCAGATTTCGCCGGGGAAGATACCGATGTCCTTGATTTTGGGGATTCAGACCAGTCTGATTCGATGCAGGAATCCATGGAAGGGGCTTTGATGTCGACCAACTTTGGTCTAGTTGACCTGGAAGTTGATACGATGGATGGGCTTGTCGACCCGGCTCTAGAGTCTACACCAACCCAAAACATGTTTATCCAGGGAAATGATGACGAGACGGACATTCCCGAGGCGCTCATCGAACGTCCGGACATCATGTCCTCCATGCTATCAAATCGTCACTTATCCATCACTATTGGCAGCAGTTATGCGTCCGAATACTTTCGCAATGCACATCCCATGTGGCCTTTTCTGCACCAGAAGCAATGGGACGACTGCTGGCGACGCTGGGAAAGTCCCATTGGCTACAATACTGGGGCTGCTTGGATGGACTTTTTTGCAGACATGGTGAGTTTCTTTTCAGCCAACACGTGCAATCATTTCTTACTCTGTGGGTCAGGTTTTGTCTATAGGGGCACTACTTGCCCAGAACTCTGATCCGGCACCAGAACATCTAGAGTCGTTCAAGGTATATTTTCCCACCACGACGTGCGAGCTGCTGACCTGATATTGACATAAATCAGCATCTCAAAGATAGAGCGCTCCAGAAATATGAGTCGCACGAGAGGTCAGGCTGGTCAGCACTCTTGCGGACGCAATCGTCATTACTTCTCACCATCCAGGCCATGCATATGGACTCGGTCGGTACCATGTGCGATCGAGCTTCGGAAGCGATTAAGCAGTGCACCATCACAAAGCTGCAGAGACAGTCAAATCAGATGCCGTATAACACCCCCAACGATATCCAGGACGAGATCCAAAGGCAGGCAACTCGGTGTTGCTATACCATAGATGTCCTAATCAGCAGCTCGACCGACCAGATGGTGACGGCTGATAGGTTCTTGGACGAAGATGTGAGTTTCTGTCTGCTTGTCAATGATACAAGTACTGACCTCAGGCTTGCAGCTCCTGGACGATGACAGTACTCCTGGAGATGCGTCGTCGCCAGAAACCACTATGAGAAGGTTGAATCACGAGGACCACATGTTTCAACTCCGTCGCATTCAGTATCGCATATTAAAGCTTGTGCAAAAGCTCGAAAAACAGGCCCACAGAGACCATCACCCAGTGCCCAACTTGTGGCGATCGCAAATCCGACACCGCTTAGATCGATGGGTCGACGATATTGTAATGTTTTCAGGCTCGGAAAGAACCCTGGATCGATTCAAATCTCAAACATGGCTATTGAAGTTGGCCAATTACGCAACGATATCTCTGTTTCCCAATCCACACCTGGCAGTTCGAAGTGGCGATGCGCGGCATCTCGTGACGGCAGCTTGTCAGGTTCTTGTAACTTTTCGACGTTTCCGCGTCAGAGAGCATCTTTCATGCTATACTTGGACAGCAGTGAGTGCATCTTTCCCATGTGGGAATTAAGATTTACTGACTCGAGCATCAGTTGATTCACCAATTTCAAGCCGGTGTCATTATGCTGTACTGCCTCTGGGCAACGCCGACTCACCAGCAGCTCTCCTTGTACGATCGTCGCTCCGTATGCCGAGCCCTCTTTGCCTGTTCTGCCACATTGGTAGACTACGCCAACAAATGGACATCGGCACATGTCTTTCAAAACGTCTTTGACCTCTTGACCGAGGAAATCCCCATTAGCGAGTACGGCGATCCCATGCAACAATGGACATTTTCGCCAGACAGCTGTACGGAACTTCTCAGGCTGAGCCGGGAGCTCGAGAGACTCCAGGTGCAGAGGAAAGTGGTATCTTTATTGCGAGATATGGCCAGGGGCTCTCGGCCGTGCTACAGTGCGCCATCGATTGAGGAGACGCAGTGGATACAATACATACACCCTGATCGGGATACTGATGATTTGATCCAGTCATCCTTCATATAGTATGTATCTACAGTACTTGGGCGTATAGAACCAGGGCTTTTCCGTGTATCATGACCCTTTAGGAACTATCCCACCCTTTACTACCTCATTATGCAACCCGCCAAATCCCATACCGTTCTCTCAAACTCATGACGAGCTTTTCGGTGTCTGAAGTTGACCCTACTCCTTGATTAGATCCATGGCTACGCGAGCACAAGAACAGGATAGAAAGCTTACAGAATAGACTTGGTAAAAGTCAATGGCGATGCCATTGTCGGATCGCTTAAAGTGCAGCCGGGCAGACCACGGCATCTCCCCAGTGGTTCCGTCCTCGTAGTCGTATTCGCTCTTGCCGTAGAGCATAATCTCATCCGTCTTGCCGGCGCTGAATGGAAACACCTTGTACACAATGTGGAGGCGCTCTGCCTGGCCCTTCCATGACTCTAGATTTACGTTCAAAATGTCTGCTTGTAGTCTTAGCTCCAATCCTGCAAGAGAGAAAGAGAAACAGAAACAACTCACTCTGACGTCCAACCACGTCGTCCATTTTCCGCTTCATTCTGGCATCGTCTGAAAAGCAGGCAGCCCAGCTATCCGCGTGCACCTTGTCGTCGGAGAGTGTGTAGAACTTTTGAAGGAAATCGGCCAGCTCTTTATCGAGAGTGTCCGCATCATAGGCGAAAGTGTGAGCGGCAAGCTCAGCAGCAGTAGGCTCGTAAGACATTTTTTTTTTGTTTGTTTTCCTTTGGCTTCTTGAATGATGCAATTGGTGGTGAATAGTTGGCCTGGAAGGTAATGTCTGGAGAGTGTGTTCTAATACGTTGAGAGGCAAAATATGAATATTTCAATATTTAAAAAAAGGATTCTGGGAATAACGAATATATCTCTGCTTAATCATATTGGTGTTATCGTGATCTTGAAAGGCGGCCAAAAGATAGCGCATTACAGCAGTCGGACTCCCGGACTTGGAGTCCGACTCACTCTGGGGCCACGGTCGGGGGGGTCCCATCCACCCAACTAACCTTGGGAGTCCGAGTCGTGTTCAGCGGACCCGCCTGAGTCAAAGGCCGACACCGTCCTCCGCCACACTTTTCTTACTTGGGTGTGACTGTCAATAGGATAGTGATAATGCATACTGAGAGAACTGGTCCCCTTTCATCGGATTGGCTCGTGCAAGGATCGTGATAGCTCTCTGCATGAGCCCTGGCATACTCGTTGGGTGGTGAAGAGATCCATCAAATACGGTGACTACCCACCTTCCCCCGACGATGCTATCCGCCTTATACTGCAGCCCTCCTTGTCGGTAATGGCAAATTGATGCATGGAAAGTACTAGTAAGTGTTACCATGTCTTTGCAGTGGAAAACCAAGATATTCTCTGCCCTACGGCAACAAAAGTCCTCCGTAGACGAAAAGCAACCAGTCTCACGATGGACAAATCGCGATTTGGAGCCAACGCCGCCCGAGGAACGAACGTGGACATGGTGAGCATCACTTTTGAATACAGTTCATCTTTTCGAAAACTTACAATGTCTATAGGTATAATTTGCCTCTATACTGGCTTTCCACAGCCTTTGGCACCGCAGGGTGGAATGTCGCGTCGTCCTTAATTGCTGCCGGGCTAGTGAGTCTCCTTTCTTCTTTCATTAATTTTCAAAGTCGTGGCTATAGAAAGCCTCACTATGACTTGCAGATTACTGACATAAAAAAAAAAAAAAGACATGGCAGCAAGCTCTCGTATCCTGCATCATCGGATCCGCCATCAGCGGCCTCGTAGTCACCGCAATGGCGAGGCCGGGCGCCCGATACCACATAGGCTACCCAGTGCTCGCCCGATCGTCCATGGGCATGTACGGCTCCTTCTTCTTCGTCTTTATCCGCGCCGTCATTGGTACCATTGCCTACGGCATCCAGACGTTTTACGGCGCCAACCTCTTGTCCACCTGCCTGCGGTGCATTTTCGGTTCGTCCTGGGAGGGCATGGGGAATACGCTGCCCGCGTCCGCGCACGTCACGTCCAAGACGCTATTGTGCTTTTTTCTCGTCTGGTTGATCCAGTTCCCTCTGGTAAGACATATTTCTTCATTTCTACAAGCTTCGCGATTGGCAGGGTGCTAACAGTGACTCGAAAGTGTTTTATACACCCATCTAGAATCCAAATTCTCTTCACACTCAAAGGCCTGCTTGTGCCCATTGCCACGTTTGGAATCTTTGGCTGGTGCATGGCCAACGGAGCCGGCCTATCGACCATTGACGACCAGTCAAAGTCCTCGACCGGACCCGTGGGATGGGCCATCATGAGCGGCATTAACACGGTGCTCGGGACGCTGTCTCCCATGCTGGTCAATCAGCCCGATCTGGCGCGGTACTGCAAGACGCCTCGAGACGCGGGCGCGCTGCAGGGTGTCTCGGTGTTTGTCGCAAAGGTCCTGGTCATGTTCCTTGGACTTGCGGCCACGAGCTCGATTCAAGGTGCCTGGGGAGAGACGTATTGGAATTTCTGGGTATGAAACGCTCCTGAATCTGAAGAAAGCGCACTATACTTACAATCTATGGTATTACAGGACCTCAACGAAGCCATTCTCGATCGATATTGGACTGCCGCGGGCCGGGCCGGTGTGTTTCTGGTGTCCTTTACCTACCTTCTCAGTGTGTTTGGCATGAACATTGGCGCCAATTCCCTTCCTTTCGGAGCCGACATGAATGGTCTATTGCCAAGAATTCTCACTATCCGGAGGGGTCAGATCCTCTGCGCTGTCCTGAGCGTATGTTTTGTTCCTTGGGAACTGATCGCCACGGCCCAAAAGTTCATCACATTCCTCGGTAGCTACAACATTTTCATGGCTCCAATCTGTGGTGTAAGTGACACAAAACTATTAGTCTCTACCTACTCTATTCGCTAACCATTTGAGTTTAGATCATGATTGTAGACTACTTCATCGTACGTCGTGGAAACATTCATATCCCTTCACTATATAATGGTCGTCCACGTGGACTCTACTGGTTCACCTCTGGAGTCCATATTCCTGGAGTCATTGCATGGTGCGTCGGTGTCAGCTTTGGTATACCTGGTCTTGTTGGCTCGTACGAGCCACTGGCAGTCAACCAATCGGCGAAAAACATGTACAAGATTGGTTGGGTTTTGTACATGTCAGCGGCAGCACTGACATATTATGTCATGGTCACCTTCTTGGAGCGTCCAGCTGTGTACCCCGAAAGACACAGTGATAAACCTAGAGATTGGGAATTACTGGCAAAAGCCGAGCCCGAAGGCTATTTTGAGGATGAAATTACAGGTGATGCAACAATCGAGGGCGTGCAGATAATTGCAAACCCAGAGACAAAGATGAATCTGGGGGCCAAAGTAGGAAGTATGTAGTGGTATTTGTCCTCCCATCAACAGTTGATTGAGGGACACAAGATTTTAGAAGAAAAACGTCACAGCAATTCGAATGTTTCTCGTATCGCGATATCACACCATGCTTCACTCCCATTGAATGACTTGATCGTTTAAAGGCTATATTTGTAAACGTATACACGCCATTCACGAGACGATCCGCAAGAATTAAGCGTACTAAAAGACAATTGAGTTGAGGATAAATGCAATTTTACATCGATAATCCTTACCGGAATATGTTATGACAATTGGTTACATGATGTAGCCGTGCGCAGAGAACCTCAATAACGTTACATGATGCCGGAATAGCTGTGAAATGGTTACACGGCCAAGATATGAATACAGACAAACACAGATAAATGCGTGATGCATCTTCTGCCAGGTTCCAAGAAAGTTGTCCCGTAAGTATTCATGATTCTGAAGTCTTCAACGCTCTGCCCGTCAAACGTGCAACATCGAGCCAACTCCCGCCATGATGCAAAACAAACGTCCTCACTCTGATCTGCTTGCTCGTAATCTCTTGAGAGATACAGACTTCGAACGGCCATTCCACGTGCAGTACTTTTTGGTGTGTTCGGCCGTAGAAAGATCAAGAACTGATTTTGTCCGTCTTACGGCAAGTTCTGTATCGCTCTTGGCCGAGTCATTCTCATCCAGCATGTGGGTTGGAACGCAGTCTTCGTACGAACCATGGGTAAGCGGAGTGCCATATTGCTGCGAAGCTCCTGATCTGGCTTGAGACAGCTCCCTCTTCTCGACCGGCGTATTCGGAGGCTGTAGTGCGACTGTGTTCGGGAAATCGCCGGTGTCTGGCGATCCGCTCCTGTCGTAGTTCTGTAGGCTTTGTACTTCTTGAGCAAATCGAAGGCTTAAGGGTGTCCTTGAGGAGGCTCCACTGAGTCCTCTTGATCGTGTTCCACTTGTCATAGATGGACGCTTGAGGTGGTCAATCGTCTTCTCGAGAGCTTCCAACTCCTTGTAACCCCCATTTTGTGGCAAAAGCTCAAGCTCGGGATACTCAAGACTTCCAGATGAACAAGGTCTTTTTCTTGCGTGAGTGGAAAGATTGATGCGGTTAGTATTGGGGCCATCGCGTTCAGGACGTAACTTGGCAAGGCTTTCTCGTAGCGTCCGTCCGAATTTATTCGAGAAAGATCGCCGTTCCGGTGTCGCATGACCTTCGTCCAAATCATCGACTTTGATCTCCTTGTCTGTAGACCACTTTGTCAGACCGGCAACACTGGCTTCAGCCACAGCAAAGTCCTTGGGCGTTACCAAATCATCAACGCCAGTAGCTCCGTTTCGCTCTTCTCTATCATGAGAAGGCCATTTTGCCCAAGATTCTGGTACACCCTGACGTCTTTGTGTGGCATAAATATGAGTTCTAAAACTAGGTGTTTGTTCTGCGTCGGAGCGCTCAGTTTGGACCTGGTGCTGCCATTCCTTGAGAATACGGCTTGATGATTCCAGAGAGGTGCTGGTGATTTGCATTTCGTCCTGGCCAGTCAAGGGTCTGGACGGCGTTGATGGGATACCCGATCCGTCTTCATTGTGACTTCGACTATAAACAGAACTTGCCTCTCGGGTGTGGGGTCCAGTGGGTACCACGTCATTGGTAGACATACCGCGAGAGTCCTGAATTACGACCTGGGGCGTCTGTTCTTCATACTGACTTTCAGGTTGGTTTCGAGCGCATCCTTCACGTCGCTCTGCCTCAAGTCTGACTGCACGCTGCCACAGATCTGTAGCGGTCTCTTCCAATTTCAAATTGCCGCCTTCATTGGAAAATTGCTGACCCCTTCTTTCTTGCGTCGCGTATTGAGAACTGTTTGGAGTTGCATGATTCCTAGGGCCGTCATTTACGGTTCTCGAATTATCTCTTTCGGACTGGTGTTTGCGTAGTGTATTTCGAGGCTTTGCTTTGCTTGGAAACAATCGCGCAAATAGCGAGGTCTTTTTGATGGACCGTGCTTGACTGTTCTCAACGAGTGGTCGAAGTCTGCTGTCAATGGATTCTCTAACTTGAAGCTGTTCACAAAAGTCTGTAGAATCTGTCTTCATCTCCGCTTGTTCATTAATCACACTCGCAGAGACTGGGTCCAAGCCTGCAGGCGTGGGGTGAAGTCGGTCCCGCTCAGATTCTACCGTGCGCTGCGTTGATGTCTGGGCTGGTTCCGTCTCGCAAAACTCTGCTCCGGAGTCGTTCGAATCAAGTCTTGTTGTGTCGCTCAGAAGCTCTATGCAATCAGAGATCAGTGCGATTCCATGAATAATATCACAAATTTTGGAAACTCACTGCCACTAGCTTTATCACACTCAATCTCGTTCAAGTACCCAGCGCTGCGTTTTGTGTCATTTCTCTGCGCTGATGGCGTGCATTCAGCATCGGCCAACCCAGGAGCAGGATCTGCAGGTGAGTTGACCACCGCGAGGCCCTGTCTGTCGTCTCTTGATAACGTAGTGTGCTGGACTAATTGTTCAGCCGGCTCCCAATGTTGCGTTGATGGAGCATTAAGTTTTTCATTTGTCGGAAAGCAGCTGGATATCTTCAACAGATTCTGATTCATGCCGGATTGCGATGAGGAAGACGATGGTCTTCCTCGGGCGTTCTTTGTATTAGGATCCAAGTCGCTCAATAAGGGGCGTTCTGGGCGGCCTTCGAGCACACTATCACTATTGCGACGCGTTGATGAGTGCGAAATGGACTGGAGTGTATTGGAAACGCGTAACCAGAGATCCAGTGGTGAAAAATGCTCAGAGTGAGTTGTGTCGTGGAAAATGGCAGTGGATTGCTCAAAATTTGTTTCATCGGCATGAGAGCCGGCTGCGAACGACTTGTTCTCATGATCCATACGGCGATTTGTTGAGGACCTTGATGGAGCATCTGGAGCATGGGGCAAGCGTTCATCATGGGGTCGCTCTGTATCATCGTTCGCATCATTTCGAGGGATCGTCGGTTGTTGCCCAGAGGCATGCTTGACCATTTCTTCGCTCTCAGGGTCAGCGTCTGGGAGCGCGCCAATGTATTCCGCCAGATGCCCAGCGCTATAAGACAGACGCCAAGAGGCTACGGAGCTTGTGGTGGAAGTATCAGATAGAGTGGGAGGCTCCATCTGAGGTGAGAGCAGCATCTTTGGAACTGAGCGGTGCTCTCGCAGAGCTTGTCGAGCATGCGGAGCTGAAGGCTCACATGGGCTGGTGGCACTTGTTGGGCAGCTACCGTGGCGACAGAGAGAAGTTCCGGTACTAACGACTATCGGTAGAGCCACTGCAATCATCTCTCGAGCAGGAGAATCAGAGCTGTTGGAAGTTGCCGTGTCAATATCGCACACGGAGAACTCGATAGTATCCCTAGGCCCACCTCCAGTGATATCAGGTCGTTCAGAAGGTGAGGGAGATGTACGTCTAGACGGAACATGATCATGACCGCTGTTGACCAAGTCGGTCTCTGTGCTGAGCTCACCCTGGATTCTCTTTTGCCTCAGTCGCCTCAACTCTGCACGACGTGCGAGTTCTTCCTCGCTGCTACCGATGCTCTGTTGCGACTGCCTTTTGGATTGTGACTTTTGGGACAAGCGACGGATGAGTTTGGTCTTTAGCGCTCCTAGAGCAGTGGTTGGCGGTGTCCTCAGATCAGAAGGCTCGTCTTCACTGTCAGAGTCGTCGACCTCAATGACTGTTGGATCGAGAACAGCTTGCTGTCTGGGCGTTGCGACGAGCGAGGGGGCAGGAGTGTCAATCATGACAGCTGGGCCATCATGGTTTTGTCCCTTACGCTGGGCTCTGGGAAGCCTGGCTTGGGCAGGACGGGCAGGTAGTTGAGCTATTGGTGTTGACCTATCTCCACTTGGGTAAGCACCGCGGCTTGAACAGCAGCACAAGGCCGGCATCTTGCAAAACCGAGAGATGGGAGCCGAGACTTGTGGCTGTCTAGGGGCCACAATCTATTTTGATAACGTTGCCACAGATGGACCCCGATCGAAGAGATCAATGATGCATCGACACAGCGGACAGTGATGGGCTTGATGGTTGATTTGATGCCTGCCCGGGCTCATGTTTTGCTGTGAGCTACAACGAGCGATTGGTCACCCATGAGGTAACCTGATGTACCTACATTGTCAAATGACCTTCCAGGCGCGCAAGTTCGACCCTGAAGGAGGAAGCTACGAACATTGAAGCGCACCCGCGCGGTGATGAGCTGCGGCTTCCTTCCATATAGACCTGCATTGATAAAGGAAAGTGCTTTGACCTGATGTCAACGGAAGAAAGCAACATTTTGAATGCTGCACAATATTCATGTTTATGACCAAGCGACATGTATAATTGACAAATTCCACAACGGCATGACCCAAGAAACGTTTAGGCTGCTTGATCTCGTACAAATATGGTGTATGTTATTTTTATAGCACTCAGCGTGGAAAAAAGAGCAGTCCGCTTGTGCCACTTGGAAATTCGACGATACCTTCCGATGTCTTTCTCTTCTCATGGTGTTCAAGGTGGTGGTTCTGAATTTGAAAGAAAGCTTCAATGTATAGGTTGAAGCTACGAATGTCGTCTGCCTCTTATGTAATACCCACTGGCAATAGCAAGCGACAGATGTGCTGTGAGTTCCTAACCAGTCGTGAAAGCTCCGAGTGGATTTGCTTGGCTTTGCCGCCGTTAGTCTCCGAGATGGGCCGATAATACCTGCCACTTATGCAGGATCGCCTCAATTACTCGACCCCGTTTAAGGATTGTGTACTAGGTAATATAGGATGATGCAATCTTCAAATTGCAGACAGGCAGCGGATGCCCCAATCCACTTTGCAAGGCGGTGCCACTGGTGCATAAGATCAAAGGTTGGCTGTCGTGTCATGACTGTATTCCAAGACACATGGAGGATTTTGCTATCTCAAAGAAAAGAAAAAATCCCGACGAGAGCCGTATGCCTGGATTGGTGCATTCCAAATTGACGCTTACTTGGCTAGCCTCGCCTAGATACATAGCAATTCTTTTTTTTTTTTTTCTATTAGCTCGACTGCACGATGGCTAATCAAGATGTAGGGATTGGCGCTCAACGCGAGTGGTGATTCGTGATTCGTGAACTCAATGCTTACACACTGACGCCGCTTTGCATCAACTTCCATGTCTTGCCGGCTGTTGATACAATGTGTAGCATGTAGGGACATTATAAAACATACCCCCCGAAGATACTGCAATGTATCATGTAGGGGCTGGTAGGAATCTAGGTAAATAAGGTTTATGAATGAACTATGTAGGTCTTCGGAGCGGGGAAGCAGCGAAAGATTTCAGAGCAGTCCCATCACCAACTTTAGATGCACTGGACTCATCATCAGTCATGTCAGCTCTTCTCCTCGGATGGTTTGCTCTGCTTTGCCAGACCAGGGGGGGATGTGTGATTTTCTCTTTGCAGGATTGGCAGTACCTTAGGCGATCTCGGGGAGGATATGGGTCTGATTTTCTCATAGGCCGAATGGCGCCATCGCTACTTCACAGCACCGCGATTTGTTGTACACTGGTACCTATTCCGACAGCCGCCCAGCAAGTGTGCATGTTTGGGCACGGTTCACATAGAGATCTAGACCCCCAGGCCTACCAAGCTACCCCCCGCTGTCGGACCCTGAACTTTTCGCTCTATCGCCATACTGATGCTTTCTGCTGAGACAACCCCGCCATCTGTACAGACACGGCGAGGTTGCTTGGTGCTACCTCAGTCTTACCTAGCTTCAGGACCCCTCACCGCCCAACCCGCCCTCCGCCGATCACTCCTCTGTCCTCCCGCCTTCGACAGCCCATAAAAATTTGACTTCCCTCGAGCTGCTTGTTGAATCTGTCCTTCTCTTCTCTTCATCACATTCTCCTTTCTCTAAACCCCATCACTAGAGACTGGAACAAAAAACCTGTCTTTTTTGTACGTTTTCCCCTCCCCAACGGTCTCGATTTCCCCCGCTCTCTCTATCTTGTTACTACTGCGTGGAAACTAGTTGCTGACGAAATCCTCCAGTATACCCCGCATATCACAGATCTCGAGAATTACGGGCAAGATGGTTCAGTCCGCAGTCTTGGGTTTCCCCCGCATGGGTGTGAACCGTGACCTGAAGAAGGCAACTGAGGCTTGTGAGTGAACCCAATTGTCATGTTTGCGTGCAATTGCATACAATTGCAGCATAGCTGCCAGGCAATGCTTGTGCACCTACCCCGGAAGCTTGTGCTGACATAATTTCTCCTTTCAGACTGGGCTGGCAACCTCTCGCAGGCTGACCTCCTCGCCGAGGCCAAGCGTCTGCGATTGGCTCACTGGAAGATCCAGAAGGATGCTGGTGTCGACATCATCCCCAGCAACGACTTTGCCCTGTACGATCAGGTTCTCTCTCACATCCAGGACTTCGGTGTAAGTTGATTAGACTGCCCCCCCTTCGCTATGAGCTACTTGAAATCTGACTCTCTACTCTCCAGGCCGTTCCTGAGCGATACAGCAGCGCCGGTCTCGACCGTGTCGATGAATACTTTGCCATGGGCCGTGGCCACCAGAAGGGTGGTGTTGATGTTCCTTCCTTGGAGATGGTCAAGTGGTTTGACTCCAACTACCACTACGTCAAGCCCACTCTCCAGGACAACCAGACCTTCAAGCTCACTGCCACTCCCAAGGCTGTTGCTGAGTTCACAGAGGCCAAGGAGGCCGGTGTCGCCACCAGACCCGTCCTTGTTGGTCCCGTCTCCTTCCTCCACCTGGGTAAGGCAGACCGTGGTCAAAAGGTTGACCCCATTGACCTGCTCGACAAGCTTGTGCCTGTCTACGAGGAGCTCCTCAGCAAGCTGAAGGAGGCTGGTGCCGAGACTGTCCAGATTGACGAGCCCGTCCTTGTCCTGGACCTGCCCAGCAAGACCAAGGCTGCTTTCAAGCCTACCTACGAGAAGCTCGCTAGCCTTGGTGACAAGATCCCCAAGCTGGTCTTCACCACCTACTTTGGTGACATTGTCCACAACATCGACCTTGTCCCCAAGGACATCTACGCTGTCCACGTCGACCTGGTCCGCAACCCTGAGCAGCTCGAGACTGTTGCCAGCAGCCTTGGCTCCAAGACTATCCTGTCTGCCGGTGTCGTCGACGGACGTAACATCTGGAAGACCAACCTGAAGCGCGCCATTGAGACCGTCGAGTCCGCCGTGCAGAAGCTCGGCAAGGACCGCGTCATTGCCGCTACCTCCAGCTCCCTCCTCCACACTCCTCACACTCTGGCCAGCGAGAAGAAGCTGGACGCTGAGATCGCTGACTGGTTCGCTTTCGCCTCTGAGAAGGCTGTTGAGATTGCCATCATCGCCAAGGCCGTCACTGAGGGCCCTGCTGCCGTCCGCGAGGCCCTTGAGGCCAACGCCAAGTCTGTCCAGGCTCGCGCCACCTCTGAGCGTACCAACGATGCCGCCGTCAAGGAGCGTCAGTCCAAGATTCAAGCCTCGGACTACAACCGCAAGTCTGAGTTCCCCTCCAGAATTGCCCAGCAGCAGAAGAAGCTGAACCTTCCCCTGTTCCCCACCACCACCATTGGATCTTTCCCCCAGACCAAGGAGATCCGTATCCAGCGTGCCAAGTTCACCAAGAAGGAGATAACCGAGGCTCAGTACGACAAGTTCATTGAGCAGGAGATTGACATGAACGTCAAGATCCAGGATGAGCTCGACCTGGACGTCTACGTCCACGGTGAGCCCGAGCGTAACGACATGGTGCAGTACTTCGGTGAGCGCCTCAAGGGTTACGCCTTCACCACCCACGCCTGGGTTCAGAGCTACGGTTCCCGATGTGTTCGTCCCCCGATCATCGTCGGTGACATCTCTCGCCCTGCCCCCATGACCGTCAAGGAGTCCAAGTACGCCGCCTCCGTCTCCAAGAAGCCCATGAAGGGTATGTTGACTGGCCCCGTCACTTGCTTGAGATGGTCTTTCCCCCGTGATGATGTCCACCAGTCCGTCCAGGCTGAGCAGCTTGCTCTTGCCCTCCGTGACGAGGTCGTTGACCTTGAGAAGGCTGGCATTGACGTCATCCAGGTCGACGAGCCTGCCCTGCGTGAGGGTCTTCCCCTCCGCTCTGGCAAGGAGCGTGAGGCCTACCTCGACTGGGCCGTCAAGGCTTTCCGTCTGTCGACCGTTGGCGTTGAGGACTCGACTCAGATCCACTCTCACTTCTGTTACTCCGAGTTCCAGGACTTCTTCCACGCCATTGCCGCTCTCGACGCTGATGTTCTCTCCATTGAGAACAGCAAGTCGGACGCCAAGCTCCTTGGTGTCTTCGTCGAGGAGGCTTACCCCCGTCACATTGGCCCTGGTGTCTACGATATCCACTCGCCCCGTGTCCCCAGCGAGCAGGAGATCAAGGACCGTATTGAGGAGATGCTTCAGTACCTCAAGCCTGAGCAGCTTTGGATCGACCCTGACTGTGGTCTCAAGACCCGTCAGTGGAAGGAGACCAAGGAGGCTCTGGTCAACATGGTCAACGCCGCCAAGTACTTCCGTGCCAAGTACGCCAAATAAATCATGTGCTTCACAGCACGGTAATGGTGATTTCCACTGTCATATAGACATAGACATGGAATCGCCAGCATAAGAGAGGAGTTGTACAGGTGATTTTGTCATTTCCGTGGAACTGCATACATACCCGAAGGAAGGGTACTATTTGATTCGATTTCAACATCGGCGTTCAACAGGCTTGTTTCAAATTGATGAAAAGTTCTACAGGAAAGGCAGGATCGGAGCATTCAACAATGAGAGCATGAAAAGGGATGGGAAGATATCAAGTGGTCCATTGTTCAACCGGGCCCTGGAGTGTTATGGCGTTTACTGATTTCTACAAAACTGTGACAGAAGCGACCATATTAAAGTCGATGTAGATATAAAATAATAGAAAGAAAGCCCGTTTCAACTGGGCAAGACAAAAATCTTTGCTTGTGTCTTTTGCGCTGTGAACTTGGCTACCTATCTGCAACTGCACGGAGAGAGGAAGTCCACCTCAATGATGAAAATGATGATGAATCTAGTATAATTACATTGCAGACTAATGACTCTAGGAAGACGACTATTCATCTTGGACGACCGAAAAACAATTTCCGACTCCGGGTTCCATTTTTGCTGTCAGTATGAGTGATTTGTATGAGCATGACGAGTAATGAAAGCTTATATCGCGTAATCATTCCATGGTAGAAGAATCATCAGAGGAAACCACATATTAAGCTCTAGTTTGTTTCCAGTTGATTGTGAGGCTGAATAAGAAATAAAGAAAAGCCGGGCCTTGGTGGTTAGCGATGTGACTCTTTCATAAACGGCAGTGGGGCCACACCGCATACTCGGACCTTGACGACGCACTGGACGGACGGACTGGCGGATAGGTCGCTTCTGCAATCTCCAGTCATCTCATCTTATTTGATTGAGCGGATACATGGCTATTAACCAAACATCTCGCGATCAAAAGCCTAGCCTAGCACAACATGGTCCACGTTGAAGAAGAAGGAAAAATAGTCGCAACCTAGGAGGAGTCTGCCAAGACAAAACACTGGTCCACCCCGGACAAAAATCCAAGAATCCGCAGTGATTCCTTGGGCGTCCTAGGGGGCCCTCAAGGAACGCAACGTAAGCGAATACGTGCGCTGCCTCTGGTGATGGCGTGGGCACTCATCTTAATAAGAATAGACACACGGTTCAAGGGAACGCCATGGAAGGATTCCAACGGCCAGGATTCATCCTTCGATAACCAGCTCGAAGGGCAGAAGAGCAGGAGGCCTGGCGATAGGAGCATGGATGATTTTGAGTATTTGTGCAATGTACAAACTGGACGATGCGACTTGCCTCTCGACGGCATCGTGTGCTGAATTGTGTGTTTTTCTCTTCACCAATTTCGCGCCTCTGTAGTTGATCGCGACCGTTTTTCATATGCGGTGCCTTTAACGGCAGCGCATTGCATACAAGCACACACAAAGTAAATACATAGCAGACACATACATGATGCGTACTTGCGATGCACGGCATGAATGAAGTGAATGAGAAGTAATCTCTTCATGTGCTGACTTGCATAAAAGTCGCCAAAAAGAAATGAAAGGGATATCGGAGAATTATGTTTTGGAAGAGGGGGGAAACGGACCCATTTGTCGCATTCAACTGGACTGGGCGGCTTCTGCTTTGTGTGCTGACCCGAGAAAAAAGGCCCAAGGCGCGAAGAAGAGAAAAGAAGAGAGGCGTTCTGGGCCCGGGTCAACCGCTGGATCGCTAGCATGGATTAATAGATGACGCGGCCAATCATGATAATGGACGAGATGGCTGGCGGGTTTGTGAAACGACTCAAAGGGCCTTTCCCCCCTTGCCTCGGATGGAAAGGGGGGGTGGGTTGCGGCGGCCTTCCTTTTTGACCGGGGGCCCTATCAGTTTTTTTTCTTTGTTGTTTTTTTTGTTCTCTTCCCAGTCCCAGTTGTTCTCCAGTCTGGTCTGGACGCCTTTTTGGCGGAACCCTTTGGCGGGACTTTACATCGGACCACGCTGACAGGCTTGGATACGGGCTTGTTTTCTGGGTTTACATACTCAGTAGTAGTCAATGCGCTGCTTGTAGGAGCGACTTTGAAAGGAGGCAGACATTGATTGCGAGAAATGGATGTGGATACATTCAATTACCATATAGAGCACACTACCACTTACTATGGGCGTTTGAGTCATGGCATCTACTATGTATGATCGCGTAAACGCCGGAGCACTGGGAACCGCAGTCTAAAGGAATTAAATAAGGTTTTCCTCTCTTTCGCTCTTGTCAACGATAAGCGCCCAGGGTTCTGTCTCAGAGAGCTCGAATAGGGAGCTCCATTCCGGCATGATCCCGAGTCTGCATAGCTGAGGACGAGATGAGATGGGATGATGATAAGATGGACGTCATTGCTTGGCAAGGTCCCCCGGACGCCCGAAGTTGAAATGTTGTGATGGATGACTGCCCACCCATTGCCTGGCATATCATGGCTTGTGGAAGCCCGGGGTATTCTGGAGTCTTCTTTTTCTTCCCTTTCGAGGGGGTTTGCTTCCCCCGAACGTGGCGATGCACAGAGCACGAAACCTTCCATACCATGTCTTGGCCCCTTACATACACCGCATATTTCTCGCATGTCTGACGGGAGCCCAGAATACGACGCCCCTGATACCATTGATCACAGACAGGAGACGTTGGTGAGGCAATTCGCTTGTGTTCAAACCAAGGAGGAATTGGGAACAATAAAGTCGAGAGCCAAGCTTTTTCTCTAGATTCCGCGGTGGTGTTGTCGATCAGGGCCAGAAGCTGAGCAGCCCACCCGCTGTTTTCATCAGATGCAATGAGAATCACGATCTGCTCCCGCAGCACACTCGGATCGGTTCAGTTGGCCGAAAAGCCCCAGTTTATTTACGTACAGGCTCAGCTCGCCCAGCGGCTTTTTGACTGGATTGCATGTGCAAGCTGCTCAGTGCTCAGAGCTCCTTCTCAGTGTTAATGCTTGTGCACTATGTTAATGCGACAACTTCGGAGGAAAAATACCTGTATGGTGAAGATCATCATCTCATCAATGCTACACCATTGTGTTATATGGCAACACTAGGTGACATGTTATTGAGGATCCTGTTACTAGGTAGATTGTGCGCCAGACTTTTTTCTTTCTGCTAGCAGTACTACCTGTGGGCAATACGGGCCATGGCAACTGGAGACCTTCTGTACGAAGTACTCCGCCCATCAATGCAAGTCTATTCCAGAGCACGGGCTTCTCGAGGATCTATCCGCCCACGCCGTCGCCAAATGGCGTTTTTATAGTCGCTATAGTCTAAATGATTCTCTGGATTTTGAAAGGAGAGAGGGAGCCAGAGCAAGTGTTTTTGGTGCTGCGGCCATGTATGAGGCTATCCTTTTAGCATATACCTAATGCTTAGCTGACAGGCACAAGCGAGACACTGGACGGCGCCTCTAGGCCACTAGGTACCGCTATCAATTCCTTCGCTATGGTGCTTAGGTGGGAACGGCTCAGTCTGCATCCGTTTCCAGTTTTCAGAGTTCAGAATCACGTTGCGCAGGGCGCCGTAGGTGGAAAAGAGAAAAAGACGTTTTCCTTTGAGGTAATATTGCAAAGTTTGGCAAACACGCGAGCAACGCATTCTAGAAACCCGCACGAAAAAGGCTTTGTTGGGTCGTGGCCATTTCTTATTTTTATCCAGCCCGTCACGGATGTACATTCCACCCGTCCGACATACATATTTCGAGAAAATCCAATCAATCAGTCAATAAAAATCAGCCTGAGCCGCGGATGCGCTGGATGTTGGACCACGTATCCAATCCCGTGCCTGCACACCGCTGCCGATTTTAGTTCAGCTTTTGCTCGGCATACATGCACCACGTATGTACCTGCAGAAATGTGCAACTGATGATGAGAGGAGCTGCTACCTAGCGACCAACTTACTGCCTTACTGGCCCCCCGTAGTCTTTTTCCTCTCTTCGTGTCAATTTCGCCAAAAATCGGTACCCCTAGCTTACTACAATTTATTACTCCTCACTTGAGAGTGCGGAAATATCTGAGCCATCATGTACTTTGTACGGCTATCAATTGATTGCTCTTCTCGCCCGTCATGCAGCAGCAGCAAAGGCCCTCCCATCACTCACACCCATGAAAACGAATGAACAAGCGCCATCATGACCGAAGGGGGTACTGGGCTACTTGTTGTTGGGGTGTCAAGCAATGACCGCATTCCGTCGTTACAAGGCAGCTCTGCTTTCCCCCCTCAAAAAGGTCTCCAAGTGCCGAAGAAGAGGAGGGGATCGGCAGACAGTTTATATCGTCGCCCGCGATCTGGTATTTGTCTGTTCGCCCACCTGAGACCTGGGGTGAATGAATGGTGGTCAACAACCACTGCTTGGTGCCGTCACATTGCAGCATCCCGTCGCATCATCGCAACGACTGGGCAATACTTTGTTTGTGCAGACGCCGCCTTGACAGATGTACCATGTGTGTATGTGCGCGCGCGCGCTTGATTGCTTGCTTGTGCTTGTGCGTGCCTAATGAGTTGTGCTGTCTGTCTATCTCTTTTGCCAATCCCCGTCACAACCCATCAGAGGATTCATCGTCTTCTGTTCCCTTCTACCCGCTACAACTACAGCAACCATACACACACACTAGAAAAGCGCCCTGCCGCAAGTGCAGCAGCCACTCAACGTGGTTCCCGGAGCCCAACCAGATCTTGTTTGGCTCCCCTTGAGGCGCCCATTGGCTGGCTTGGCTCCGTCTCACGATGGGACCTGCATATATATCGACAAGGGTGTCTAGTTTGAGTGGGTCCTTCAGGGGAAGCGGATGGGTGCCAACTCTTTTTTACCATAGTGTCTTCCGTAGTATCGTGCTACTACTACGGTAATAGGCTGGCCGCCCCCCCAGGCAGAGAGAGTGCAAGAAAAAAAAAACCTGCTCGGTCCAATATGGTCGGCGCTCCCTCCTCCTCCTCCAAAAACCCCCCCACCCCTGCTGCTTACAAGGCTCGTCTATTGACCTGGTACCTGGCCGGGGATGGGAGGGGGCGGCGCTGCCTCTTCGTCGTCTTTCCCACTGCCACGCACCATCACCGGAAACGAGCTGGCTAGGACCCAAGGGCCTACCGGTCCTGTAATGATGGGCGACAAGGGGTCCCCCCCTTCAGTGGGCCCATCTCGGTCCTTGGAAGATGAAGAGAGGTCAGGTTCACGGGTCGAGGCTGTGTTCTACGCTCTGGTCAACGCTGGCCAACCCCGGCGCTGCCCAGGTCGGGCCACCACAGAGGGAGGGGAGGAAAACTGCCAGTGCAGATTCGTAAAAAGGGCTCACACCCAGTCTGAATATACTCTCTTTTTTCTCTTTCTTTCCCTCCACACCTCTCAGTCTCTCTTTCGAGTCAATCTCAAGTCTCTCTTTCAGCCCGTTCTCGGTCGTTCCATCGTTTCTGCCCTGCGCCTACGCTGCAGCCTTTCAGTTCAATACACTTCTCAGCTTTCAAGCGGAATCGACTTTCGCTCTTTCATCGTTGCATTATTCGCACGCCCACATTCTTTCGGACGACCAAAACCGAGTAACAAAACCAAATCCAGAGATCAGACCCGATCAAAAAGAGTCAAAAATCATACCCGCCAATTTTTAGAAATTTGATATCAGATAAACCTCCATATCAACCAAAATGAAGTCCACCACTGTTGCCATTGGCCTTCTCGCCGGCCTCGCCTCGGCCTCCTACAACCACCCCCGCCACTTCCACGCTCCGGCTCCCTACTACCGCCGTGACAACACCACCGCTGAGGCCGCTGCCTCTCAGACCACCCTGACCGTCCAGGTCACCTCGGTCTACACCGTCACCAGCTGCGCTGCCACCGTCACCAACTGCCCGGCTCGCAACAACACTGCCGCCATCACCGATGTTGCTGCCACTGACCTGACCACTGCCGTTGTTACCAAGGTCATTGACCTGACCACCACTGTCTGCCCCGTCACCGCTGCCGAGTCCGTCTCGTCCTCGGTTGTTGAGGCCCACAGCTCTGGTCTCATCCCTGGCTCGACCCACGATGTCACCCCTACTGCCACCGGCGACAACTCTGCCGTCACTGAGGTCTCCGCTTCCGTTGGCACCACCGATGTTGCCTACACCGTTACTGTCGGCCCCGAGAGCTCTCGCTCTGTCATCACCACCACCGTCAAGTCGACTTACACTGAGCAGGTGACCGTTACCAAGACCAAGTCTTCCGTCACTGCTGCCAGCAACTCGCCCGAGGACACCACCAGCGAGGGTACCACCACCACCACCTCCACCAGCACTGGAACCCGCACCGTCACCATTTCCAAGGTCTCTTCCACCGCTACCGCTACTGCCGTCTCCACCGGAACCAGCACCAGCGACAACTCCGCTGTTGGCTCCGACTCTGACTCCGAGTCTTGCCCTGAGGCCGTTACCGTCACCGTCACTGCCGCTGCTAGCACCGTCTACGTTACCCAGACTGCTGCTTCTGGCTCCGAGTCTTCGGCTGCCGCTGTCGTCTCTGACGCCGCCGCTGCTACTTCCTCTACTGCTTCTTCTGCTGCTGCCACTACCACCTCGGCTGGCAGCACTGAGAACTCCAGCGGTTCTGACGACTCTTCCTCCTCTGACGATGAGGATGAGTGCGACGCCGATGACAGCGACGATGTTGTCACTGCCACTCAGGTCGCCACCGTTGTCCCCTACCCCGTCGCCTCTGGCAACGGCACCTTCCCTGCCCCCACTGCTGTCCCCTCCAGCTTCCTCCGCCGCCACTAGGCGAGTCCATAACATGGCAGCCAGCACTTTGGCTGTTTCACAAAACCAGCTTCTAGTTCTCTGTGTATAATGTTTGGGCAATATTAGTATTTAAGGGGAGATGGGTCGGTAGACAAAGCCCTCCACCGGGTCGAGGGCTTGGGGAGGCAAAGGCACAGCGTGAAAAGAACAATCTTGCGCGCGCGTGTTGACAGCAACAAGATCTATGGTTACGAGTTCACGATACCAACAGCAATACCATATGACTAAGCGGACACCCTTAGCGAAAACAGCATTCTGATAGATCCGGACCAGCGAGCGGGAAAAAACACAACCAAACAGGATCAGTTTTTCTTGGGTTACTTGTTTTTTATGTTTTACGCATAGCGCGGCTGTGCTCTGGGCTCTGGATGGCCGGGCTTGTTGGCTGCGTTAGATTTTTTTTCGCTTCGTATGTATCTAGGGTGATAGACCCCTTTTTTGAATGGAATTCTTTTTGGTGGTGAATCTTTGAAGTTTTTATCATGTGATATGTTTATTCAACCTTTACCAAAGGCCGACTTGAGGTGGTGAGTTCGTCCAATGTCTCTGGAATGTTTCGCTCAAGCTGAAATAAGGTTAATCCGATCGCTCTGATCATGTTTCATCGACAGTGGCTGACGGGACGGACCATCCCTGCTTTGTGTCTTACGGTTCAGCCGCATTCCAGACATGCAATAGCAATGTAGTTGAGTTCAAACCGGAATAATTTTTCAAAGTTGCAAACTCTTCTCAATTTTGGGGTCTAGTATGCCTAAAAGTGCATGTTTTACTTCAAGTTCATGTTGAGCAGTTCTTTGTCTTGTGTCGAAATGATAGCCGTGGAGGCGCGTACAACAAGATGCGTTCATGGCAGCCAGGTCCCGTAGGAAAATCGAAATATGCCGGTACAACGTGCAAAATAGAAAATTCTTATTCGGGAAAAATAGCTCAAGCGATTGGATCGCCGACAATATCGAGATTCTGTAATAGCCTGCAATGTCGATAATTGTTTCCGCAAACGGCTTTACCAGCAGCGCATCAACAAGGAGACAAAGAGCTGAAATAATCATGCACAGTGTCTGGTCAAGATGTGGCCTCTAGTCTATCGTACTCAAGTGTTTGTGATCCCATCTCGTCCATCTCGTCCATGTTGCCATTATTAGTGTATAGCAGGGAGCTTTTGCAGGAGACATTGATTTATTTGCAATGGCCAACAATCTCGAGCGCGCCGAACGACTCGAGGTAGAACGCGACTATTACCGCTCGCTGCCAGCACAGCAGTTTCAGGATCTCGTTGAAGAGGAAATTCCGCGGATATGGCGGGAGGACTCGCTCGTGATTGAACACGATTTGCAGGGTAAGTTTACTCTCGAGTCTTGTAGCACAAAAAACGAGTTGGGCACATTGTTATAACTAACATTGTCCTCTAGATGCCTACTGGCAATCCAGCCAGAGCATTGTCTCGCGACTACGACACCTGGCACAAGAGCGCATCAAGGCGCAGTGGACAGAACAAGGCATCTGGAAAGACCCCTGGGACCGCAAGCTCGGCGAGCACTACAAGGTGGAAGGCGGATGGCCGCACCGGCTCGACGACGGCACGGGCGACCGGGTGGGCACGCCGCAGCGCTCGCCGACGCGGATCCCGTGGCGCTCGGCCCGCAAGCGCCGCGACGAGTTTGAGCGGTGCCGCGCCGTCATGGAGGACGCCTCGCGGCCCTTTCGCATGTTTCTGGAGCAGCTCCTGCGGGCCCGCGAGCGTCTGGGCGCCCAGGGCGGCGCGGCCCCCGACGCGCTCAGCTCCCACGCCTACGACGAGGTCAAGGCCGCCTGGGTCCGCCGGCGCATCTGGCTCGCGAGCTGGGACCCGCTGCCCGGCATGACGTGGGGCCACGAGAAGCCGCTGCGCGAGTTCGTGGCCGAGACCCGGCCGTGGCTGTCGTTGCTGTGCGTCGAGGGCCGCGCGCAGAGGTGGGCCGAGGAGCTCGTGGGCACCAAGGAGTCGGGGACCTGGGAGCGCGATGCCGATGTCAGGGGCCTAGTGTGGACGATACCGTCGCAAAAGTCAGATGAGAGAATGGAGGACGAGGGGGTACAGCAAAGGAGCGCCATGAGCGAAATGATACCCGCGTTGTTGGGTTTGAAACAGCCTCCCGATCCGCCTGGTCTCTTTGGAAAGCCCGAGGACCTGGCGACGGCACCTAAGCTCAAGATTGTCAAGCCCACTCGGCCAAGCTGGGGCCTGGTCAAGATACCGCAGGACAAGAAAGGACAGTTGAAGAAACTCGACTTTAGGGTATTTGATTTTCCCTGGGACATGCCACTAAGCCAGACATACTATCGTGACAACCGCTTCAAAAAGGCCGTGGCACGAAGACTACGGCGCGATTTCGACTCTGTAGCCGACGCCGAGGACTTTTACGAGATGGAACACCTCAAAGCGACTCAGGGCGCCGAGCGGGAATACCGCCTCAATGCCGAGGCCGAGGACCAATTGGCGCGGCGGCACGAAGCGTACCGGCGGTGGGAGCACGACTATGTCAAGGAGCTCAAAAGGTACCAGGCACAGTTCAAGAAGATTGACTGGAAGGACTTCAAGCTGCCCGACGACGCGGCGCTCGGGACGGAGATTTGGGCAGACGCTCGCTTCCGGGCCGAGATCATGCGCCGTGTGCCCGGTCTTGCGGCCGATGCGTACCTGGATGAGCATAGACGGTGCAAGTCGCAGCTGCTGGTGCCGGTTAGTGAGGCCTGGACTATTGATGTCGAGGAGGAGGATAGCCTGCAGCGGCGATGGCAAGCCCAGAAGAAACGCGCACAGCCAAAGAAGAGGAAAAGGGCGCCGCAGGTCAATTAGGTAGTCAAGCTTCCTGAGTACAAATAGCGTAGACAAAAAGTTGACTGTTTTCAACCAACTGTATGTCTTTATATTATCTATTTACAAGCAAGTAGAACACTAAGCAACACGAAAGGAACAAAAGAAATGAGTAGTCACAAAAATCTGTATAGTGAAAGTTCTATACTGGCATGAAAGTTACTTGTACCTCAAACCGAGTAAGGCAATCTTGATATCCAAGTCACTACACATATACGCACACATCGGAGTCGCAAAAGTCAGCTGCTGTTGTTCTATCGAGGCGAACTGTCGCTTTAAGGTGGCTTCGTTCTATAATGCCAATTCGGGAAACTAGGAGCGACGGGATCCACAGCAGCCATGGATCTGCTATGTCTCCAACTCAGTGCACTTTCACCTCAAAACTCACCCCAAACCCATATTTCGGACTATGCAGTGCTGCGAGATCATCTATCCAAACTCGAAATCCCCCATCATGACCATGTCATCAACCAGAGGACTTCCGCCTTCCGCTCGGGGCATGACAAACATTGCCAATGCCGGAGTCACGGACATGGAGGACGACTTGGATGATTGCACGTTTTACGATCCCGTGACCAATCCGAGTGGCTTGATCATGGCCTCGGGCGCCTCCAACGACTTGATGGATGACTGGCTCGAAACATACTCTGAGAAATTTGGTCGCACTTTTAAGCTGAGCGAATGTATGTACTTTCACATCAACATATTACGGTCGAATCCAGTTTTCCAACTCTGACCAGAAAGTTGATGTACTCTCTAGCACTGGCATACGGCGGTGTCATTGGACCCGAGAGTAGGTGCAGCGCATGCAGCATCTAGCCCAGAAGACAGCTAATCGTATTGCGCGCTGCGTAGAACTCGCCAAGGCCGTTGCTCACTATGTCAACCGAAAGTTTGCTCCGTCCACCTTGATTAGCGCAGAGCATATACTCCCGACAAATGGTGTTTCCTCTCTGCTCGACATGGTGGCATTCAACGTGTGTGACCAAGGAGAGGGAATCATGTTCACAACACCAACGTATTCCATGTTTGGACATGACCTTTACGCAAAGGCTGGCACGGCTCTCATACCCGTCGCCACAGATCACATTACGGATCAATTTTCAGCTTCATGTGCTGCAACTTTACTAGCGACATTTGAGCGTGTATACCGCAAAGCCACAAGCGCTGGTACCAAGATTAAAGCCGTGCTACTCTGTAACCCATCCAACCCCGTTGGGAGATTCTACTCAAAAGAGACGCTGCTTGCCATTGCTGGCTTCTGCGGCCGCCGGAAGTTGCACCTGGTGTCCGACGAGATCTACGCCATGTCTGGATTCGCATCAATCTCTGGACAACCAGCTCTGGACGGCTTCACTTCCGTTCTCAGCCTCAAGGATGACCCAAAGAACTTTATCTGTACGGAGAATATACATGCCTTGTATGGCTCTAGTAAAGATTTTGCCATGGGAGGATTGCGACTCGGATTCTTGATTACGCGAAACACCCGTCTCTGGAAAGCCTGCAGGCGTTGTGCGTAAGTCCTCCCCACACCATCTTCTATTGCAGGAAAAATTCATAATATCTGACATTCCCGCAAGCGTCTTCACCTGGGTCTCCCCCTTCTCTACCGAGTTCTTTACCAACTTCATTGGCAATGATGCGGTCGTGGACAGCTATCTCCAAACTTACCAAACTCGCCTTCGAGAGAAGTATCTGGCGGTCGCCGAGGGCCTGAAATCACACAACATACCATTTGACCCGGCTAATGCCTGTCTATTTGTGTGGTTGGACTTGAGTCACTGGCTCAAGTACTTTGATGGCCCAGACCGCCCTGGAATCGTCACCAAGTCGATCAAGACCCAAGAACAAGAAGAAATCACTCGAGAGAGGCATCTAGGTAGACACCTTATCCAGCACGGTGTCTATCTCAGTGCCGGTGAGGTAATTGTCTTGTCAAAATTGATTTTAGTGCGATATACTGATTCCTGGGCAGCTCTCAGCATCTCCCACCCCTGGCCGATTTCGCTTTGTCTACACGAGCCAAGGCGACCAGGCTATGATTGTGGTTGAGCGCATCCGCGAGGCTTTGAATGACCTTGAACGGTCATCAGCAAAGTACAGACATGAGAATGCCGTCAATGAGGGCATGCATAGTGACGAAGATTCAATCTCGAATGAAAAGTACCCAAGACAGCCGTCGCAGGGAAGCGGACGCGCGTCGTTGTCGAGAGCGATCAGGGCTGCTCTCTGTTTCTGACTTCTGAAATGCTTTTATAGTCACTAATTTGATGGCCTGATTTTAAGGCAATGTATGACTACTTGTTGCCATGTGAACATGATTCTCGTCTCATGTCACACTGACATGATTCCTCACGCAGATCACCTACTAGGGGACACTGAATAGCTCTTTAGAACCCCTAGTTCATAACTCGATATTATCAATGGAGATATCCTTCAAACATTCTTTTATTTAATTTCACTTCTACATTGATGAAGCGACATTGAATTATCAAGTCTTGAGTCAGGTACCAGAGCGAGCGACGGCTACTGAGGCTAATCCACACAAACGCTGTACTGCCAGCTCTCGACGGTCTCGCGTCCACGCGGCCAGTATGTAATCCGCAGAGGCTTCTCAAGACTATCCCTCAAGACTTCCAAGGTGACCTCGGAATCATATTCCGTATGCGGCAATACTGGCCATTTCCTCAACCTGTCCCCTTCCCGCAAGCCCGCCTCCCATGCGCGCGACTCTGGCCGCAAGTCTTGGACTACTTGTTTAGCCACTCCTGTCGACTCATCAAAGCCCATGTCAAATGGATACTGGTCCTCTCGCGTCAGTTGAAGGTTCTTTCCAGACCTCAAGGCCACGGGAAAGCTTTGGTCTGGCAGCTTGAGCAGAGATCTAGCCTCGGACATGTCTGTGTGCATCTTCCTCCCATCCCTTCCCGTCTTGGAGGTAATCCAGTCTATATACTGGTCCGGTCCCACAGGACAACTACCTAATTGGCGCTTGAGGTCTAGGACGAGATTGTCCAGAGAGAGCTCTTGTTCCGTGGACTGCTGAATGATGGCGTTTGCCAAAATGGCAAAGACAAAGCCTCGCCGGTACGGTAGAGTCTGCGTAGTGTGCGACGCCCAAGTCAATTTCGTAATGTCGCGGTTTGACGTGAGGACAAAGGGTGACGTGTAGTAGGCGGATAATCTGCCGTTTACTTCTTGAATCATGGCCTCATCGTCCAAGATTCCGAGTTTGTGCAGAAACACTAGAGAGTAATACTCGGCCACTGTGGAGAATTGAGTCGTTAGCATGAGTCTTTTGAGATGCAATAGGCATGCAAAGCAGTTGCTCTTGTGCAGTCGCATCACCCAGTTGACTAAAGTAAATATTCGAGATTAACTTACAGCCTTCGTGATACCAGTTTTCTTCCGGTCCGCCCTCATTAAATGTGGCCCACTCGTGGACGATCTCGTGGGCAAGCTTTTTCAACTTGACCATGAAAGGCTCGGGTTCCTCGTGCTCCTCGACGCTGTACGTGTACATGAAAGACCTGGAGAGCGCCGTGCCTCCAGTTCCAGGGTAAGGGTGTTCGCGGAAGAAGACGTAAAAATCATCGCCTTGGTCTTCAAAGAAATCGGCCAAGGCAAAGAAGACTTTTCTTATCTCGGCCGCCAGCCCATCCGCGTCAAACGGTGGCTCTGTCAGCCAGTAGACACTACATTGCTGTTTTTTTCCCGATGGCAGTTTTCGCTGTTCAGAGCTGGACTTTAACAAGCCGACTGCGAAATAAGTATGCTGAATCTGAGGTGGTGCCAATTCCGCCTTGGCACCCATGGTCCAAACCCCAACAGTGCCAGTGGGAGCGTCGGACAGATTCCAGTGCATACGCACGGTGAATCTCTTCATCACTGCGGGCACGGCTAGCATGCCATATCCCGCGCCCATGAGGCCACCACCGGTTTGCCGTCGGAAATCCATCAGAGGACCGTTACGCGTGTGTATATCAATCTGCCTCGGGTTGACATCATATGTCACAGTAATCAAACCCCGAGTCTTCCGGGGAGCGACATGGATTTGTGCAATGATTTGGGGGACGGACGCGTCCTCTGGTGTCAACGGAACATCTCCGGCTTCATCCGAAACTTTCAGAGTGCCTTCCACAAGGTGCAGAGCCGGTGTAGATGCAATGTTTGTGACGGCTCGCAGTACTGGATAGGTACCATCCCTTGGCTCGGTTCCGTCATCGACAAAGGTCAGCTTGACACTGATTGAATGGGCAGCACCGTCAAGATAGCGTGGTGTGATGTAAATGTCGAGAGCTGGGAGTGATTCGTCTGGCGACGAATGGCTGATTTGTGTTAGATCCATGGCCTCGACCGATCACAGCCTCTAGCCCTCGAAATGCTAGAGCTTGCTTGGTGTCTCTATGAACAAGTTCGTATTATTTCGATTCAGAGACGTCAAAGGCGCTCAGAAGAAGTAAATTGGATATGCTTATGCATTATATGAAAGGCTGATTTAGGTCAGAGTGGATTGATAAATGCGGGCACCGCGAGTATAGAGTTCTGCTCCGATAACAGATCCAGTCTTCAGGCACGCATGATGGTCGTGGAGTATTTCCTCTTTGGGTAGCTCGGAGCGAACCGTGAGATTTAGCGCTCATAAGAGAATGGCCATTTGACTTCTTTTCTTCCCGGCAGCAGAGGTGCATCCCCCCCCTCCCCGACCAGGAGGGATACGAATCGAGATGAAGCAGATTATTGCTGTTCCAAAAAAAAAAAAAAAAAAAAAAAACCGAATCCATTAAGTTCTTGGACATTTGTTTCTGGTTTATGCACAAGGATTGAACGATTTAGGTTAGATTGTGTCGCGCATAGATACCTTTGGCAATGATACCAAAGCTCACTGTGGACTAGCACCAAAGCTTGATATACCCTCAGCTAGACCCTGAACAAGAGCCACGACGCCCATGGCGCCGGGATCTGGGACAGCGTCCCAACCCGCCTCGTTGACATAGACGGCGCGTCCAAACTTTGGCTGCATACCCTTTGTCCTGTCAGCGCCATGAGTAACTGCGGCCACCGAAGCAGCCAGCCCCGACCCGCGCTGAAGCGTGTCTACAAAAGGTTCCAGCGCGTCCATGAGGGTTCGGTCTCCAGCGCGGGCCGGTGTCACTTTCTGGACCGTCTGCAAGGCGGTCCGCGCGGCTTGGATCCAATGGGCATAAGTCATTTCTGCGTCGCCCTCGATTTCGCGCACGCCAGACACCAACCCATTGAAGAAGAGGCCGTATATGGCGCCCGAGGTCCCATCCATGCTGTCTTCAATCGTGTGAGCAATACGGAGTAGGTGCTCAATAGCCGAACCATTCCTGGCGGGGGTCGTTGTCATCACCATTTTCATGACTTCTTCGCAAGCACGTTGCAGAGTTGAGCCACAGTCTCCATCTCCAACAATCATGTCGAATTTTGTTATGCTGGGTGCAGCGGCAATGGCGGCTTGGCAAGCACTGGTGACAGCGGATCGGAGGAGCACGGCATCAACTATTTAAGCCCCGTCAGAAATGCTTGTTGGACAGCATGATATTTGTATTGTCAATTCGAGGGGCTCTTTACCTTTGGGACCTAGAAGATCCGTGTTTGTGAGTCCGGCATTTGCATGGGCTAGTTCTGTCGAGGGCGTGGATGCAGTAGGCGACCATGGGATAATAATATTGTGCTCTATTGACCTTGACCAGCCCAAGGCGGATGTAGGTGCGTCCAAGTAAGCGAGCATATCCTTACTAGCCCGCAACAGCGTGATACTAAAGCCCGGACCGTTGAGACTCGTCATATATGTGCCGCTATACGTCCTTGACGGCTTGATACCTCGGAGTCCTGTTTTATAATAAGATCATCAGATGCGTCAATCAATGAAGAAGAAGCCGGGATGAACAATCCAACTTACCTAGCTGCTGGCTGACTTTCAAAGTGATGGCGGAAAGCTCTAAAACGGATAGAGCCCCGAGGTTATTGACCATGAGCACGACAGCTTCGGCGTCTCCAAAGTCGACGAAAGCTCTGTCCTCGTCATCTTGGAAGAGGAGATAGTCCAGCATAAGATTGATGACGGTGGTGCTATCCGGACGAGGCCTCAACCGCTGGGCCCCAGTCTCATTATGTATACCCATACCCAGCTCCATCTCATCGGGCCCAATGGCTTGGTCTTCAGCAGCTCGAGGGCTGGTGCCGGGAATGCGGACATGGTCGAGAGAGACACCCATCGTGGCCAGGCTGGCATTAACCTCGCGGGCCATGTCCAAGCACTGGTCAATGGGGAGGCGCGAAGCGGCCATGGCGCCCAGAATCTTGTGCACAAGGACGGTCCCAGCTAGGCCTCGCCTGCCGACTTTACCGCCCTGGCGCCGGCCGACGGCCACATCGTCGGCCACGACGACGACTTCGATCCGCCCGCCGAGGGTGGCGCGCAGCTTTTCGGCGGCCTGGTGAAAGTGAAAGACGTCGCCCGTGTAATTCTTGATGATCAAGATGGTGCCGGCGGCGCCCTGGGCGGTACTGGCGCATTGGTAAATTTGCTTCACGCTCGGCGACGCAAAGAGGTTGCCCGAGACGGCCGCCGACAGCATGCCGCTCCCAACATACATGGCGTGGGCGGGTTCGTGGCCTGCGCCGCCACCGGCAATCAATGTTACACACTGCTCAGGCTTGTGTGCTGCATTATACACAACTTTTTTGATCAAGTAGTGCGCGTCAGCTGCTGGAGGACTTTTTCTTCCTCCACTCGGCTCACGTCGGGACCTAGACTCTGTACTTTACTTACTTTTGTTTTTCTTGTCCACGTGCAGGGCTCCATTTTGCAACATCAAACTTTCCAGAGCGTCTTCGATCAACCCGCTTGTGTTTTCATTATCAATAAAGTGTTTTTGCGACATGCTTGCTTATTGAGGGGCGAAATTTACTTTTTGGTCATTAAGAACTTTTGAATCTATTTCTATTCTGTTTCCCAAACCCCTGAGCAAAATGATAAATCAACCTATAAAATACTTGAATTTCGTAATCAAACCAATGCCAGATACTATATTGTCATCTTTTCCGCGGATAATCGCGCTTACTTGTTATCCGATTAACGCGACAGCCTTTTCCGAAGTTGTCCAGCACTATCGGATACCATACTGGGGTATCAAAGCGTAGTGTATTGAGATGACGCCAGCTCCACGATTTGCTGCTTCATAATGGGCTGGGCGACATAAGCGACATCAGTGTGGGCCAGCGTCAACAATTGATTAGTCGTTACGGACATGCTACACGAATCAATCTCTATCAACTTCAACCGCAAGAGAAGGAGGGCTTCATTCTGCCAACGATTTTGCAGTCATTTCTGCAACGCGCACTTTTCATTTATAAAGGAGGGAGAAGCGCCGGTGGTGATGGGCCTCTATCAGTACCTGAATTACAGTGTTTGGTATACAAACCGGTCGGTTAGGGGTCCATGTATTGCTGGATTAAAAAACACTTTCAAGTGTCAGTTTGACAGTCATTTGGCGGAACTCCAAATAGAATTCAGCTACCTCCCGGAATGCACACTGGAACCCACCCCCCTCCCTCTTTTTTTCCCCTTCCTGTTCTCGGGGTGAACTCATTGGCAACACGACGAAATCCAACCCATGACATCTTAACAGCTGTCTAGTGTCCAAGGTCGTGAAATTCACTATAACCGTTCGAAAACAATGCACTCATGTCATTGGTACTAGATGCGACCTTGGAACCTGTCAGTGCTGGAGCGTCCTCTGCAAGTGCTATTTCATCATACCATAGAATCAAACTGGTTCCAGTCAATCTCGTTTCCCAGGGGACTGGCCGAGCTCGCATTCGAATCGGCAAGATCCTCGGCAAAGCCATTGCTGGAAAAGGCTGATAATGCATCTGGGATTGTCGTTGGTTCGGATTCTCCGAGGGCGGTCGAAGATTGAGATAGTGCTTGTGATAGCGCTGTCAACGGAGCCTCGGGCATCGAGGCTGATGCAGCATTAGAGCCCGATTGCCCTCTGATCCGACTGAGCACTTCAATACGGAGCTGATCAAGCACAAGCGAGTAACGTTGTGTTAGGGTATTGTTCTCGGCAACCCGAGCAATGTTATCGTGACATCTGATTGCAGCTTCCAGGTACTCCTCATATGAAGCCGCAGGGGACAGTTTTTGCTGAAACACATAGACATAAAGTATGACCACGGCCGAGAAAGCAAAATAAATAGTAAACTAGGTATATGAATCAGCATCTGGCTTCCTTAGATTAGGGAGATGGAGATTCTCTCACCCAGTACGCCTTGAGCATCTGCCCTGCCCCTACCAATGCATCCACCGTTTTAACGATGCTCATGGCCGCTGCAAGGCATTCCCGGATGCTTGAATGGCTTCGATTCGCATTTCGAGGCTCCTGGAGGTGGGGGAAGTTCCTCAGCAAAACCGGCCGATGAGTCAAGATCACGGCATGCCAATAGGCCAAGTTGAGTACATTGCGCTGGCGTTGATAGATGGGAATCAGGAGTGCAGCATTAACATTCTGATCATCCAGGAAATGAGCCAATCCAGCACGCCACTCTTTTAATGCCTTGGAAGATTTTGTAATAAGTGCTGCGCGTTGGGTCTTGGTGGCAGGGTGGATGGAGTACAAATCCCACAGAATTGTGCTGACTATTTGAGATAACCTATTTCGTTGTGTCAGTACCATGACAGTATGTGATGCAAGTTTCTCGAGAGCGACTTCTCACTTGACGTGGGCTACAGGACAAAGCATAATTGACTGCCCCCGACTGTGGCTCTGCACTATACGATCTGGGAATATTTCCTCGTCGTCGTAGGGAGAGGGAAGTTCCTGGTCAATATCGTGATCGTGAAACGTTCTTGGCCGTCCAAGCGCAGCGCTGAGGTAGTTATCAAGGCTGTAAGCACACCAAAATGTACGACGCCGGCACTCGACTTCGACGAGATTCATTCCCAACGCCGAATCAACCTTGCGGTCGCGGTTCAACCCGATCGCATAGGCTAGATGGGACATTGTTCCGAATAATGTCCAGCAGTGGTTGATACGCGATTGCGACAGCAGCCAGAAACACTGAGCCAGACGGGCCTGCACACTTGTTAACCGGACCCGTCCAGTCTCTTCCGACAGCTGGTGGTCCGCTGCTAGGAAACACCGTGCACTGTTTTGCTTCATCAGCCTTGAGTAAATAGGCTCGGCAATGCCTACGAACTAATGAAGGGCAGATTCTAACCTCAGGTCGGGTGGTGTATCAGGATGAGGCATGTGGGTTTGCGCCTGTGCAAACACCATCAAGAGCACAGCCCTACGACCAGCTGCGTCATCCTGATTTCGCATAGTCCCACGCGTCTGGTAGAATTCTTCAAGCCATGAAGCTACCGTAGGTCGATGCAGAAAACGGTGCGTCGGAACAGCAACACCGAAATAGCATTCCAGCAATTTCTCGGCTTCGTCACGAGGTATCAACAAACAAAAGGAAGGATCATGCTGGGGGAGAGGTGCATCGCCAAAGGTGAAGATGGAGCAATTGGAAGGAAATGAGATTGTTTGGTGCAACTTCTTCTGCACACGGAGGAGAAAGGAGACGCCAGATGCTGGTCCAACGTAATGTCCTTGAAGATCAGTCTGAGACGGCTCCGGTGAGGTTTTTGACGAGACTGGGGCAGGTTGAGATGACATGTCTATTGGAATCGACTCATCCACCATGTCCACGGAGAGAGACTCGGCCGATTCCGAAACCTCGTATGGTAAGTCGTCGTTGGGGTCGTCGCTATGGTCGTTGTCACCAGGGGGGCCGGCCTTCATGGGTCGTCTTGCTGGTGAAGCCAAAGACTGTTCCTTCTGTACGCGTGTAGGAGAGTGCAAAGGCAACGACGACGGATCTGATCGATTTCTCAGCTTGGGATCGCTGCCTCGGTGCCCCCGGGAATAGGTTGCTTCATAGGTGCAACCCAAGCCCGGCAGCGAGCACTGATTACACGGCTGGTAGCCGTCGCATTTGACTTTGCGTCTGTGAATATTGAATCATTAGCTGTGGTAACACGCGCGCCCGCGTATTACTTACCGTTTGCAGCGGTCGCATGCTCGGGTGACACGCACGCGATCGCGCTGCTTTTTCCGACGGAAACGTCGATTAGTTGATGGAGGTAGTTGTGGTCGAGGAGAAGCTCCCGAGAGACCCCCATCAGCAAGATCATCTACATGGTGATCCAAGTCCATATCCAACTATCCAGAATACAATTGTGTGTTGGTGGGGGGCGCCCTTATTCGGGTGGGAGCCAGGGAGAATTGGCTGCTGCCGAGAAGAAAATATCCGACAATTTTATGAATAGACGTCGGAAATCTTACAAAGCCTAGAGCAGAGTACCACTGTCCAATCGGGTTAGAGAGCTACAGAACCAAGTAACTAACCTAGCTGAACAGTGGTGCCGCGTCAGCCGCCGCCCACTGGTTAGTAACCACGGCTAACTCATCTGCCGTGGCAGAGTCATATTCTTGTAGCGTACAGGATAACAAAATGTATTATTCTTTTTAGTATTACTCTTTTCTTTC